TGCATTCGGAAGAAAAGAGATGCATTATAAATGATGATTGTAAAAATTTAAAATTTATACAATCACACTGACCCTTAAAAAACGTACATATAAATTTGATTAGATTTTTATTTAAAATGCCAGTCATTTTGTTTTTTGATAATTTAACCTGACATACTTAATCAGCGACCTTAAAAACCCCCGTACACAATATTTAGACACAATCTGTTTATTTTTTTAATGTCGGCTATGATCCGCCATTTTGTTGGTTTGAAAATTGAACCTAAGATTTGTATTTAGCGACCTCAAAAAACCTTAAAAAACTTTGTATACCTACCTATAGATTTTCTTAAATTTTATTGTCCAAGTTTTTGTGATTTTTAACCACTGTGCGGTGAATAAAGTATTTTGTTTTGGTTGAATATTGCAATTGTTCAAGGTATATTCAACTCTGACCTCAAAATTTCTAGGTCAAAAAATATACACATTCATGATTGAATCTGATAGGTAACTAAATTAAATTTAAAATTTTTTATCGTAAAACTTACATATAAATTACGTTACGATAGTGCCCGATAGAGTTTTTTTTTCACAAATTTAGACATACGTTCGAAATAAATTAGCAAAGTAAGCTATTGTTACACTAGTTGAACTATGAAAAAGAAGACAATAACATTGTTCCCATATTTGGTACGAAATTTTACTATTAAATAATTTTCATTGAAAAAAATAAAGAAGAAACAATTGGATTCGGAGAAAGGTTAAATTCGTTTGACATATGATATTTAATTAAGATTGTGGGACAAAATAAAATGTGCAACTCGTGAAGAATTGTCGATTTTTAACTCGCGTTCTTGCTACGCTCGACCATTTTCCCTATTTGTTGCATAATATACTTTTTTATGAATAAATAAATAAATTATTTGTAAAGTATTGTTATCAGGTATAAAATACTTGTGGTATTTTGTTTATAATTAAGTTTTGTATGAAGAAAATAAATTTTAAAAATTAGTTGTTTATCCCCGAGGTGTCACCCACACATGGGAATCCCTGGACATTTTAGAGGGGGAATACCATAGGAATACAATGGAAATACATAGGAATACAATAAAATATAATGGGAATACATGGGAATCCCTGGACGTTTTCCCTTTGGGTGGTTGACCCCTCGTTTATCCCTTAAAAAATATGGAAATACATTTTATTAAAAAAAATACTGATGTTAAAAATAAATAAAATAAAATTTCCAGCGCAATCGCCATTTCTAAAATATAATCCCGTTATAAGTAAAAAGATGTCTTTGTTATTTTGTAAGTAATAAATAAAATTTCATATACCTAATTAAACTTAATGATATTGCAAAAAAAAACAAAAATATAAATAATAAAATTTATTAAATAACAAATATACTATCCTGGAGCCCCCCTCATTTTTGACATTTTTTAAATCTTAAATAGGTACCATAATAAATGTATACAAAAAATAAATATAAACTAAGTTAAAACATTTTTGCTTAACAGCATTTGGGAGTTAAAATAAAAATTGCATAGCACCAGTCAGGGACATTGGATATTTAAAAACATCAGCTGATGACTCTATTAATTTAAAAACCATTATTTAAAGTAAACAATCCCAGACACGGTATTACGTTTAATAAATTTTTTGCATTGACGCTGTAGAAATTAAAAGTTATTAATGTGTTTTGTTGTAAGAACAATTTAAAATTTGTTTGTCAAATTTTAAAAATATTCTTTATTGATTACTTAAATTATTTTACAAATAAAATAGTTTAGACCAATATTGTAAAATCTGGGGTTAAGTGTATAAACTCAGATTTTGTTCTTACTAAACAAAATTGTGTTGACTTATTCTAATCACAGATTCTTAAAAATAACAATAAGATTGTCTTGTTCTTTTTCTTAATTCTGATCACAAATCTGTGTTCAGAGGAATGACCTTTAGCCAAATAAGATTTTCTTTAGTAGGTAACTAAAGTTTAGTTTTGTTTTGGTTTTGTGGTTAAAATTTGAAGCTGGCAAATTTTCTTTGGAATAGATTTAATCGATCTTAAGCACACAGGGCCGTACCGAGGCACACTTTCTTTGGGGGGGGTGGAGACGATAAAAAACAACTTATTTTTTTATTGATACTTTAGTAGTAATAGTAAAAATTTTCAGTAGTTTTATCATGTATGTAAAGTGTTGTAAAGTGTGGATAAAGAATGTCTTTACCTACCATTAGCATGCTCTTTCGAAGTCGATGGGATTGATTCTCGTTCTTTATTTTTTTTGATTTGCTGCCAATGTAAGTGGATTATCCGGAACAGCAACAATTTTAATTTTAACCAAATTTCCACCGTGAATATATTTCATGTATTTTTTTTCTAGTCCTTGTTAAACACAGATCCACATAATGAGCATTTTACTGGAACTCGGCCCGGTCCATCTTTCTTTTCCATATTAAAAAAAAATTAATTCCTATGCGCCAGGCGGTTCCGACTTTGTACATGCCGCTTGTGTAAAATATAATGTCCTTTAATAAAAATAAGGTTGACCAATACAATTTTCTTGACGGTAACGATTATAGGAGGTTACAATAGATTAAAAATAATAATTTTGTAATATGTAGGTAAGATTAAAAATTATATTTCATTTTATTTATTGTGATGGGTTGGTTGGTAGGGTAGGTATACCCAACCAACCGACCCAAATACTATAGATTTTGCCAACCGTGTTTGGATTTGGAACCAACTGCCAAGACTTGGGGGGGGGGGTGACTCCCCCCCTACACCCCCCTTAGGCCCGGCCCTGTAAGCACATTTAACCATCTTGAGAGAGTTATATTCGATTTACGTAGAAAAAGAATGTCCTATAATTACCTTTCGTAGCTGACTATTCTGCAAACCTTGAATTTTGTTATAATCCAGGCACAAAGAATTTCACAAAAGATTGCAATTTTTAAGTCTGAGAAACGAGTTTTCAAGTTCGTTGCACTATTTATGTGTATACTTATAGGTGTATCTATCCATTTTTTACCTATAAAATGCTTGAACAAATAATAAAGGAAATACATTTGAATAATATATTCAATAGGTCCCTGTATTTTATATCTTGTTACACAAATGGCCTTGTTCAAAACGTTTTTATCAAATGGTTGCCAATAACGACATTTTTATTGTCTTAAGCTACTTGGGCAATTTACAATACATCTGGACTTTTTTATAGGTAACACAAATTATGTGAACAAATCGTAATAGAATTTATATACGAAGTTGTTATTTTAAATACAGACACTGGCCGAGTATTTTGTATGTTATTATTGGATCTCATGTGACTTTAAAGATGTTTATTTACAGAAAAGCAGGTCTATTTTTGTATACCTAGTAGGCACATTTCTTACATAATATTATCTATTAATAGGTATCTACGCCTCAAGTTTTCTACAAAAATATTTTTACATGGAACTGTCCTTTCACAATTTAAATCGCCTTGTCAAAATACAATTTCTTATTTTTATAAAACATTACTTTTAATATGCTTAAAAATGTCGATGACTGTACTCAGCAATGTACAGCCTTGAACCCACCTACCTGTATAAGTAACATGTGTGTTATAAAAATTATTATTGTTGTAATATTGTGCAATTTATAAATAAAACATCGTGGTGTTTTAATTTTAGGTGAGGCACTAAGTTGAATTATGGCTACAGTTAAAACACAATAATAATTAATTTTATTCGTTGATACAGTTTAATTTTGCTTAGGTTTTTCTAGAAAAGGACCAATTGGTGGTACCCTATTTATTTAAAATTATAATTTTATTTTAATTGCAGTAAAATTTATCAATGAAGAAAAAAAAAAGATATAAAAACCGTAGAAAGGATGGACTTATAATTTTTAACTTTATTTAAAATATGTAGGTATTTTGCATTTTCGAATTTCACCGTTCTCTTGCTATTTTACATAACTAAATTTCTAATGTTGCAAAAAGAATATTAAAGAAAGTAAAGTTAATATAATAAACCCACATACCATTAGTGATCTCCATGTGAAATCACATAAACATCATCAGTTGAATCTCATGCGAGTTCACTTGTGATTCACGAGAGATTCACTCACGTGACTTACTCTTTTTTAAATTCACAATTTAATTGAATTTAAAAAAAATTGTTACAAACAATTAAAGTTTCGAGAATGTCTCTTTTTAAAACAAGCATGTGCATTTCCAAAATACGATTAATTTGTTGGTTAATTTAATAATTAAATAAATTTAATAAATGTGCACCGGTTTTTTCAAGTTTCCGTAATATTTATAGCAAGTCAACATAAAAACAGAAAACTTAATTTGCATGTATGTATACTATTTCCTGCATTATACATATTTTTTCTATTTATAGTTGAATATGGTAATTCGCATTTAATTTATATTTTGTCCCATTTCCCTGAAATTGCGCAGCGCCTTTGCATTGAGAAGGTCAGTGTGGAAATCGGTCGATAACAAACCATCGGTAGGTATGGCATACCCGGTATGCACTTTTCTTATCTCAAGGCGTTTCAGGCTACGCAAACGGCACAACTAAGTAAACATTGTAAAGTTATAATATATTTTCACCTCATAAATTATGCTTTATTGTAGGTTAATTAATTATTTACTGAGTATATTTATGGAACAATCAAAATCAAAACCAAATTATATCAACTAGATTGGCAGTTTTAATTGGGTTTCCTATTTCTGGGTTGGTTAAATGTCGTTTAAGAAAAACTATCGAAAATCGATATTCTCTTTTGCGTCACATTTTCAGACACCGAATGTAAACACAGTCGTGTCTACATACGTCACACTTTAGTTTCCGCTGCATATACTGTGTTAAGTATATGTTCCGCTGTGTTGTAAGCGCCATCTACATTTAGGTAGTAGTACTATAGTCGTTCGTAAAATATTTTGTAAAGTGGCCTATCTACTTAAAAAACTATTCCGTGGTTTCTGTTGTAATTTTTAACGGGATGTTTGAAATGAGATACTTTTTTATTAAATAACTAAATTACTTTATTTACAAACATTAACTATCACTTTTTGTGCTTTCTTCCTCTGTTATAAATGGCGGCAAGCTCTGTAGTTCCACCTTAAATTAATTAATTAAATAATAAAAAAACTTATCATGGATTATGGAAATAGTTATGATTTGCTATTGGAATGGGTTTGTAATTACTAACTTGTGATGTCACATGTATATTTGAGAGTTTTCAAAGTGTGATTGGTTAATTTAAAATTTTTTAAGATATATTTTAACAAAAGTTATTTCTTATGCTCTGAACCAATTTTTGAATATATTTTTTTAGTCAGTAGGTATCAGTTATAAAACCAATTTATAGGACAATTGAATTAAATAACATTATTAAGCAATTCTTTACCTTTGTAGACTTCATGCCAACTCCTTCAGGCAAATTTCTTTGCACATACTCCAACAATGTGTCAGCCGTGGACCCAGTTAACTCTTTATACTGCACAAATGTGAAATATGTTCTTATTTCGTACTGCACCCTATGTTTCTTATAAATGTGAACTGATTTAAGCACTGTGTGCCTTTCATGAACAGGTTTGCGTAGATTCCACCTAAAAAACTCTTCTTAAAACCACTTTTAATAATATATTTATACCATCTTACGATATTGAGTTGACATCCAAATGATTTCCAGCCGTAATAGCAAATTTAGCATAACTTTTAAGTACAGCAGGATCGTGCCCTTTTAATTCCAATTCCACAAACTTATATAACTTATCTGGTTCACTTTGCTGTTGTAATGCTTCTGTTGAATAAAATTTGGGCAAATTTTGCCATTTTTTTGCATTTTTTATTATTGAAGAGTTGGGTTTGTACTGAATAAGGCTGTTTCTTAATAGTTGTGTTAAAGAATTCTAAAAATGGTTTATTGGTGCTAATTTGAAGGTTTAATTTAAGACTTACCATTTTAAATCATTAAAAATGTTATCGAATCCGTTTAAGGTTAAGTGAACATAACCTAAAAGTTTTAGGCTAAAACCACCAGTGTTGCCAATGGTGTTGACATAATTTACACACATATTCGGTCAAAATCCCACAATTTTGCCAACTATTCCACACATTTCGGATTTTGGTTTTGTTAGGTTTCTTTGGTGATTACCGCAGAAAGAGTTTCTGAGGTGAATCACCACAAATACTCTTTCTGCGGTAATTACTGGTGACGTTTTCAAAAACTTACTAGATTACTTACTTTGTCAAAAAGTCTATTGTTATAACCGGTTTTAAGTTAAGTACTCGTTAACTTACGCTTGCAAGTTTCCAAAAACACCAGATTTTTTTAATTTGCTGTATATATAGAAATCTGCACAGAAATTCGTACATATAACTAAATAACTAAAATGCGCATTTCCAAATATATCTATTTAAATGCTTGTTATAACCATTGTTAATTTAATGATAAAGTTTACACGCAAATTCCACACATTTATGTATTACACACAAATTACACACAACAAAATAAATTCCACACAATGCGTGGATTTCCACGTACATTGGCAACACTGAAAACCACAGATTATAACGCTGTGACTACAGGCACGTTAACGTGCCGCGATTTGAAATGTTAAAGGCACGTTAGTTACGTCATAAACTCAAACCATCCCAAACTCAACAACACAACCCAACCGACCCCGCCCCATTGGCCCCCCCCCGCCCCATTGAACAAAAAACCCAACTAAAATGGGCAAATTTATGTTACGATAAAAATAAAACACTTTTTAACAAAGGAACAACATATTTATGAAATAAAAAAAGTTCGACAACTTCTAGTAGATTTTATGTTACGATAAAACTAAAACAAACCAACCAACCCAACCCAACCGAACACTGTTTAACAAAGAAACAACAAATTTATGAAATAAAAAAAATTCGACAGCTTCTTGGTATCGAACCCCGGACCTCTCGCATGCCAAGCGAACGCCCTACCATATAAGCTATCTAGCTTGATGTCAAATATTAAATGGTCAGGGAACAAAAACGGATTATAATTATGACGTAACTAACGTGCCTTTAATATTTCCAATCGCGGTACGTTAGCGTGCCTCTAGTCACTGTGGATTATAAAGGTTAAAACTGGCTAAAACTGTCATTTTTTTTAGTATAAACAGCATTGCCAACTTTACGTAATAGTACATTTATTTAAAAAATGTAAATATTATATATTTAAAAAAATGTATTCTGCATTTTAAAATTACAAAAAAACAAACAAATCACTTAATAATAATAATAAATAATAGATACAAATGCACAATCTACGAAGGCGTAGAAGGGACAATTACACAAAATTTATTTTTAATATTTAATTCCGAGTTAGGTAACACAGAATTAATTCCCCCCATTTAATTCTGCGTTATGTAACACAGAATTAATTCCTTCCTATTTAATTTCGTGTTAGCTAACACAGAATTAATTCCTTCCTATTTAATTCCGTGTTAGCTAACACAGAATTAATTCCTTCCATTTAATTCTGCGTTAGGTAACACAGAATTAATTCCCTCCCCTTTAATTCCGTGTTAACTAACACAGAATTAATTCCCTCCCCTTTAATTCCGCGATAACTAACACAGAATTAATTCCCTCCTATTTAATTCCGTGTTAGGTAACACAGAATTAATTCCCCCCCATTTAATTCCGTTTTAAGTAACACAAAATTAATTGAATTAATTCTGTGTTAGTTAACGCGGAATTAAAGGGGAGGGAATTAATTCTGTGTTAGTTATCGCGGAATTAAAGGGGAGGGAATTAATTCTGTGTTACCTAACGCAGAATTAAATGGAAGGAATTAATTCTGTGTTAGCTAACACGGAATTAAAGGGGAGGGAATTAATTCTGTGTTACCTAACGTAGAATTAAATGGAAGGAATTAATTCTGTGTTAGCTAACACGGAATTAAAGGGGAGGGAATTAATTCTGTGTTAGTTAAAACGGAATTAAAGGGGAGGGAATTAATTCTGTGTTACCTAACGCAGAATTAAATGGGGGGAATTAATTCTGTGTTACCTAACTCGGAATTAAATATTAAAAATAAATTTTGTGTAATTGTCCCTTCTACGCCTTCGTAACAATCAGACTAATTCTTTGGAGTTTTCAATATGTTACATTTTACATGCGTAAACGACAGAAAGAGGAGAAAAAACCATTTTTCTATGAAAAAAACTCTAAAAAAGTGCTATTTAAAAAATAGTTGCCTTTATTTAAAAATTTTAATACGTAGCGTCATCTATTTCAAATGAGCTTAACTAATTATAACGATACAAATAATTATGCACCTTTAGTTCGGCCGTACTTAAATGGATGGCGCTTCTAACAATATTTTGTAGGTAGGCAATTAAATTACGAACATATTTTATCTGGGTAGCCTAGCTATAAAAATTTAGTTGACATCCCAGTATGCATAGAAATAATACTATTTCTATGCCAGTATTGCTGAACCATAGAAATAATAGTATTATTTCTATGGCTAAACCAAGTTAGCAAATTTTTTAATTGTGATAAATTTAGTTTGATTATTTTTATATAGAGGGCGCTTTATCAAATGTATATAGGTAAGCAACTCAATTAACAAAGTTTTGTTCATTGGTTGCCTACTTATACAATTATGCTTCGCCATTGAATACAAAACCGTTTTTTATTCAAAGTGCTTCGCCGTCTATCCAAGCAGGTATGGAGCTACACCACAAAACTAGTTTTGTGAGCTACACAACCCACAAGAAAACCGAAATTAATAGAGGAAAGTGACTCTCTTTAAGAGAGTTTTATCGATTTGTAATATGGGTTGCCTACCTACACGCTCATAATTAAATTAAATTGCTGTTGGCAACATTGAGGATACAATTTTATTGAATTTCTACATTTGTACAAAAAAATAATAATAAAAGAAATAAATTTATTGTATTTTTTATTTTAAATTAGATAAATTATTTAAAATAATTTATTTAAATAAATTGTTTAAAATGAATAACGGCTGTTATTGATTCACTGTATTACCAACATATAAATTTGTATATTGGCAACAGTTTAAAAAAGGTATGTTCGGTACCCCTGAAAATAAAAAATGTGCACTAATTTATTAGCTATACAAACTAAACATTATTTTTACTGCTATGCTGTTGAGTATAGAGTAAATCTTTATATGTTTAATTCACGGTTATAAAAATTAAATGGTAAACATAATAGTCCAAAATCCTAAACGAAAAAAGTGCGTATTTACCATTATAGCGCAAAGTAAACTTGTGTGAAGTTTTCAAACGCGCTCTAGTATCCTAATAAGAGAGTAGAGAATCTGCGAACTGAACTTTGTGTGTTGGTAACATTGAAATTTGTAAATTGGCAACAGTTTGATTATTTTGGTAAAAGTCGATTGATGACAGTCAGAAAAGATTCCAATTATTTATTTGTTGAATCTTCAAGTTTGAGAAAAATAATCGGTTACAAATGTCACAATGTTTAGGTATTCGTTATCGGGGTATCTTTTTGCACTCACATTATTGGAGTTAATTATTAAAACGCACCTTACTTCTCATGACAGCAGTCATGGTATGTACTTTGTATAAATTCGCTTTTTCTTCAAGAACATCTGAACATTTGAATTGATTTGAACGGATAATTTTGTTGTAGGGTTTATTAACAAGAATGGCAAATATTTGGAGGACGATTTCAAAAGCATTCATGAGGTAAATAATAATAATATTAATAATAATAATAACAATAATAATATTTATTTATCCTGTTACCAAAATTATGAAACACATCTTGCTTATAAGACCAGCCGTATAAAAAACCAAGTTAAGATTAAAAACACAGTTTTCCCTTATTATACAATAACTAAAAGTATCTAATAAATATATTAACCACATATAGGTATCTATAGATACCTACCTATAGGTAGGTATAATTATTATATTAAAAAAAAAAACATTAAAAAATTATTGCTGTAATAAAGTAAGAATTGTGGTGTGGGTACCTATATAAAGAGTAAACAAAAGTAACAAAAAATGTTTAGTTTTTATGCATTCTCAAGACAGTTATATTATTATTAAGGCAGTAATATCTATCTTAATTTGACATTCTTAAGTTTAAATACTCTATACAGTTAAATCTATTTAAAATTGACATTTTTAAGCTTAATATTTTGTTGTCACAATGTACAACAATAGAAAACATTTTTGGGAAATAAAAATATGCCCTTTTAGGAAATCTCCTCAGGACTGCGTGCCTCACAGATAAATGATTTTAATTTGAATCTTAAACTGGAACCATCCATTCTTGATTTCAAGCAAAGGTTTGTCATTTCACATATTTATTATAAAATGTTTTATATTTTGTTGTTATTTTAGGCAACTGGGAATTGCTCATTTAGAAAAAGTCACATTATTTAATACAGATAAAAATAAAACCATTGATATGACTTCCATATCAGGGAGCACAGCATATTTTCATAGTTCTTTTTTTGAAACCAAGGTGAGTTTTTATACTATTTTCCGGTCGATATCAAAATTTGTGGTTTTTACATCCTTTATGGTTATATTTGGTTTGCATATTTATTAGTGATTAGGTTGCTTGATAATGTTAAAAACGTAATTTCTATTTATGTGGTAGGTATTAATATAATAAAAAAGGAAATAATAAATATATTATACATATAAACTATAAAATTTTTATAAATTCGTAGTTTTCCACAACTTAAATTTGATTAAAACAACAGTTTGTTTTGAAGAAAATTAACAAAAACCTATTTCAAAAATATGTGCTTATTTGGAATATTAGGGTTATCACTTAAACTTATTTTGATTTCCTTAATCATGGGGAGATGCAAAATTTGGAGTAATATATTACATAATATTATTATATTGTATTATAAAATGTATGTTTGTAGATAAAATAATTTTATTTTTGTATTTGCTGCCAATAAATTGGTTTACTTCCCAATATATTATTTTTAGATTGAATTAAATTGTTTTAAAAATAATTGTAAAAGGTAAAGTTTGTAACAATAAACCACTTGGTATTAAATAGAATCATCAAAAATTAAAAAAAAAATTAGTTTTACAAAATATAAAAAATAATCTTGATTTATTTGGTGTTTTTTTGATTTACTAGCCAAATATAAATATGCTTATCTACTTCTATTGCATAATATTGTTTTTTTTGTGAATAATGATAAACATTATAAATTCCCTGCCTAACAATGGAATAATAAACTCATTATTCACGATGTTGGGCGATTTCAATATTGGCACAAGGCAACTATATATAGTTATTATAATAACATTTAAAAATGATAAACATGACAGATTTTAGATTTTATTTATTTATTTTTGAAAATCATATTATATACTTATTGAAGAAGATAAAGTATAGTATTACACCCGAGATAATGCGCATTATTCACTGGGACTCGGGACTTCCTTGTGAATAATAGCCTGCATTATCTTTCATATAATAATATACACTCACAGGCAAAATAATCGATCCACAAAAATTTTTGATGAATTTCGGATTTAGACAAATATTAAAGAATATTGTAGATGCATTAATGGAGAATCGCTCACATTTTAAAAATTACTAAAAAAACACGTACGTTTATAATATACAGGTTTAAACAAAAAGATGTTTTTTACCATATGTATAAGACACTTTGTAGAGTGGCAAAACCGTATATTGTTCTAAATTAAGTTTTAATTATCAAGTCACATCTATTTTTAACAGTTTTGTTTTTATTTTTGTGGAAAATATGGATTAAAAAAAAATTGTAATTTCCAATATTTTTCCTGTATGAAGAACTAAGGTTGCTATGGTCCTTCCATAGCCTATGGAGGATGACAGTGACATTTTTGTTGAATTATTAACTTGGACATGTCATATACAGCTTTCAAAGGCTATCAAATTGTTTTTTGTAAATTAATGTGTTAATTTTGAGGTGTCTTCTTCTAAAAATGTCTTCAACTGATGTTGCCCTTTGTACTTTACTTCTTGTGACGTTTAAAACACTTGCCACGTAATACTGTGACCGTCCATCCTGGATTAAATTAATGGCTCTGACAACATCAGTCAGAGACATATCCATTTTTTAAAGTAAGAAGACACCTCAAAATTTAAACATTAATTTGCAAAAAACAATTTAATAGCTTTTGAAAGCCGTGTATGACATTTCCAAGTATGGGATGATTCAACAAAACTGTCACTGTCACTCCATAGCCTATGGATGGACCATAGTTACCTTAGTTCTTCATACAGAATAATATTGGAAATTGCAATGTTTTTTTAAAAAATCCATATTTTCCACAAAAATAAATATATCGAGGTGAACCAAAAACAAAACTGTTAAGAATAGATGTGACTTGATAAATAAAACTTAATTTAGAACAATATACGGTTTTGCCACTCTACAGAGTGTCTTAAACTATTCTTTAATATTCGTTTAAATCCTACATCAAATAAAAAAGTTATTTGCGATTGAAATTCATCGAAAATTTGTGTGGATCGATTATTTTTCCTGTGAGTGTATTACATATTATTGTTTTATATAAAACTTTTTTAATTTTTGTTTTTTTATAACAGAATAATTAATATTCTTTTATTAAAACCTTTAATAATTTTTCCTCAGTAGTTGAAGTATTTTTTCCATTTTTTTTACAGAAAATTCCACCAAATGGCAACACAACATTTAATGTTGTTTTTTTGGGACGGGAAGAAGGTTTGGTTGAAGGTAATTTATTTATTCATTCATCTGATGGTTATTTTAAGTATAGCGTAAGTAAAAAAAATGATTTTGTTTGAAAGATTTATTAAAATAAAAATTATTTTTTAGGTAAAAGGAGCAACAACTTATAGTCGTTTCAGACTTAGACCCATTGTCGGTGTAAAATTACCATTAAATGCGACATTTTCACCATTAATTTATTTATATAACCCTCATCCAAAACCAGTTCAGGTAAATAAATATTTTCATTTTATTGTTTATTGAAATTATAATATTTTTTTTCCTAAACTTAGATCACGGAGGTGTACAGCAGCGGCGGAGAGTTTCATTTAGAATTGCCCACCGGTGATCAGGAAGGTCCCAATGATCTTTGGGAGATCGCGCCCTACCAAACCAAGGCCATTATCAGGGTCCGGTTTAGGGGCAAAGTTGTGCAAAATCATACTGCATACGTTCGGTAAGGAAACCCATACAAAATATTGGCATGTGGTAAACTAAAATTACAGAAAATGTGCCCTAAATTATTATTATTTTTTTTTGGGTTCAAATTTATATATAGTTGCTATAAGAAATAACAAAAGTAGTTCAAGGTTAGTTGTTTTTGTAATGAAATTATACCTTATAATATTAATGTTATTTAATCTCTTATTTTGACATAATCAACATAAATTAATAAATCTATGCATAATTAATTTATTACAATTAGGATTATACTCAAGGTGTGGTTTATTGCCAATCTGTTTTCACATTGAATTGGGGTTTGCATTTACAATTTTTTTTAAATCCAATTCATAACCTTCATAAACTTTCAGATATGTATATTAGACTGGGCCAAAAAAATCAACTATTTTTTTTTTGAAAAGTATATCGAAAATATGGTTTGGGGTGACAAAAAAAAATTATTGTGAAAGTTTGAGTCCATAATGTTAAGATATTTTTTTCTGAGCGAGTTTTTGTCTCAGAACTCCCTAACCATTGAGTTTAACAAAATTGACTCAGATATATTTTTTTAAGGAAATTAAATGCTCTACAAAAAAGGTTAAAATGAAATTTTCCGTCAGATGAACCGTTTCCTTAAAATCATGCCTTAAAGATTGGTATAGTTTTACATTTTGATCTGAAACGATGAATATTCTTATGGGAAATCAAATGTTTTTTTCTTAACATTTTTGGCTAAATTCACTCAACTAAAAGTTATTCAAGGTTAAAGTTGAAGTCAAAACGAAATTCTTGTTTTTTCCTCTGTAGATTTATTTTTGTATGGATGATAATTTGATTTTTTCTTTATAAATGTGTATTTATAACTAATTAAGAAACAACATGATTGTTATTATTTAAACGATTAAATAGGTAACAGTGAAAATGATATTTTCTAAAGAAAATAGCTTCTTAAAACGAAAAAATTTGAATGTGTTAATTTTTTTAATTTTCAGTAATTTTATCAATAACATTAAAATTTTCATCGATAAAAGAATTCAAGTTTTTAAGTGACCCAAAAAAATGTAGAGCGGAAAATCAAGAATTTCGTTTTGACTTCAAATTTAACCTTGAATAACTTTTGATGGAGTGAATTTAGCCAAAAATGTGAGGAGACTTTTTTTGTAGAGCATTTGATTTCCCTTAAGAACATCTTCGGTTTTTTTTTCGGGTACTGATTTTTACATGAATTACAAAATTCTAAAGTTAAAAGATCAAATTGTAAAACTATACCAATTTTTAAGGCATGGTTGTAAGAAAACGGTTCATATGACGGGAAATTCCAATCAAACCTTTTTTGTAGAGCATTTAATTTTCTTTAAAAAATATTCTTAAGTCAATTTTGTTAAACTGGTTTGCTAGTTCTGAGACTCAAACTTTCACCATAATTTTTTTTGTCACCCCAAACAATATTTTTGATATACTTTACAAAAAAAAATAGTCGATTTTTTTGGCCCAGTCTAATGTATATGGTCTTACTAAAAACTGAAAAAATGTATTTTTGCGTAGGTCACCAAAAAAAAATTATCAGGGGTGGAAATTTTGATTTTTTAGAAGCTTGCTGTAGATTTAAAAAAGCCATACGGATATAAAGTGGGTACAAATACAACAATTATTATAATCCACCCAAAAGTCTTAAAAAAAATTCATTTGTTAGTACTTATTATTGCAATTAGAGGCGCGCAATAAAAATTTGATTTTTAGCACAAAAGAGATCACAAAACGGTTCTTGGATTTTTGTACTTTTATTTATATTTAACTACATACTTCTTCAAGAAAAAAGTGCTCTATTTTGAATTTGGCGCCAAAACTAAAAAGCGGGATTATAAGTTTCAATATAAAAAATAAATTTGGAACATCCAATTCCAAAATGGCTTTAAATAATACTAAGGTGTTTTTTAACAAAACTTAAAAAAAAAATTAGCTAGCATATCTGGAGTAATTGTCTCAAACGCTGTATGCGTTTTTGCTTCTAATTCGCCCAAATTATTAATTTTTATATGACGGTTAGGGTGCTTTAGCGACATTTTTTTTTCAAAGTCCCACCTGAAAATTTTGTAACCGGTCAGAAAACAAAAATTTTGAGCCATTACAATGCTCTTAATTTTTATTTTAAGCCGTTGCTATTCAATTTTTATATATTTCCCTTTAAACACCATTAAAAAACAATTTTTTATTCTTTTCTCCTTCCGCTCGTACAGTAAGAATATTTTTTTCGAATTTCGGTTTTAAAATCTTTATACAGGTTGAAATTATCTTCAAAAATGTCCATTTAAGCAAGTCCGTAAGTTGAATATGTTCTTTAAAAATTGCCGTTCTACTCGAAAATCTTCTTAAATAGCATTAAATCGTATTTGGAGACTAAAGTATTGATTGTAGATAAAAAACGTAAATGACAATTTTGTAGGGAATTTTGTGCCCTCAAATTGCTTCATCAAATTCTGAACCAAGAACAGACATTACAATTATTGTTGTTTTATTTTACGTATACAGGGTGTCCGGGAAAAGGAGGTCAATCCGTTAACCATATATTCCTTGAGTTAAAACAATAAGACTTTCATAATACCATTTTTCAATTTAGAGCTTCATGTTCGATATACAGGGCGACAAAGTTTGAAATTTAAAACTGATTTTTTTTAATAATTCGAGTAATTGATAAGATATTAAGTTTAAATTCGGTACACTACTACAACATAAATAGTTACATTTTTTGAGACCAACAAAACAAAAAACAATTGTCAAATAATCAAAATTGGGGGGGGTCCAGTACTCACTGACTCCCCCTATTTTTTAGTACGTGCGCCAATGACTTCCAAACGGTTTTTTTTCAGGTAATAATTTATTGTAAAAATAATTTTGTCTCCTATAAAATTTTGATAAAATGATTTGTTTTAGAGATAATTTGTAAAGTATAGGTCAGTCCATATCAAATCAACCAAAGGTTCTTCCCCCACCATCTCCGATTTTGATAATTATTGGTAAATTTGTTTACCTCACTAAAAAACTCAAAAATCCCATATATGAATTTTTTTCGATAGGTGGCTTTTGTTTTATTGATTTTTGAAAATCAAAAAATTCCGATAAATTTGGGTCTTGCAAGTACTTACAAAAATAGCGATATCTCGTAAACTATTAAAAGTAGAAAGGTGAGTGGTGGCTTATTTTAAAGGCCTATTAGAGACCTTTTTTATGATATATCACATGACCTAAATTTTTTCAAAAAAAAAATTAAATTTTGAAAATTTGATATGGACTGACCCATACTATACAAATTATCTCTAAAACAAATCATTTTATCAAAATTTTATAAGATACAAAAAATGTTCAACAATAAATGATTACGTGAAAAAATACCGTCTGGAAGTCATTGGCGCACGTACTAAAAAATAGGGGGAGTCAGTGAGTACTGGACCCCCCTATTTTGATTATTTGACAATTGTTTTTTATTTTGTTGGTCTCCAAAAATGTAACTATTTATGTTGTACCGAATTTAAACTTAATATCTTATCAATTACTCGAATTATTAAAAAAAATCAGTTTTAAATTTCAAACTTTGTCGCCCTGTATATCGAACATGAAGCTCTAAATTGAAAAATGGTATTATGAAAGTCTTATTGTTTTAACTCAAGGAATATATGGTAAACGGATTGACCTCCTTTTCCCGGACACCCTGTATAACCAAGGAACCGCTAGGTTTGTCGAGAAATCTGTTTTTGACATTCGATATTGTAGACCAGTGCAGAAGCCTTTAAAAATGGTAAAAAGAGAAAAAAAATAACAGTAGGATGAAACCCATTGGAAAAGGAGGGGAATATAATAAAAATGAAAGGAAAAATAAATTACGGGCGATCTGAGTTCGGGAAGTGGGAGGGGGGGGTTTAAGGGTAAAAAATGGTTTATCTCGATTTCCGGCAAAACTACAAGTCCTATGGAAAAAAGTTAAATGTCAAAGTTGTAGGTAATAAAAAGATCTACAACTTTTGTATTTACAATTTTTTCACATAACCTCAAAATTTATGTGAAAAATTTAAAAAACCAAGTTTTTGGTTTTTTATTTTTATCTTTTTCAAAAAAAAATTTTTTTTCACGAAATTTGGTGAAAACTTACCTTTTTATGTCCCAAATACACTGTAATTTATTTGATTTAAAATATTTATTATTTCGCCTTATTTTAACTTAATATGAAAAAAGCACCCTAATTTTCAATCGAAAATTCTCGCGTCAAAATATCAGCTTTTTTCAAAAAGTCGGTGTGCTTTTTGTTCGATGAACTCTCTACTTTCTGATGGTGTAAAAAAAATATACATTACTATGGTAAATGTTCTCAGAAAATACAAAAAATATTATAATGAATAACGTAATCAGAATGAAGTATCTAAATTTAATAGTATGATTTACATGTATTTTTATATTTTATGAGATTTTCTGACATAAATGTTATTAGAATTTAATAAATAAACTTTTTAACTAAAAAAATTGCAACAATCACATTTTTTGATGAAATTGTACATAATTGTACATAATGATTAAAATAAATTTTCGAATTCGAGTTTTTTTCGTTATTCATTATAATATTTTTTGCATTTTCTGAGAACATTTACCATAGTAATGTATATTTTTTTACACCATCAGAAAGTGGAGAGTTCATCGAACAAAAAGCACACCGACTTTTTGAAAAAAGCTGATATTTTGACGCGAGAATTTTCGATTGAAAATTAGGGTGCTTTTTGATATTAAGTCAAAATAAGGCGAAATAATAAATATTTCAAATCAAATAAATTACAGTGTATTTGGGACATAAAAAGGTAAGTTTTCACCAAATTTCGTGAAAAAAATTTTTTTTTGAAAAAGATAAAAATAAAAAACCAAAAACTTGGTTTTTTGAATTTTTCACATAAATTTTGAGGTTATGTAAAAAAATTGTAATTACAAAAGTTGTAGATCCTTTTATTACCTACAACTTTGCCATTTAACTTTTTTCCATAGGACTTGTAGTTTTGCCGGAAATCGAGATAAACCATTTTTTACCCTTAAAACCCCCCCCCTCCCACTTCCCGAAGTCAGATCGCCCGTAATTTATTTTTCCTTTCATTTTTATTATATTCTTCTCCTTTTCCAATGGGTTTCATCCTACTGTTATTTTTTTTGGTTTCAAAAATTATCGACCCTGGTCTATTGATGACGCAATTTGAAACATTCGCCGCGACGACTGTACCGGTTTTTGTGTATCGTGCGTATATCTGGATGGGTAGTTCATCGCGATCGGTGGCGTAGACTCGAGCGCAAAGTAAACGTCACCCGATTTCAGGATAAAGCTGAACTCGCAGAGCGAGCTGCTGGTGGTGCCGCTCGAGGTGGAGGTTACCCCGGACGCCGAGATGGTGCATCCGCAAGGCGGCATCGACTTCGGCATCGGCGGCAACCTCGATCCGCCCAAGGAGGCGAAGCTGTGCGTCTCGAACCCCACCAAGAAGCCGATGCGCGTGCACAGCGTCACCGCTACGTCGAAAGCGATCGAAGTGAGCTACGAACCGGCGCGAGTGATGCCGGACGCGGACGACAACAGCGGCTGCACCGAGGTTGCCACGTTGACACTTAACTGTGAGTATGTCATGCAATAATGATTTTTCCCATTTTAGGGACATTTTTTTATTTAATTTTAATTTTTGATTTATTTTGAAATCGAGCTAAGGCTTATACAGGGTGTTTCACATTCGTTTTCCATTAGAAGTTTCTGGGGAACGGAAAAATATATCGAATTGAAATTTTAAAAGCGTTTATAGTCCATATAAATCTATTTTCCTAAAAAAACACTTATAATATAAAACTTGAGAAATGCGTGTTAATAAAATAGCCCATAGCTTTTTTTTTATTATGTTTGCGAATATGATGGTGAAATTTTTGGAATCTTAAAATATTGTTTGAAAGATTCCTTGTCAATTCTTTAGCATTAACATTAAACATAACTCCCAGTATGTTTTTTCATAGTCAAATAGTAAATTAAAAAACCTTTTTCTAATTCTGTTATGGAATATGAACGTTCTAATATCACTTTTATCTATGAAATGACATATATTCCGTAAAGTGTTACAGAATGAAATATTCTATCATCTGATGACAGAATAAACACTCGTGGCGACATCTCTGTTTTTAATATCTAACAAATTTTAGACCGATCCAACCTCACTTTCTTCCAATTAAATTATTTGTCTATGGTATTTTTTGGAAACGTAGAAAAAGTATAGTCTGAAACACGTTTGGAATTGCATATTCCCCTATCGTGAAACCGTCAAACTCGCCTTCGGCTCGTGTGACAAACTTTTCACTCGAGCGGAATATGCCGTATTCCAAACTTGTTACAGAATATACTATTTCATTGATATTGATTCTATACATTATAATCCTATAGGGTTTAATTTAAAACGACTATTTTTTGTTTTTCACTGACACTCCAAAATATTATTCAAAACATATATTATTCAAAATCTTTCAAACTTGTTACAGAATATACTATTTCATTGATATTGATTCTATACATTATAACCCTATAGGGTTTAATTTAAAACGACTTTTTTTTTTTTTATTTAAAAAAGTACATCCTAAATATCACAGTAGCGATAATATCAGATAAGTATAAATATAATAAATAAATAAGTATGTATAATATTGGATTTATATGATAAATAATAAATAAGTAAATATATTAAGTAGATATTCTTTGGTGCAAAATAAAAGTCTTCAAGTTGGTTTTGAAAGTCGTCTCGGGTAGGTTTTTTATATTCTCTGGTAATTTGTTGTATAGTTTGTACCCTTGATGTTTTATTTTCATTTCTCCATATTTTGTTTTGGCTCTTTCTATGTCTATTTGTTCACGTCCTCTTGTATTATGTTCATGTGTGTCCGCTCTTTTTCTAAATGTTACTTCTTCATCCAGTATCTTATTTGTTATGATCTTGTGCACTAATTTATGGGTTTCTAGTTGTCTAAGCTCTTCGATATTTAGCTGTTTGGTGATCTTATAAAGTTGTTCAGTAGGCATGTATTTGTCCATTTTGTGCATAATCTTTAATATTTTATTTTGATTTCGCTGCAACGATTTTTTAGCGGTTTCGTTTGCTGTTGCCCAAAAAGGTATGAGGTATGCCAATTGACTCTTAATATAGGAATCATAGACTAAGATTCTTTGTTTAAGAGGAAGTGTGTTTGCTATTTTGTTCATTAGGTATATGTATGAAGAGAGAGATTCATTTAGTTTATGTATGTGTTGCTTCCAGTTTAGTTTATTGTCAATGTGTAGTCCCAGGTATTTGATTGTTTTAACTTCCTTTAGTGGCTCCTTGATTTTGATGTTAATTTGATGTTCTCTTGTTCTGGATTCAAAGTTTATAAAGTGACATTTTTTATGATTTAGGGTAAGTTGATTAAAATTGGTCCATTTTTTTAGTGTATTTAAGTCTTGTTTAATTTTACTTTCTGTGTCTTTGTTGTTTTCGTTCTTGTAAAAAATTGCCAAGTCATCTGCATACATAAGCATTTTACCATGTATTTTATATAGGCTAAGATCATTAATGTAAAGTAAGTACATGTAGGGTCCCAGAATTGACCCCTGAGGAACACCATATTTGATTTCCTCTATTGTGCTGCATTGGTCCCCTACCACTGTAAACTGGCGTCGATTTGTTAGATATGATTGGAACATGTTTAGAGAATTTCCAGTTACTCCCATATTTTTCATTTTTGAAATTAATAAGTCAAGGTTCACTGTGTCAAATGCCTTTTTGTAATCTAGTACTAAACCAGTTACCGTTAGTTTGTTGTCAAGTTGTGTTAGAATGTAGTTCATTAAGTTGCTTATTGCTGTTGTTGTTCCTTTATGTGTTTGAAATCCGTGTTGGCTAGCTGTTAGAATATCTGACTGTTTTTTGTTTTTCACTGACACTCCAAAATATTATTCAAAACATATAATATTCAAAATCTTTCAAAGTTTTAGCCCTTAAATTTGATTTTAAGTACTTCCTTTTTCATTAATTTCACTTTTTTTAATTTTCTATATCTTTTTCGAGTTTTAAGCTATTGTATTGTGGTTCATTGTTACTTACAGAATATTTAATGCTTTTTAAAGAGCCTTTAAGAATTTTTCTCCAAGTTGATTTTTAAAAATATTAAGAGAATGGCTTGCCTTACCAAGAAATAAGGGCTAAAACTTTGAGAGAATTTTTTTTCGATGTTTTTCACAATATTTTGTGTGTCAGTGAAAAACGAAAAATAGTTGTTTTAACCCTACTATACAAAAAGTTAATAATTTAAGAGATATTTAACAATTTCTAAAATTTTAAATATTATTTTGTATCATGAAACCTGTGACAGGTGAGTTGACTGTATCTATGTTACCATGTCATTGTTTAAAATTCAATTTTTTAGGTTGTTATTATCAATTTTAAAAATCAAAGCTGTATGATATCAACTAGATGATTGAATTATTAACTTTAGGTATAGAGATTGGTAACATCAGCTCTTAAAGTAATTTTTTTACTTTTTTCACATATTTTTAAAAATATTAAGAGAATGGCTTGCCTTACCAAGAAATAAGGGCTAAAACTTTGAGAGAATTTTTTTTTTCAATGTTTTTAACAATATTTTGTGTGTCAGTGAAAAACAAAAAATACATCCTACTATACATAAAGTTAATAATTTAAGAGATGTTTAAGAATTTCTAAAATTTTAAATATTATTTTGTATCAAGAAACCTGTGACAGGTGAGTTGACTGTATCTATAGTTGCCATGTCATTGTTTAAAATTCAATTTTTTAGATTGTTATTATCACAGACCTACAAGGTCTGTGGTTATTATCAATTTTAAAAATTAAAGCTGTATAATATCATTGATATTATATCAACTAGATGATTGAATTATTAACTTTAGGTATAGAGAATGGTAACATCGATCGAAAGGTACTACTTACTATTTGATTATGTAAAAACATACCAGGTATTACATCTGAAATAAAAAAGTTATAACTTTTAAAGAATTGACAAAAAAACTTTTAAACAATGTTTTAAGATTCCAAAAATTTCATATTCGCAAACCAAATAGCAAAAAAGTTATAGGATATTTTTGATTGAGGCGCATTTCCCAAATTTTAACGAAAAAAAATTAATAACTAGAAAACTATTTACTGGGTATAGGATATGGTAATGTAATTTTACTCAGAATTTTATGTACAATTTAAAAATGTAAAAATATATGGGGTGTTCTATTTGAAATATCAAAGTTGTCCGGTTAAACCGAAAGTGGCATTTTGTTTAAAATATTTTAGAAAAATAGACTTAAATTTTCAAATCGATCTTTTTTCGTTACCCAGAAACTTCTAATGGACCACGAATGTGAAACACCCTGTATAGTTAACAATTTTTCTTTACATAAAAACAACATTTAATTTGTAATAACATTGTTATTAGGGCCCGGATTATATGCATTTGCCTATTGTATATAAAGGTCATTTTTACCGGTCTTATGATGATGCATATTTTATATTGTCGAGTTTGGCAGAAAACTATTTCGTGCACAAAAAGTTTCAAATAGACCATGCCAAGCTGTTTATGTGACCTATAATCCGGGCTCTAGTTATTATAAACAAATTTTTACATATTATTATTGAATGGGGTTTTAAAGTGAGGGAAAAAAAAGACCAGGCCTTGGAAAAATTGTCATTTTGTGAAAAATTGATTTTTTTCTTGGGAAATATACACATTTGAAAAAAAGTGGCAATCAACAACTTAACATTATTTTAATTTAAAAAAAATATCCTTATCCAGAAAAAAATAAATAAAACTAAACATTGAATTAAATTATATTGATTTAAGAAAATAAACGTAAACGTTAAATATACCGTTAATTGGGTCTTTTTTGCAAAAAGGAGTCACTTGAAAATATCCAATTACAAAATAATGAATGATTTATAAAGTTAAATTACAAACTTACATAATTATAATTTTATAAATCAAAGTGTCAAATTAAACGAAAGTTATGTTAATACAGCACTGAATATGTTTTTTTGCGACCCGGTAGAATATTCTTATTAAATTAAAATAAAAGGAATAATTATAATCATATTTTTATGATTATATTCAGAGTCGAAAATTCACTTTTTTATCGACATCAGTGTAAGGATAGTATCCGTAAAAATTTGTAAATTTTCAGAAAAATTGGATTTTGCATTTTTTCGTATTAGCCTTTGAATAAAATTTAAAAAATATGCAAAACGACCATTTTAAGCGGACGGTCGGGACAAATCACAAACCTTTTTTTTTTAAATTGTAGGGAATTTATTATATATTATTTTTGCATTAAAATTCTTCAATATATTCTTATTTTATTAAATAAAAAAAATCGCTAAAAATATTTTATAAAATAAGATAAATCTTTTTTGTCTCGTCCACACCTTTCAATTATTAAAATTATCTCTACTTTTATAAAATATTTCTTGCGTTTTTTATTTAATGTATAACCTAATAAAAGGAGAATATTTTTGACAATTTTGATGCCAAAATACAGGGTGTTATGTAATTAATGTTATATATTAAAATGGGTTGTTCCTTAGGGTCCATAAAGAAGCACCTGAAACTTTTTTTTCTAAATTCCAAAGTCTAAAAATAATTTATAATAACCTTTATCCTACCAAAAAGTACGCCACTGATCGACTAGGAACTTTAGGTTAATCTGGTGGATTTATTATGTTATGGTTGGTAACAACAGTGTTACCAAAATCTCTCAAAAAAGTTGACAAACATTGTTTAAATTTAGCTTAATTACAAAAATGACAAAATTAACAATGCAAATTGTCAATTTGGCGTTTTTATTAATTGTTGGTTATTTCATTTTTGTACTGAAGGTAAATTCAAACAAAATCTGCCAACTTTTATGACAGAATCTAGTGCATTTCTTTTAAATTTTAGGTTATTTTTTCAAATTGTAAATATCTTAACTAAGGGAAGTGCTTTTGGATTTATTTACACAAATTAAATTTTTATAGTTTAACCTGTGAACTGGTCCCAATTTCATCTGAGTAAACAGAGAAAAAAACTGATGAAAAAATTAATTTTGTGGTTATGGATTTCAAATTTCAAAGGTACTATATTTTCTAATCATTGCTTAAGCTAATATCTGGATCAGTAAATAAATACAGAAGGGTATTAGAGCTTTAAGGGCATAAAACTTTTGTATTTATTGAGTTTTTATTTATTTTTTGCAAGAAAAATTTTTAGTAACAATTTTTTACATCTGGCAACACATAGCTACTTTGTTGGTTGGTATCTATGTACTCACAAAATACAGGTGTGCAGAGATAAACAAGTGTGTAACCAGTGGCGTATCACAAAAAATATAAAAAACCTCTAATGCATATTTTTTCTTTATCTTTGAAAAAATGCTTTTTAAAATATTTTTCCTTTATTCCTTATGTCAAAAGGTATTCAGTATTTTAATATAATATATAATATATATAATATATTATAAAATTAATTACATAACACCCTGTATTATATAATAAATATTCTAATTTTTTTTTATAAAAATAGTTTTGTAATTCGAGCGTTTCGAGCGCTTGAAATGGCCGAAAAGTCATTTTTTCTGAAAATTTCCCAATTTTCCTGGAAAAACCCATTTTTTCCGCCGGATTAATTTTACCGGTAATTTTAAAACCCTATTCTTGCAACAACAAAACTTGTTTGTGAAAAATTGTGATTTTCTCTTCCAAACATTCGTTCTTTCTTCAAGGGAAACATGCGTTCGATAAACAGGAATTCTCGGGCAAGATCCACATAAAATACCGGCAAGGCAAGAACACGACCGTCATCCCGTACTATTTGACGGTGTTGGACGGCGGCGTGACCTTCGACCTTCTTCAAACTTCGTATTTCGTCGACGAGCACGCGGGCGATCTAAACTCGCGCGATTTCGTCGTTCGAAACGATTTTTACAGTCCGGTCGAGGTGCTCGGCTACGAAATGCAGGACGAGGCCAAAAAGTATTTTAGGGTAAGCGAACATGTTTGAAAATATTTACTTTAAAATGTAGTATATGCAGTCCCCGGCGAATTTATTAGACTCGCTTAAAAGTTTTTACAATAAATTTGGATTTAAATCAGTGATGGTACAAATTTACCTAAATTCCTATGTAATATATATGGCCCGCCATTTAATTCAAATTTAATGGAAACCCTATTAAAAATGCCATATAGAAACACAAAATAAAAATCTATCTGGTTCAATATAGGAATTTGAAACAGGCATTTCACTATTGAACCAGATAGAATACCATACCTGGAAAACCATATAGAAAAGTGATTTCTATATGGAAAATTATTACCATATAGATCCATATTTAACCATATAGGGGAATCTATATGGTTTAATATGCAATTTTCGTTTAAATATATATACATTTTAAAATGGAATTCCATATTCAACCATACCTATAGGAAAACATATGGAAAGACACATAAAACAGAAACCAGATAAATCCATATAAAAATCCCTAAGTTGTACATTTTAAAATTAAATTCCATATTAAACCATATAGATTCCAAAGTGTAAACCAGGTCGTTCCATATAGGACATATAGAACCATATAAATCCATATTAGTTTCCTTATCTGGATCAATATGGGTTCTATAGGGCATTTTTAATAGGGAACAGATAGGAAAAATATCAAATTATTATTACGTCTAGGCATAATAATAATTATTTGAGATATTATTTTGTTAATTGAATTAATATTTGCCTCATTTAAATTTGGTCCATTTTAATTTTGTATGAGGTTCTTTATTTTTTTACTTTGAAATTTATATAGGAATTATTGTGAGACTAAAAACATTGTTGAACATTTTTTTAAACATTTTATTTTATTTTATTACTTTTGTTGTAATTTCTTATTTATAACACGACAATCATTTTTATTTTGCAATTAATTTTATATGTACACATAATTTTAATAGTAATAAAAAATTATACAATTAATTTTATGTGTACACAAATTAATTAATGCAATGAATGAAATTTTTTGTTACAATTAAAATTATGACTACATAATAAAAATTATAGAATTAATTTTTTCTACGCTTATTACGGAATTTGACAGTTCTTATATGACTTTTTAATCTGGAATTACGTATATTCCATAAAGTGTTACAGAATAATTATTCCGCACAGGTTTTAATGATGGAATGAGCACTGGGGGCGACATCTCTATGTTTATTTTATAACTCACTTGTATTCCTACCAAATCTAGTTTTTTCAGAAAGGCCCGGTAGAAAATATTAATCGGTAGTATACAATAGGATTTAAAACAGTTTGCGTTAACAAAAATACCCAAAATATATCTTCTTTACAAGCTAGTTGTAATTCGGTTTGGCCGATTTAGTAGGATTCTATTAGAATATTTAGGTTTGACTTAGTCCCAAAGAGATGGCAGCACTGGTTAATTGTTTACGTCTGTCATTAGTTAATTCAAAATTTGAAATTCAAATAATAACTTATTTGCCATTCCTTACAATTTGTCCATTTCTTCTTTATACTTCCTAATTTAGGTTCTGCAAAATTATGTAAGTAATTTTTATAAGCTTATTTAAAAATTATCTTATTTACTACCATCATAAAATCTAACATCTGTCAAAAGATAACCTAACTTTTTTCCAATTAAATTATTTCTGTGGTATTTTTTATAAGCGTAGAAAAAGTATAGTCTGAAACACGTTTGGAATTGCATATTCCGCTCTCGTGAAACCGTCACACTCGCCTTCGGCTCGTGTGACAAACTTTTCACTCGAGCGGAATATGCTGTATTCCAAACTTGTTACAGAATATACTATTATTCTACACATAAAACTAATTTGGCGCTTTAGGATTGCGGCAGGAAGTGCCAACTGCAGTAGTTCAAATGTATAGTAGGTATTTATGCGTTATTTATCTACGTCAACTTTGGCGCCAATATGCGGAGAGATTCGGGTTTTGTTCTTCTATGTAAATAATTATAAACATTATTTCTATGTATACAATTAACGAAACTAGAAGGTTCTAGTTTTGTGATATAATTATATGACGTAGATAATTAATATAATATAATTATAATTATACATACCACTTGAACTACCGCAGTTTCCACTTTCGGCCGCACTTCCGCAGCATATAATTTTATCGGTACACATAAAATTATATACCTAGTAGGGGTGTCAATCCCGGGATCCCGAAATCCCGGGGTCCCGGGATCCCGTAAAAAATCCGATCCCGAAAATCCCGGGATTAAAAGTCCCAATCCCGGGATCTTAGTAATAAGTTACAAAGAATAAAATAGACTTTTTTTTAAGCGTATAACATTTTTTGTATTATAATACTCATAAGCATATATATAAACACGTCAAGTCAAATTATTATACACCGCCGTACAATAATGAAAATACATTGAAATTACATAGCAAGAGTGGTTCCATCTATAGCATAAAATCAGCAAAGAAAATGTAAAATTACACGTCACTGTAGAAAAAAATTATATACATAACCTATAATATAACACATTTCAAACGTCAAACCTGAAAAAATGTCACAAACTTGATAATTTTAATGTAAATTACAGCCCCAATTGGAACTTACCAAGGCCCGATTGATAAAAGAAATGAAATTATTTGTTAATGGGGGTAAACGTGGGTACAATGTGCCTACGAATTCTTGAAAACCATTCTTCCGACTAGTGTGAAATCCGAAAGATATCTTCGTTAGTTTGTTTGTTGTTTTATTTTAAATTGGTTTTAAAATTAATGATATATATTTTTTCGGGACTGATCCCGGGATCCCGGGATTAGTTACCTTTGGTCTCGAAAGGCCCGGGATTGGAAAATGGGCTCGGGATTGACACCCCTAATACCTAGTCATAATTTTAATTACAAAATAAAAATTCGGTGCATTAATTTTATGTGTACACATAAAATTTATTAGGGCACGCCGTTTTACTTTTTAATTTTATAAGAAATATTAAGTTAAATATTAATGTGTCACAAAAATATTGCAACCTGAAAAATTACATTATATAAATAATTAAACATCTTATATACCTAAACATATTTGAAAAAAGTATAACTTCTTTGACATCTATAATTCTAATTCTTGAAGGTATTAATATTTAACTTAATATTTTTTATCTGAAAAAAAAAAAGTGAAACAGCGTGCCATATATGTTATAAAATTTATATTAAAAAAACACAACTTTTTGTCTTTAAAACTTATTTTTGCAATAAAACTTTGATTACAACATGGTTATATATGACATATCTACATTGTATCTAAACATGTAGTAATAAGTGCCATTGCAAAAATGGGTTTTAAAGCCCAAAAAGCAGTTTTTTGAAAAATATCAATTTTATATCATAATATCGGTATTTTTTTTACTATAATTTTTTTAATTTTAATTTTTTAGTGAAAATGTTTTTATCGTCAAAGCGCTTTAATCGCGATTCTAATAATAAAATCACTGTTGTAGTTCAAAAACGTATTTTTGAGGGAATACCCCAGCAAACAAAACCGTAAAGGTTATATAATGGCCCTTTATAAACGTGGCATTTAGCACAAAATGGTCCGAAAAATCAAAGCAAATTAACCATTATGATAGAGAATAAAAATACAAAAACTTTTATTGAAAATGAAATTTTCTAAAAATGTAAAATAGTTGTTTTTCCTCTTTGTCAAACCCATCAACCGTGGACATACTGTAAATATCGACTATTTTACAAAATCCAAAAATTAAAGAAAATTTGCGTGTCTGGTAAATGGACCAGGGACTGTAGGTTTTGCATATCGGGGCACATTTCATCTTATGCACAAAATTAGACGTTATTTACCTTTTGCACGTTTTAGATTGAATCGTTTACCCCCATGGTCTTAAAACCGACAAACGAAAAGACAATTTTCCGTATAAAACTGAAACCGAACGCTAATTTGAGCGGGGTAAACTTAAACTCTCAAATCACCATTAAAACGAACGTCACGGAAATAGCGGTTCCACTTCTGAGCTACAAAGGAAAACTAAAACTGGTAAGAAATTATCATTGTCAAGGCAGTTGTGTATTAATCAAAAAATTCCTTTTAGTTTTTGCCATATAAGGGTCCGGATAATACTCTGGATATCGGTTTGATAAGCTACAACACTCAGAAAAACGTTTATTTTTTGCTGGCCAATCCCAACCCTGTCAGTTTGGTAATGAAAACCATAAGATCTTCTATACCAATGACAAACATGGAACTGATGGGGTGCAAGAAAGGAAACTACGAGAGTGCTTTGCTGCAAATCAAGCACAGAAACTTAACAAATTGCGTAAGAAAAAAAAACCCTTTATTGATTTTTTGATGCGTTTAATTACCCCTTTCAATTTAACATAGTCACCCCACTAAAATAGCCCAACAGAGTCAAGTCGCAAGATCTAAAATCATGTAATGTTTCTTCACTAATAGTCCCTCCTAAAGTATGACTGTGTGTTCAAACTTCGTATTGTCAAGAGTATCGTATTTTTGCAGATTAACATCAAACCCAACCATTACGCTGTTGTCAAATTGTCGATACAAACTTCCGGTTCGGAAGGGCAAATTTGGGGCGACGTTTACGTCGAAACGCAATACGAACAGCTTTCGATTCCCGTGCATTTCCGAGTGGCTCCGGGAAAACTCGAAGTCGGACCCGATCGCCTCGTGTTCGACCAGTGTTTTCCGGTAAGATATGAAAGTACCGACTATTTTCTCATTTTTTAATCTGCATGTGTAGTTTTATATTTGCCGACTCTGGTGGCCACCTCTAAAACACGATCTGGCAACATTCTGACACTATATTTGGAGGGATTTTAGCGTCGATTCGAAAAACTAAAAGCGCTTCTTTTTTAGGGTAAAATTTGTTCGCACCCTTTAAGAGTGCACTCGACATTTCGGGAACCGATGATAATCGAGAACATTGTCAGTTTGCCGCCCGACAAAAGGATTTCCAGCAAACATTCCGGGCACATTTTGGCCGGCACCAGTAAGGTTATCGGTCACCTGTACTTGGATCCGAATGCCGAGTGTAAAACTCAGTGTTACACTGGGTTGGGAGAAGTCGGTAAGGAAATGTTATTTTTATTGCTTGACAAACGCCAAAAACCTTTTTTTTTCGTAATTATGATTGATAGTTTGCTGTTTTCTTTTGAAATTCGATTAAACATGTTCATAATGTAGTATGTAATGTTCATATTGTAGTACAGTCAATCTGTATTCTTACATTTAAAAAATTCCAAAAGCGCGGGATTTTGGATATGGTATTCCTGGTGGTCTTTTTGAAAGAAAAAAATTTTTATTTCGTTCTTATTAGTATTAGCTTTATTTTTTTTAAATTTTTGTTTTTAGGCAAAACTTTGTGTATTTAGTTCCTATAGAGGGCGCCAATTTTTTTTACTTTTTTATTTTGGCCCTCTAAAATTGATTAAAAATAAAAATGCTGAATAAAAATATAAAAAGTGTTAATATTAAAATATAAAGTTTTGCCATGTTTTGTTTTAAAACTTTTTTGTGTCCTACCAATAGGGAACAAGATAAAACGATTTAAAACTTTCTTTAGAAAAATGGGGGAAATCGGCGGAGAGGGAAAACCAAGAATTTTAAATTTTTTCACTACCATGCAGGATTAAAATATCCAAAATCCAAGCAAGTTCGGAATTTTTTCGATATAATATAACACATAACATATAATATAATATTATTATGTAACTATGTAGATACTGAGGTACAGGTATTGGGAATTGTTGTTTTAGTTGTTTCGCAATATTTTGCTAAAAACGACTTGGTACATTTTTTGTGTGTAGAATCACTTTTTGTGCAATAACAACAAATTTCTTATCAAAAAACTTTTAAATAAATGTTTAACAATTTGTATGATTTTGTGTAATTTTTATAACCCAGTCAAATTGGTTTTTACTTTAAAAAAAATCCTAGATTTTACTTTGGAATCTTGGTCATATGGGCACTAGTAATGATTTCCAAACGAAATGGTCAAATATTAAAAGACAAAAGTGGCGTAAAGTATTAATTTTTCGTTAAATTTGTTTTAATAAAATTTGTTCCTCAGGTAAATCTGCATAGTAAAATTCGAGGTATAAGGCTGAGAAATATTGGATCAAGGTGCATACTCCACTATGCGCTTACGATAGTGAAACGAAACAGATGCATCGCAACTTTTTTTTAGCCTCATATCTCGAAAACTATTAGTCCTACGTGAGTTTTGTAATTATTACAAAATTTGTAAATAACCAAGAAATACTGTTGTTGTGACCCTTGGCCTTTGATATTTGGCAACGCCGACACAATTTCGAAAACAATCTTAGCCAGGGATAGGACGAATTTTTTTCCCAAATTGACTTTATAAAAAATTATAAAAACAAAATCACAAGTAATCTATCTTAACATTATCTTATCTATTTTTGCTTCTAAAAGTTTTTATTTAACATATAGTTTTTTATTTCTTCTTTACAAAAATATCTTCATAGTAAATAGAACACTCTAAATTCTGCATGGTTAAAAAGTTATTTTTAAATACTTGGTTTTTGGTTCAAAATATTCCACAAAAATTTCTATAATGTTTTACTTTTACAGTTTAAACTGTAAAAGTAAAACATTATGTACATTTTTGTGGAATATTTTGAACCAAAAACCAAGTATTTAAAAATATTGAATTGAATTGAAAATATGAATAATTATTACAATTTTGTGTAACCAAATTTTTCATGTTTTTACAAGTTTTCCAAAATGATTTAGTTAATTACATTTTACTAAAGTTAATTGTAAATATTTTTAAACTTATGAACGTAATTTCTACATTTCAGATTACTGGATAAAAAGTTTAACATTCTCGAATTTCACAAGAGATTTTGATATTGTAATGCTTAATATTTTATACAGCCGTTACCTAAACGAAACGGCCGACGGGTTGAGAAAATGGCAAAATATGACAATTAGAATCGACACTTCCGAAGTTAAGGGACACATTTTCAAAACAAGGTAAGAGACAAATTTTTAAAAATAAAAAAAGCTTATGCCAAACAGCTGAAGTGAAATTTCTTTTGGACAATTTAATTAAATTATTGTTTAGTTTTTATTTAATCAATAATTATTATGGTTTTGTTTAGGTTTAGGTTTCTTTAAAGAATTTAACATTTGTAGCGCTAATAATGTTATTTTTCTACTCCTATTGCATATTATTGACATTATTTGTTTTTTCGTATATAATGATAAACATTATAACCGCCCTGCCTAACAACGGGAATAATGAACTCATTATTCACGTTGTTTGTCATCAGTGATTGGCCTATTTCAATATTGACTGTGATTTGAACCAATCGGGTTTTAATAAATAATTTATTAGTTTAGTCATTTAGGGTACTTTTAGAATCACAAGGTTTTAAGTGCAGCCCTGTTAAGCGAAAATGCCTTATCTGCAATATTTAATATTGCAGAAAGTCATTTTCTCTTAACAGTGCAGCTGTAATTTTAAAGTATTGATTAGAGATTGTGAAATTTGATTTCACAGTAAAAACAATTGGCTTTTGGTATACCAATAATTTATTTGCAATAAATATGAAACATGTCCTCAATTAAGCTTTTGTGATTTTAAGCTTTGAAGGTTTTTTGTTTTAAATTTTTTGGAAATTTTTAAAAAATTGGGAAGATTTGTTTAACCTTTTTTATGTTTATTCGACTGTGCAAATTTTTCCCACAATTTTTTAACACTTCTTCATAAGTCTGAACATAAAGACTATGTTTAGTGGTAATGGTGGCTAATAATATACATATGTATAGTATAAAAAAATTTCAATATGATCAAGGGTCTCAATTAGGAGAATCTGAGTTCAACTTATCCCTTGAATCATTTATGTAATATTTTCTTATTAATTATAGTTTCTTTCAAAATTAATTTCTCTTTTTCTATCACTGTCACTTTTTTACACTTATTTTGTTTTTTAATTGGTTTTTTTCTTAATTTATTCATTCACCATCTTTCCACATACATTTTGTTACAGTACACTTGACATATTTCATTTAATTCTTTTTAAAAATCATTTCTTTTTACTTTTTCTTCCACTTGTCCAAACCATTTAATCATTACATACATTAAAAAAAAACTTTCATAAACTTCTTTAGTTCGTTTTCCATATAATCATAGATAATAAATAATATGATACATTTTTCATTTCTCAAACTCCTACTGTGCTAATTTGGTTCGAATAATCCAAAACGTCGCAGGCAATGTGCGGGCTTTTGCCGTTCCATCTTTCGTAACGCCAAGAAATTTTACTTCAAAAATATTTCTGGGCACCTATAAAGACACCATTCATACAGGGTGTTTCATAATATATGCGCAGGACTTCAGGATGTGATAGCTCATCCAAAAATATGAAAAAAGTTGCTATTAACTTACCCTCTAAAATGCACAATTTTCGAGATACAGGATGTTGAAATTTTAGAAAAAAAATCGTTTTTTCGAATATCTCCGGAACCGTTTAATGTACAAAAAACAGCTTTTGTAAGCATTTTCTACTCATAATAAGCTATATTTTGTGCCAGAAAAATTTTTTTTTACTCATAATTGGTGGAGATTTTGAAGGGGTAGCGGGTGTTTTTCTCCTTAACTTCTACGCCCCTGAAAAAAGTACGGTTCAAACCGCCAATGTTTTCTATACTAAAAAGGTACTCTTGGTCATAAGCTCTAAAGTTGACCCTTTTCGAGAAAAATCAACTTTTATGTTTAAAAACATGGTCAATTTTTTGAAAAAAAAATTTTTTTACCAATTATACAAAATTTATTTTAACGTTAGAACAAGTAACAAAACCAAACGATAATTGCAAAATTAAAAAAAAAATAAAAAATGATTCAAAAGTTGTCTTTGCAAAATTCCCCAAACCGTAAAGGTAACGCATTTCGCACATTTCAGCATTAAATGTGTAAAAAATCATTTTTTATTTTTTTTTTTAATTCTGAAATTATCGTTTGGTTTTGTTACTTGTTCTAACGTTAAAATAAATTTTGTTTAATGAGTAAAAAAAAATTTATTTCAAAAAATTGACCATGTTTTTAAACATAAAAGTCGATTTTTCTCGAAAACGGTCAACTTTAGAGCTTATGACCAGGAGTACCTTTTTGTGTAGAAAACATTGGCGGTTCGAATGGGCCTCTCAAAACCGTACTTTTTTCAGGGGCGTAGAAGTTGAGGAGAAAAACACCCGCTACCCCTTCAAAATCTCCACCAATAATGAGTAAAAAAAATTTTTTTTCTGGCACAAAATATAGCTTATTATGAGTAGAAAATGCTTACAAAAGCTGTTTTTTGTACGATAAACGGTTCCGGAGATATTCGAAAAAAACGATTTTTTTTTCTAAAATTTCAACATCCTGTATCTCGAAAATTGTGCATTTTCGAGGGTAAGTTAAAAGCGACTTTTTTCATCTTTTTGGATGAGCTATCACATCCTGAAGTCCTGCGCATATATTATGAAACACCCTGTATAATGACTTGATTTGTTAGGGTTAAAATGAGCTGGCCGAGCCTCCTCCTTAGCGACAGCGTCGAAAATCGTTCGGTATTCGTGTTCCCCACCACGCAGATCGGCAACCTGAGCTACCGCAACATATCGCTGCGCAACCCGTCTGCGCACAACCTCATCATTCAGCTAGTTTTCGACAAAAACTACGGCGACGTCGATCTGCTGTACAACGTCTTCCCCAAGGAGCTGTTGCCCAAGAAAACCAAAGAGTACCAGCAGTACGGATTCTTTTTCGTCGATTACAAGTGAGTTTTATTGCGTATTTTTACAGTATTTTTACAGCGGTTTTTGGCAATATGTGGAGAAGTTAAAGTGTGATCTGCTCGAATTGAACAACTTTGATGATTTAGTTTAGGTTAACAATGTCCGGTTAAGTTCCAGTTTGGGAAAAACTAAACAGGTTCATTTTTTGCAAAAATGAGATATGTCCATTGTGCAACTAATATTGGTATCTTAGGAAGTCAAGTTAAAATTTCAATAGCTAAATGAAAAAACGCATTGTTGAAAAAGTAATTATCATAAAAACTTTTTTATACAGAACATAAAATACTTCAAAGTGCTTCCATGAAAATTTGTAATTTTTAAAATTTATTTGTTCCATTTTCATTTGAAATATATACACTCGAGTGAACCCGATCGCATTGTTTTGCATTTGCTAGTGTGTATTTCGAGCGTTTTAACATAAATTAATTTCTTTTATTTAAAATTATAAGTTATTATGTCATACACATTGCAAGAGAAAATTGACATGATAAGCTGGTCTTAGTGGTCAATTCTCTACGTCAAACAAGAGACCTATTCTCAGTTAAATATCCGGAACGTTCTATTCCATCAATTAGAACAATAACAAACGTTATCCAAAGGTTTAAAACAAATTGTTGTATTTTGGGGTGTAAATGTCACTGTACTCCCAGAATTGATGTAGATGCGGAGATGAAAGAAATAATGGTTCCCAAAATTGCAAAATCCACAAAATATTTAAAAAAAAAATAAATATCGTTCCTATAAATACCAAGTAAATCAAGAAATTTTTCAAGACGACGAGTACTGGAGAATGGAATTTGTTGAAAATAAGATGGAACGCGCAAATGACGATGAACATTTCATTGAAAACATTGTTACCGACAAATCCATATTTTATATTTCCATTACACGGAAAGCACAATTCTGCTATTGCCCGGTACTGGTCTATTGAAAAAGAGTACAGGCAACTAAACTTAAAGACTCAGTATCCTGTAAAGTTGAACGTGTGGCCTGTTATTTATTGGAATAATATTATTGGTCCCTTTGTAATTGGTGTCAATTTAAATGGAGCGAGGTATTTGGATCTTCTTCAAAATAGAATTATTCCTGCAATCCAAAACATAACCCCAAATTTGGATAACGTTTGGTATCAACAGGACAGTTGCCCATTACATAACACAAGAATATTGGTGAAGTATATACAAAAGATTTTTCCCCAAAGGATAATTTTTACTACTACTATTCGCTGGCCAGCAAGGTCGCCAGATTTGGCTACTAAGGATTTAACGATTTAAAATCAACCTTGTACCGTCATGAAAAAATGAATAATTTTGGCGAATTAGAGGCAAGAATGCATACATTGTTTGAGACAGTTACTCCAGATATGAATAAATTATTCCAAGCTTGTGTTCAAAAAAAATTTATTATTTTTATTAATAAATTAATTAATTTATTTACATTTATTTTAAGAAGTTTGATTTTTAGTTTTGTTATGAGATTTTTTTTATTTTAGTTTTTAAAGAGATTTTTTTATTTTTAAACGTTTTTTTTTTATAAGAAAACATTTAAGTTAAATGCAAAACAAATAATGATTTTACACCTTTAATTAATAATTTACTATTAAAAGTGATTACGTTACATTTTAAGTATCTGAATCATTTTCAAAAGTAAATTAACTTTATAATGCGTAATTCGTATTAATAATTCAGAGCAAACTTCGCAAACCCAACGCCGGTGAAGGGTCTACTGCTGAATTACGAAAACCGTCTCTCGGGCTGAGAGTTTTGGCGTCTCCCACCCTTAAAACTTATTCTCCCACTCTTAAAAACCGAATGCGGCCTGTCTACATGTAAAATGAAAATGCGGTATTTGTATTTATTTATTTAGTTTGACAGTCGACAAATTGTCAGGGTTAATTTTTCGTCGTCTTTTTTCTCAGGAGGCACCTGGACAAATTCCGCGAGAAATTGAAATGGGATTACGCCGACGAGACGTTGCCATTTTTGCTGGCGCCCGGCGAAAACGTTACGGTTACAGTCGGCTTCCGAGCCGAAGAAACCAACTACGTTTCGTCTCTTCTAGTCATTAGAAATAACCTAACCATCGTGGAATTGATAACTATGCGCGGCCAAGGCGTGCACCCGCAGTTTAAATTCGGCAACAGGAAACCTGGCTCCGAACAACCTCTATCTTTTGACATGACCGAACGGCATTTAAAGGATTGCGAGAAGGATAAAAGTTCCGGGTTCACGCCGAATTTGACTGTAAAACGAAGCTTTACGGCGAGAAATATCGGAGATGTGACAATCTACGTGAACAGTTTTTACATTAACGACTACCCCTGCGAAGGGTACGGTTTTAAGGTTATCAACTGCGTGCCGTTCGTGCTGCATCCGAACGCCACCAGAAAAATCGACATCGCCTTCACGCCCGACCTAACCCTCTCCAAAGTAACGAGGACCTTGATACTGGGCACAAGCCTCAACTTCCCCGTCAACTACACCCTCTACACGACGATACCGTCCCAATACTTGAGCATGTGCTCGGAGCTGATCATGCGGCCCTACTGGGAGATATACGTCAGCTACGCGGCCAACGGGCTCATGGTGGCGCTGCTGTTCGTGATCGTCTTCCTGGCCGCCCTGGACGCCGACAAAATCAAGAGGCAGTCGATGCGCGAGGCCTTGAGTTCGCCCACCGCGTCGGTGCAGCCCGTGCTGGACCTCCGATTGGTCGGGCAGCAGACGCGCGAGGAGATCAAGGCCAAGCCCGATAAGAGCGACAACAACAACGACAACGATCTCGGCAAGCACAAGTTCAAGGAGAACGTGGAGAACGGCGTTAACAAAAGCAAAGCCAAAGACGAGAGCGACAGGTATTCCGCGATGGTGGCCGTCAGCGGCACCAGAGGGAAGAAGAAGCTCGGCAAGAGGAACAGCGGCGAGTTGGCGCAGGAGCCGCCGGAAGTGCCGAAGAAGCCGCCGGAAGTGCAGCAGCCGAAGGCCAAGCCGGTCGAGAAGAGAACCAACGTGGTGGCGCCCACTCAAACGCAACCAAAGATCTCCAATGGCAAGCCGGCGAGCGGCAAGAAAGTGCAAGCCAGGAATAACGGTACCATCAATAATGGTACTAATACTAGTGTACCTGCCTACGAAGAAGAGAGTTCTTCGACGACGACCGAAAGCAGCAGTAATTTGGAGGATCCGGATAAGGAGAACGAACAGCAGCAGCAACAGCAGAAGGTGTACGCGAAAAAATCGCCCTATCAAAAAATGGAGGAGATCAATAATAAAGCGAATGAAGCGGCCAATGTTCATCAGGAGGTTTGCAAGCAGGAAAATAATATGCATAATAAGGTAAGTTTGTTCATAAGTGGTTCTTTGCTAACTGTTTAGATTATGAACATGACATTTTTCCATGAAAAATATTACATTCTTTTTATTTCACATTTTTTCGATTCGAAGTTTGGAATTGGATAAATTTTAAAAGATTTGCTGCCATTTTGGGATATTTTTTCGATTCTTTTTCGACTTTTTAAATATTGTTTGCTATTTCACAACATTTTATCCAATCTTTTTTTACTTTAATACTAATTTTTAAAGGTTTTTTAATATTTCACATTTTTTTCGATTTTTTTTTTACTTTAATACGAATTTTTAAGAATTGCTTGCTTTTTCATTTTTCGAGTTGAACAGGACTTTTTCATTTTTTTTTGCTATTTCACAAAATTTTATCGATTCTTTTTTACTTTAATATTAATTTTTAAAGGTTTTTTGATATTTCACATTATTTTCGATTTTTATTACAATAATACAAATTGCTTGCTTTTTATTTCACATTTTTTCGATTTTAAATATTTTGTGCTATTTTACATTTTATCCATAATTTTTGACTTCCATACTAATTTTTAAAGTTTTTTTTTAATAGGTATTTCACATTTTTTTCGATTTTTTTTTTACTTTACTTTAATACGAATTTTTAAGAATTGCTTGCTTTTTCACGACATTTTTCGAGTTGAACACGACTTTTTCAATTTTTTTTGCTATTTTACAAAATTTTATCGATTCTTTTTTACTTTAATATTAATTTTAAAGGTTTTTTGATATTTCACATTATTTTCGATTTTTTTACAATAATACAAATTGCTTGCTTTTTCACGATCTTTTTCGAGTTTGACACGATTTTTTTCAATATTTTTTGCTATTTCACAAACATTTTTTGACTTTATCATGAGTTTTTAAAGAAGGTTTGTTATTTTTTCTATTCTTTTTCGACTTATACAGTGGTCCTCAACTAGCGCCTCACCGGGACAGGGCTAATGGTAACAATAGAGATGTCAAAACTGCAGCTGAAAAAGTAAAAACCACCTTTGTTTAGCAAAGAGGTTTAAAATTGACCAATCCCAGTGGTAGTTCAAATATACAAAAATGATGTGAACAAGCCTACCACTAGGGTTAGGCAATTTCAACCCTCTTTCTTTTCACTTTTTCGGCTGCAGTTTTGGCATCTCTATTGTCGGGGCGCGAGTTGAGGACATTATTATTATTATTACTTTTTCTATTTGTTTTGGAATTTAATGCGAATTTTAAAGATTGTTTCCTATTTTAAAACATTGTTACAATGGTTTTTCAAGCACAAATGTTTTTCAAAATGAAAATTTTTCATGTAAAAATGTATTTTTTGTTATCAATTTACATTACAACAGAATTTGTTGAACAGATCGGCCATCAAGCGCGCGAAACGCATGAATTAAAAAAAATTGTAGATAATTTATTATATAATATTTTGGCATCAACATTGTCAAAAATATTCTTCTTTTATTAGGCTATACATTAAATTAAAAAAACGGAAGAAATATTTTATAAAAGTAGAGATAAATTTAATAATTGAAAGGTGTGGACGAAAAAAAAGATCTTAATCTTCACCTGTCAATTATTAAAATTATATCTACTTTTTTAAAATATATCTTGCGTTTTTTTTATTTAATGTATAGCCTAATAAAAGAAGAATATTTTTGACAATTTTGATGCAAAAATAATATACAGTGTGACCCATTTATTTGCGACTCACCCCTGTAAAATCTTTATTTTTTGTGCGATTTTAACCGGATTTGTTTCAAAGTGTAGACTTGATAAACTGTATTTTTGGATCAAAAACGCCATATTTTACAAAATACAAGGCTTACCATGTCAGTTTTTAATAGTAAATTTTTAAGAATTCATATTAGCGAGTTTTTTAAACAAAATCTAAGTACGGCACTGGATTCACCACCAATTTTAAATAGAAAAATGCACCATAATAACTACAAAAATTTATTCTGTCAAGTTATCCTTGAAAAAAAAACATTGAAATAAAATTAAACTGTAACATAGTAATAGTACCACGTTACTATTAGTTTAATTTTATTTCAATGTTTTTTTTTTCAAGGATAACTTGACAGAATAAATTTTTGTAGTTATTATGGGGCATTTTTCTATTTAAAATTGGTGGTGAATCCAGTGCCGTACTTAGATTTTGTTTAAAAAATTCGCTAATATGAATTCTTAAAAATTTACTATTAAAAACTGACATGGTAAGCCTTGTAATTTGTAAAAATATGGTGCTTTTTGCTCCAAAAATACAGTTATTAAGAACTACACTTTAAAACAAATCCGGTTAAAATCGCACAATAAATAAAGATTTTACAGGGGTGAGTCGCAAACAAATGGGTCACACTGTATAATAAATTACCTACAATTTTTTTATAAAAACGGTTTTGTGATTTGTCTCGCCCGTATGCTTGAAATGGCCGAGATACTAATTTTTATACAAGTAAACATTAGTGATGTAAAAAAGTACCTACTCGTTACTTTGTAACGGGTATTTGCCCAATACTCAAAGTACCGATTCCTTGTTGTTGGAAATACTCATTACTCGTTACTTTTATACCTATGTCCTATTAGTACGAGAGCTAGCAACGTCGGAAAAACAAGAATTTTAAGAAAGCTGATTCTTTAATATATCTTTTCCTATGCTCTCTCGAACATTGTGCGGGCTACCTGGCTGCCGATAAACGTTGCGTTTATTACTGCGCATCACACCTTTACAGGTAAAAATATTGAATTTTAAATAATTTTAAGACATTTTTTTTCTTTTTCACCAACTTTTAAACAATATTAGAAACATGAATTTCTTATTGCCAGACATTTTTGTTATTGACAATAATGTACCAGATGCTATTTTTATAAACAAAAATAAAATTAATTTCAAACCATTTTAGTATGGCTGTAATTTTAATATTATTTTATTTATATATAAATAAGTATAAAATTAATTTGCCAGACATTAATTTGGTTGTGTACTCAACAACCAGACCGATTTATTGCTGTAGAGTACCGCTGCATTATGTCAGTTGTTAGACAGCGGCAAAGTAGATAGGCGGAAGCGAGACAGGAATACATCACGCTGTTAAAAGTATTCAAAGTAATTTTTTATTTTTAATTCTTCGATTATAAAAATAATAAAATATTATTATCAAAATCATAAAAAATAGCTTAATAAATTATTTATAAAAGACAGGGAAAAATTACGTTATTTTGATATCAAAATTTGGCAAAATTAACGCATTAACTCTAAAACGCCTTTACCAATTTTTATGAAAATTCTTCAACTTATATCTCAGTTAATGTGTTCAAAGGTTTTTCGAGAAAATATTTTTAAAGCCCTTTTATTTAATAATGAAAAACGCTCAAAAAAAAAACTTTAAAGGGAAATTTTTTTGAAGTTAATAAAAAATATGCTGTGAAAGACCGTATTTTTGTTAGTATACCCTAAAAATGTTGTACAAATCAAACGAACAGTAACAAAAATATAGCGCCCCAAAGTCGTCAAAAATGACCACTTTTCAGCAAAATAATCAAAAAGGGGTCATTTTTAGCGACTTTGAAGCGCTGTGTCTTCATTACTGTTCGTTTAATTTGTACAAAATTTTCAGAATATACTAACAAAAATACGGTCTTTAACAGCATATTTTTTATTAATTAAAAAAAATCCCTAAAAGTTATTTTTCGAAAGTTTTTTTTATTAAAAATATTTTCTCAAAAAACCCTCGATAAGTTGAAGATTCAATTGACTAATTTTAAGAATTATCAAGTTTCAATAATGATTCAACAAAATGATAGTCTAAAAACTTAAAATAATAGTTACGTTTTCTATTGTATAAGTACTTGATACCTGAAAAAAAATAACTTTTTAGATTTAGTAGAATAGGCACAGGAGCCAGACAAAAATCACAAAAATTGGCAAATTATCATGAATCTTTAGTGATTTACCATTCTTTTATGAGATTAACTAATTGGATAATAATAATTTATATCAAAAACACACTTACTGAACAGTAAAACAAAATTAAAATCATTTCAATATTTGTCACAAAAAAAAGTTCTGGCACACTATAAGAGAGTAAGAAATTGACACAATTTCAGATTTCTAAAGGGTGCCGATTAAAAATAAAGAATCCAAAAATTAAAACGGCACCGGATTTTCATATTTGATACTTAAAAGATCATCCTCAATTTTTTTATCAAAATAAAAAATCAAGCAGCGCACCCCATTTGGTGTTTTTATTTGAAATGACTCATATATTTTGTATAAAAAATCTTCAACTTATCGAGGGTTTTTTGAGAAAATATTTTTAATAAAAAAAACTTTCGAAAAATAACTTTTAGGGATTTTTTTTTAATTAATAAAAAATATGCTGTTAAAGACCGTATTTTTGTTAGTATATTCTGAAAATTTTGTACAAATTAAACGAACAGTAATGAAGACACAGCGCTTTAAAGTCGCTAAAAATGACCCCTTTTTGATTATTTTGCTGAAAAGTGGTCATTTTTGACGACTTTGGGGCGCTATATTTTCGTTACTGTTCGTTTGATTTGTACAACATTTTTAGGGTATACTAACAAAAATACGGTCTTTCACAGCATATTTTTTATTACCTTCAAAAAAATTTCCCTTTAAAGTTTTTTTTTCGAGCGTTTTTCATTATTAAATGAACGGGCTTTAAAAATATTTTCTCGAAAAACCTTTGAACACATTAACTGAGATATAAGTTGAAGAATTTTCATAAAAATTGGTAAAGGCGTTTTAGAGTTAATGCGTTAATTTTGCCAAATTTTGATATCAAAATAACGTAATTTTTCCCTGTCTTTTATAAATAATTTATTAAGCTATTTTTTATTATTTTGATAATAATATTTTATTATTTTTATAATCGAAGAATTAAAAATAAAAAATTACTTTGAATACTTTTAACAGCGTGATGTATTCCTGTCTCTCTTCCGCCTATCTACTTTGCCGCTGTCTCTCTTTAACAACTTACATAATGCAGCGGTACTCTACAGCAATAAATCGATCTTGTTGTTGAGTACACAACCAAATTAATGTCTGGCAAATTAATTTTATACTTATTTATATATAAATAAAATGATATTAAAATTACAGACATACTAAAATGGTTTGAAATTATTTTTTTTTTGTTTATAAAAATAGCATCTGGTACATTATTGTCAATAACAAAAATGTCTGGCACTAAGAAATTCATGTTTCTAATAGTGTCTAAAAGTTAGTGAAAAAGAAAAAAAATGTCTTAAAATTATTTAAAATTTAATATTTTTACCTGTAAAGGTGTGATGCGCAGTAATAAACGCAACGTTTACCGGCAGCCAGGTAGCCCGCACGCTGTTCGAGAGAGCATAGGGAAATATATATTAAAGAATCAGCTTTCTTAAAATTCTCTCTCGAAAACGTTGCTAGCTCTTAGACTATATAATGCCTAAATTAATTACTATATTATTTGTGCTACCTACTTCTGTTTCGTGCGAACGCATATTTTCCAAAGCCGGTCAAATAGTAACCGAACGCAGAAACCGATTAAAATCATCTAATGTGGAAAAACTACTATTTTTGCATTGTAATAATGATTTATAAAAATATGCAGTATAAATTAAGTTATTTTTTAATTTTCAGTTTAGTTTTTTGTTTTGTCTGATAATATTATATTTTATATACTTTTTTGTTTTGATATGAAAATGAAAATAAAGAAGTTTTGTTTATGTTTAATAAAATCCCTGTTCTCTGTTATATTTGTTTAATTTAAAAGTTAAAATTTAAAAATTTAAAATTTTTAATTTAAAAGTACCAAAAACTATTATCATTACCATTACCTCCTAAAAATACCAAATCGCCTATAATTCATAGGCATATGCGAATAAAAAATAATAAAAGAGTAGAGTAACCATGTACTCAGTATTGTACTGATACTGAAGACTAAAAGTACCGAAAGTAACGAATATAAAGTAACGGGTATTGATATTAAAAGTAACGAATCGGTACAAGTATTCAAAAGTAACGAAAGGTTACATCACTGATTACTTTAGGTTGAAAGACAACGTTCGAACCCAAAATCCCGCACGAAACCGTTCAAAGAATCGCAAGAATCCAGCACCATGAAACCGCCATCGAACGACGCGAACCAAACGAGCAACGCGTCGCCCACAAACAACACGACGTCCCCAGCAACGGCGAACGCCTTCGGCAACGCGAAACGCGAACACAAAAAGCCGGGCGGCAAGACGCACAAGGACCGCAAGGAGCGACGCTCCGACTACAAGAAGCTGGCGGCCGAGAAGGCGGCGGCGGCGGCGGCGGCTCTGGCGCTCAAGGTTAACGCCGAGGCGCGCAAGTCGCCGGTCAGCCCGCCGCCGCGCGCCTCCTCCCCCAAGTCGCCGTCGACCGTTTGGAGCGAGAACAGCGCCACGTTCAGCGACGTGGTGGCCAGGACCGAAACTTTGAGCACCAACAGGTAAAGTTTTTCCATTTTAAATCCACCAGGCAAAAAGAGGTGGGTCGTTATTTTTCAACGAAATTTTGTTTACAGTTTCTCTACCGAAATCGATGAGACCCGTATTTTTTCTTTTTGCTTAAATTTGTTTTGTTTACCCGTCGGAAATTTTGGAAAAATGGACAGAAACATCGATTTTTTCTCATTTTACGAGTGACATTTTTTCTTGAAAATGCGATAACTTGGCCCAAAATGTATCGTGTAATGTTAACTACATACAAAAACAGGACTCCCACACCTTCTAAAACTCATAAAATTCCTAAAACTTGGCTTAAATATTAAACACTCCTAAAATTCTACTAAAATAACCATCAATCTCCTAAAACTCGTTTAATTAAGGTCGTTGTGCTAAAAAATTTCTTTTTTAAAAAGTAATTTAAAACATGCATATTTTTAGGTTCTAGTTTATTAAATTCTTTTTAAAATGATATATCACAACCTACATTTTTCTTAAAAAAAACAAAATCCATGTAGTAGCTCCTAGACCATATTTCGTTTGTTTTAGACAAAAATATACCGTGTTATATATCAAAAGCATTTTTAATTTTCTTTGAAATGACGGCTAAAACAGTAAATGTTTTGCTTCATATTTTTTTATTATGAGATTTTTAGTTTTAAGATCCACATTAAAACTATTTTTAGTTATTAACAAAACGGTTAACATTTTTTTCTTAAAATAAAAATATAAAATCATTTGATTTTGGCCTAGTTTTTTAGCCAAATCTATCGACTCGTTTTTTTTTAAATAAAATGTCTGTGTATATATGTACCTCAGATATATACAAAAGTAGTAATTTTACCCCACTTTTAATTTTATTCAAAAAAACTCTTCGAGCAATTTGGCTAAAAAACTAGTGAATGTAACTTATTTGTACAAAAGAAGTGACATTTATTTATACTTTTGTTAAAAAGAAGTATTTTTAATTTTTTAAGTACAGTATAGAGTTTTTATTTAATTACAGAAATTCATTTGCATATTTCATTTCTCCTATATTTCACAAAAAACCTCCTAAATTCCTAAATAAAATTTGTAATTTAGCCGTTGGAGCCCTGACAAAAACATTATGTTTAGCACAAATAGAACAGGTTATCACAACGCAATAGCAATAATTTAAACACTGAAAATTAATTCGAACCTTATCGAACGCAAAAACAACAAGTTTAGAGTCAATCCATGTCAACTCTACACACCCATTTTACCACACCACCTCAGATTTTCTTAAAATTTAGTATACTTTTATCATGTACTAAGACTAAGAAAAATACCAATTTTTAAATTTTTATCTCACACCGTTTCCCCACATTTATATTTTACTATATGATTCCCAACAGTACTAAGTATTTATAGAAATATTTTGAGAATTTTAAATTATGTACTTTTAAAAAAAAAAATGAAATCAAAATAAATATATGGATTTTGAACAAAATCTTTTCATCAATATTCTTGTCAGTCGTATGTTATTTAAAAGAGCATTTAAAATGCTGCAAAATGACTTCTACAAGTTGTAGAACTCTCTTCAGGGAAAGAAAGATATTAACCTTAACGGGAATTTTATGATACGAATAGGGCAAATTTATATTTACTAACAAAAATAAATTTCTAAAAAATAACCTTGTACATAATTATAAAACCAGAAAATGTAACGACTTTAAAATTCCATTTTCTAGATTAAATATAAGTATAAATGCACCCAATTATTTAGGTCTCCGTGCATTCAACCATTTTCCTCAGGAAATAAGAAACTTAAACAATATTAACTCTTTTAAATCAAGATTTAAAGCATATCTAATTAAAAGTTTTAAAATTTTAGTTAATTTTCTGTTTGTTAATCTAAAGTTAGTTCGTTGATATTTTTGTGTATGTTTATATATTTATACATCTAATTTATATATTTTTTAAAACCGACGATTCCTATATTAATGTAATTAATCAAAGGAAAATAAAGATAATAAAATAATAAAAATAAAAAGTATGTGCCTTGGGACTAACGGACAAACGGTTACATGAAAATGAATCTTGTTGCAGGCCGTTGTGTCAGAAAGCGGCTTTGAACGCGAAGCCGACCGTCTACGTGGAACCGTACAAGCAGACGCCGAGCGCCGATCTCGGCCCGGTCGGGTCCCGACGCGTCGAGCACTACGGCGACGCCTACCTCGGCCACGGCTCGCAGCCGACGCAGCCGCCCCACGCGCCGCACCAACCGCCGCCCGCCCAGCAGACCCACGTCGTCGACACCTCGAACAGCTTCTTCTCGACGGCGCCGCCGCCGCCGCAGCAGCAGGAGCAGCTGCTCAGGCAGCCCGAGCCGGCGGGGCCGATGCCGCCGCAAGACGTCGTCGCAGGCGGCTATCTGGAGGATTTTTTGCAGGCGGAGCCGTGGGCGCAGACGCAGGTTTACGGCAACGGGCTCGACCGCGACATCTACGACGGAAACGGGCAAAATCAAAATAAAGGTGAGTTTTTTTTATCATAAATGTTGCTTTCCAGGGAAAAAGGTTTTTTAACTTTAACTATAAATACGTGGAAACTACCTATTTCCCAGTGGTAGTTCAAATATACAAAGATGATGTGGACAAGCCTTAACATTTCGACATGTTAAAGTTTTTTTTAATTTTGGTAACTAGTTGGCGAAAAAATCACAAATTGTATAAAAATGTAGATAAATGCCAAATATTACATGTTATTATTTTAAAGTTCCTAGGAATAACGAAGTTAGAGTGCTATTAATATCTCATGGCGGATGACCTTGGGTGCGCAAAAGTCTCAAATCCGTGAAATCGCGCTATTACTCGCCGACCTAAAAACATACTACATACGGTAAACAATGCTGATATTTATTGTCATATTTAGAAGAATTTCTGGGCTAGAAATTCTATTATATTTGTTATAATAGTATAGCGTCTCTCAAGGTCAACCGCCATGAGATAATAATATCACTCTACAACATTTTTTGGTTTTGACACATTTCAGTTTTTTTAATTATTTGAGAACCGCTAATTTTTGTTTCCAATTTTTAAATGCCATTTTAATGGTCTTATAATTATGCAACTCGATTTAACCGACCTTGTAGCTCTTCAAATAAAAAAGGACACTTGGTGCACCCTATATATATATTAGGGTGTGTCATTTTTAGGCGATATTTTTTTTTTCGCTGTTATACCAGAAAATCTAATACTTTATAGAAAATAAAAAATTATGCCGCCGGGTAAAAGGTTCTAAGTGCAATAGCGGCTTAGCTCATTTAAAAATTCAATTTCCCATTGAAATAACACAGAAAATTTTTTTTCTTCCTTTTAATTAGATTTTTCGCTGTTAAAAACTTTTTTCCCTAAAAACTTTTTTATAGCTTTTGTAGGAAATTAAATTCTCTACAAAATCATCCCTTTGCTCGAAGACCGTATAACCAGTAGTTTCAGAGTTATAGCGCTGGAAATATAAACTTTTATAAAAATAGACCTCAAATTCCATTTTATTTTTAAGGGATGATTTTGTAGAGAATTTAATTTCCTACAAAAGCTATAAAAAAGTTTTTAGGGAAAAAAGTTTTCAACAGCGAAAAATCTAATTAAAACGAACAAAAAAATTCTTCTGTGTTATTTCAATGGGAAATTGAATTTTTAAATGAGCCAAACCGCTATTGCCCTTAGAACCTTTTACCCGGCGGCATAATTTTTTATTTTCTATAAAGTATTAGATTTTCTGGTATAACAGCGAAAAAAAAAATATCGCCTAAAAATGACACACCCTAATATATATATATATTTATATGTGGTTGTTACTTTTTTGTCAATCAAAAATACAAATATAAATAAACTTAATCCTGAAAAAAAAACAAAAAAAATTAACTTTATAATTTCTGTCGTTTTTTTTGCATTCAGACTTTGTTTTTAATTACAAAATTTTAAAAAAATTTAAAATAAAGGTATTTCTCTCTTGAATCGATTTAATGGCTTTCCAATTTTTGAACACCCTGTAGATAAAATCCCAAATTTTTATGTTAATGTTATTTTTTCGACAATCAAAACTTTTTATCAGGAATGACTTTTTTCACCGTTTCATTTTAATGATTTTGAAAACTTTGGAAAATTGTAAATTTTGAGAATTGTTAAAATTCTGAAATTTTTGGGAATTTGCTAAAATTTACTCTCAGCGCTAGGCTTTTAAAATTTTCGGAAAAATTGAGCCGAGGGAAAAACCGTTTTAAAAACAAAAACGGAAAAATTGCATAATTTTCAGAAATTTTTTTAAATTTTTCTGAAAATTTCCCAATTTTTATTGATAATAACCTCGAGAAAAAAGTAAATTTCCGACGCTTATTTTAATCATAATGTGATTATAATAATTATTTCTTTTATTTTAATTCAGTAGGAATATTCTACCAGGCCGCAAAAAACATTTGGTGCATAACTTTTATTTGACACTTTGATTTATAAAATTATAATTTTTTAATTTAATAATAATAATAATAATAATAAATATCTTTATTTATTTTTTAAATTTCTGAAATTACAAAATTTACATATCTGGGCAAAAAATTATCCCCTGCTCTATCACTTAACCCATAATAACTTTATAAATCATTCAATATTTTGTAGTTAGATGTCAGAGCTAAGATACTTTATCTTAAATACTTTTTATATTGGACAGAAAGTATCTTTAACTAAGTTACTTCTGAAAAGTATCTAGTTACTTTTCTAAGATACTTTAAACAAAATAACTTAGTTACCTCTGGTAACTGGATACTTTGATTTAAAAGTATCTTTAGTTACAAGATACTAAAAAGTATCTTAGATATTATATGAAAGTATCTAAGATACTTTTAAGAAACTAAGATACTTTTAAGTATCTAAGATACTTTTTAGTATATAAGTTACTTTTAAATATGAATAAAAATTATAAAATTATAAAAATTCAACAAGTTGTAGGTTAGGTAATTACTTTGAATCATTCTGGAATTCCCCCAATTTTCTCTAAGAAAGTATTTAAGTTACTTTAAAAAGTATTTTAGTTACTTTAAAGTATCTAAGTTACTTGAATGTATCTTAGTTACTTTACCGAGTAACTTAGATACTTTATTAGATACAAGTTACAAGATACTTTTCCAAAGCAACTTAGTTAAATACTTTATATATAAAAAGTATCTAAGTTACTTTAAAGTATATTTTTTCAAGATACTTCCAGCTCTGTTTTTAATGGACTTATTTTTGCAAAAAGACCCAACCGACAGTATATTTAACGTTTACGTTTATTTTCTTGAATTTTTTTGTTATAAAGGATATTTTTTTAAATGTTAAGTTGTTGATTGCTACTTTTTTCAAATGTGTATATTTTCCAAAAAAACCTCATTGGCGTATAAAATCGAATGCAACCTTTCTATGTACTTAGATTGGAACCACCACCACGCCAGCACCGACAACACGTCGTTCTGGAACCACCATTTCGGTCTGTTCGGTCCCGGGCCCGCCACCACCATCTCGGCGCCGGTGAGCACGCTGGCCGCCGCCGCGCAGCAGCAGCAGCAACAGATGCACCAGCAGCAGCAGCAGATCAACTATCTGTGGGGGTCGTCGTCGGTTTGGCAACCGTGGACGCCGGCCGTCGAGCCGCCGCGCACCCCGACTAGAACGCCCCCTGGATTCAGCGAACTGCAACCGAGGAATGTCGTCAACGAGGTAAGAGATTCGTGTTTCAGATTGTGCTAACACTTAGCCCTATACTTTCACACTATAGGAGGTGTGTTCAGAAAATAACGGGAATTGTTAAATTTCGCGGGTTCAGAGGGTCCGGTTGTCGTAAAATTTTCTTTATTATGTTGGTATATATGCCCCCGAAGTATGATAAAAACTTTAGCTGTTTTCATTGTTTACTTTGTCTGTGGCAGCCGCTAAGGTTAGACGTGTTTTATGAGCTCGGCGATTTTTCTTTCGTTAAAAGAAATTGATCAAAGAATTTGTATCCAATTTTGCTTAAAAAATGAAATAAATTCTGTGAAATGTTAATAAAGGCCTATAGTGAGTCTGCTATAAGTAAAAAAAGAGTTTACAAGTGGTATAAGAGTTTCCAAGATGGCCGTGAAGAAGTTGAAGATGACGAACGCCCCGAACGCACAAGCACATTAACAACCGATAAAAACATGGAAAAAGTGGAAGAAATGGTTAAAAACCATCAGAGAAGTCGCTGATGATATTGGTATATCGATTGGCTCATCTCATGAATTTTTTTCGAATGTTTTAGGTATGAAACGCATGGCATCAAAATTTGTTCCAAAATTGTTAAATTTTGAACAAAATTTTTGTCCAAAAACAATACTGTAATGATGACCCAGCCTCCATATTCGCCAGACATGCCTCTGTCTGACTTTTTCCTATTCCCAAAAATAAAGAGAACCTTAATGGGCCGTCGGTTTGCAAGCATAGATGACATTAAAAGCGCATCGCTGAAAGAACTAAAGGCTATCCCAAAGATCGAGTTTTAGAAGTGTTTCGAGTATTGAAAGAAGAGCTGGCACACGTGCATAATATCCAATGGGGACTATTTTGAAGGCGACAACATTAATGTAGACGAATAAATATATATTTGTTTCAAAAAACGAAAATTCCCGATATTTTCTGAACACATCTCGTACTTTCATACTAAAATCTGCATGCAACAAAAATCATGTGCGTATAGCAGTGGCGGCTGGTGGATTTTGGGTATACCAATATCTCTGTTATTAGACATGGGACCCTCACCAAATTTATAAAAGTTTACAATGACAAAAATAGACAAGTTCGGCGCAAACAGAATTTAAATTTATCTACAAATTCAAAATTTTCCAAATATAACAGATTTTACACGATTTTAAATTTTTATTATTTATTTTATTAAAATAAATAAATAATAAATATTTAAAATGGTATAAAATCTGTAATATTTAGAATTTTTAAATAAAATTTTAAATTGTAGATAAGTTTATATAAATTGCACCACTTTAATTTGAATTATCTCAAATAGGGTGGCCATGGCCAGGGGCGACACGAAAAACTAACTTTTTTTCCAATGTCATCATAAAATATTATAAATTTGGTGTCTAATAAAAGAGATATTGGTATACCCAAATGCGCCACTGGCGTATAGGGTTGCCAGGATTTAACGTTTAAATAAATACACTGCCCGTCAAAATTAACGCGTAATAAGTAAAAAAAATCTAACTCCAAAACGCCTTTACCAATCTTTATGAAATTTTGTATAAAAATACTTGAACTTATATCTCAGTTTACGTGTTCGAGGGTTTTTCAAAAAAATATTGTTAAAGCCCTTTAAATAATAAAGAAACGTTCTAAAAATAACTTTTAGAGAATTTTTTTAAAGTAAATTAAAAATATGCTGTTAAAGACCGTATTTTTGTTATTTTGTACAAATCAAACGAACAGTAACAAAGATACTGTGTTTCAGTCGGTAAAAATTTCCCCATATTTTGCTGAAAAATGGTCATTTTTGGCGACTTTGAAGCGCTATATTTTCGTTACTGTTTTTTTGATTTGTACATTTTCAGGGTTTACTTACAAAAATACGGTCTTTCACAGGATATTTTTTATTTACTTAAAAAAAATTTCCCTATAACATTTTTTTTGTTCGAGCGTTTTTTATTACGCTGAGATATAACTTATATAATGTAAGTTAAAGTATTTTTATCCAAAATTTTATAAAGATTGGTAAAGGCGTTTTGGAGTTTTTTTACTTGTTATGCGTTAATTTTGACGCGCAGTGTATGTGACTGGACATATGAAAAAGGGAACTCTAACTTAGTTATGGCACGCCGTTTTACTTTTTAATCGGTTAAGAAATATTGAGTTAAATATTAATACTTTAAAAAATAAAATGGCACTGGAAAATAATACCTTCAAAATAAAATGGCACTGGAAAATAATAATACCTTCAAAATAATACTAATAATAATATAGAATTATTCATGTCAAAGAAGTTAGTTTTTTAAATATGTTTAAAAAAGATGTTGAATTATTTATGTAATGTAATTTTTCTGTGTGTAATATTTTAATTACATAATTAATATCGCTGGTTTGGTGCAAGACTATCCTATGTCCATGTTCAAAGAATTGGAGAAAAACAATATTAAACATTTCTATTTATTGTAACTAAATTGTTTTTTGCGTCATTCTTTTAAAAATTAGAGGGTTTTACATCCAAAGATTAATAAATAAATACATATCATGCAAAAAACAATTTAGTTACAATAAATAGAAATGTTTAATAGTGTTTTTCTTCAATTCTTTGAAAATGGACTTAGAATAGTCTTGCACCAAACCAGCGATATTTAACTTAATATTTCTTATACAATTAAAAAGTAAAACGGCGTATTATAATTAATTTTATCTATTTTGTGTTCATAATGACTTCATTATAACACCGCTTTCGGTGCTTTAATGAGATACTTTAACCCAACCAAAATTTTGATTTTATAGGTTGGCTATAATATACAGCATAATATAATATACAGCATAATATTTTGCATATTGGGTATAATATTTTTATGGTTTTTCTAGTACTTACGAGACTTTTCTGTCAATAAATTTTGTTTAACGCCAAAGAAAATCCTTTTTTTCTTTATTAACAGCCGCTTATTGTAAATAGGTAAATTAAGGACGCCATGGCGAATTGATTTTAACATTAACCCTTCAAACCAATGACTGTGATACCAACTAAAGTAAAATTCGACCAAATTAAATTTAAGGTTTAAAATTAATTTTTTTATAGAATTTTTGCAAAATAGATAAAATAGCATAAAGAACTCATGTCATAAGACCTTTTGTCACACTCGTCCATTACAAAACTCGCTCCTTTGTCGCTCGTTTTATAAATTGTCCGCGTGCGGCAAAATGACGTCCTATGACATTAGTTCTTTAATATATACTATTATGTGTACGCATAATTTTAATTCTAATAAAAAATGTGTACAAATAAAATTAATGCACTGAATTTTTATTTTGTAATTAAAATTATGACAATATAATAAAAATTTGAGAATTAAATTTTTGTGTACATTTTTATACATACAATTAATTTGGCGCTGCGAAAGTGCGGCCGAAAGTGGCAAATACAGTAGTTCAAATGGTAGGTATATTTAATTTATAAAAATTAATGACTTAAACTCATATAATTGTATCACAAAACTAGAACCTTCTAGTTTTGTGAATTATACAGGGTGTTATGTAATTAATGTTATATATTAAAATGGGTTGTTCCTTAGGGTCCATAAAGAAGCACCTGAAACTTTTTTTTTCTAAATTCCAAAGTCTAAAAATAATTTATAATAACCTTTATCCCACCAAAAAGTACGCCACTGATCGACTAGGAACTTTAGGTTAATCTGGTGGATTTATTATGTTATGGTTGGTAACAACAGTTTTTCCAAAATCTTTCAAAAAAGTTGCCAAGCTTAATTACAAAAATGACAAAATTAACAATGCAAATTGTCAATTTGGCGTTTTTATTAATTGTTGGTTATTTTATTTTTGTACTGAAGGTAAATTCAAACAAAATCTGCCAACTTTTATGACAGAATCTAGTGCATTTCTTTTAAATTTTAGGTTATGTTTTCAAATTGTAAATATCTTAACTAAGGGAAGTGCTTTTGGATTTATTTACACAAATTAAATGTTTAAAGTTTAACCTGTGAACTGGTCCCAATTTCATCTGCGTAAACAGAAAAAAAAACTGATGAAAAAATTAATTTTGTGGTTATGGATTTCAAATTTCAAAGGTACTAAATTTTCTAATCATTGCTTAAGCTAAAAGCTGGATCAGTAAATAAATACAGAAGGGTATTAGAGCTTTAAGGGCATAAAACTTTTGTATTTATTGAGTTTTTATTTATTTTTTGCAAGAAAAATTTTTAGTAACAATTTTTTACATCTGGCAACGCCTAGCTACTTTGTTGGTTGGTATCTATGTACTCAGAAAATACAGGTGTGCAGAGATAAACAAGTGTGTAACCAGTGGCGTATCACAAAAAATATAAAAAACTTCTAATGCATATTTTTTCTTTATCTTTGGAAAAATGTTTTTTTAAATTTTTTCCTTTATTCCTTATGTCAAAAGGTATTCAGTATTTTAATATATAACATTAATTACATAACACCCTGTAAACATACAAATAATTTCTAAAAATATATTAGAAGAACAAAACCAAAGTTGTCGTAGATTTATTACGCATAAATACCTGCATTTGGACTACTGCAGTTGCCACTTTATTATATTATTTTATGTGTACATATAAAATTAAGTATATAATTTTTATTATGTAAAGTACTAATTTTAATTGTACAGTTGTATTCAATAAAAAAGCGTACAAGAATTAGAATGAGAGAAAACTGTCAAAATAATATTATTGCTTAAAACCGGCTTATCACTGACATAAGTCATTAAAATAATTAATATAGGTTATAAAGAGCATTGACGTCGTAGGTTAATTAAATAATATTACAAAAATTATTAATTTTTAATATAGATTTTTTATTTCTATTATACCACGGTACGAATTGACCATTCTTCTTCGATTCTTGATACTATTTGAGCCTTTTTAACTGACGAGGCATTTTTATTTTCTACTGTCAGTTATAGTGACTTAAGTCAGTGGAAAGCCGGTTTTACGCAATAATGTTGACACTTTTCTCTCATTCTAATTCTTGTACGCTTTTTTAATGAATACAACTGTAACCTAAAAATTATTGCATTAATTTTATGTGTGGACATAAAATTAATTGTAAAATAAAAATGATTAAACTTAACAAGTTAAAATAATTTAAAAATTGTGTTTAAAAATAAATTGTTTTTAGTCAATAATTCTAATATAAATTTCAAATAAAAAAATAAAGAATGAAATAAAAAGGGAGCAAATTTATTTTATATCATAAAAAATATTAATTATCTGTTTCCATTTAATTTAAATTAAATTTATGCTTGACATAATTTTATTTAATTAATATTATGTCAGACATAATTAAAATTATAAAAAATTATATATTTCGTATATTTAAAAAACCTACTTCAATTTTCTTTTACATTTAAAACATTTACGATTAAAAAGTAAAATGGCGTGCCATAAATTAACATTTATTAAAAAAAAATGGTATTACACTGTTTTAAAATGCGTTTTTGCTGTTTGTTCTTGGTAATGCAGTGCCAGCTTCAGCAACATCAGCAGCACCAGGCGCATGCGCCGAGAGCGGACTCCTACAGCCCGTTTCCGGTGTCAAACATCTGGAACTCGGAGCCGAACCCTTGGAGCTACAACCAGGGCCAATGAATAACTGAATACGATGATGATGTAAACACAAGTTCTTCTTATAATCCGCTAGGGTTCGCGTCGTTAGTATTTATACAGGTTGTGCCAAAAAATAGTATGTGGAATCCGATCTGTCGTGCGTTAGTGTTCGATTCCTGAGTACAACCGGAAGTTTGATTTGCTCATGTTCCGACACGCCCTGTATTCTCTGTATTGTCTTTTTGCACATGACCGTGTGGTCGTGTAGATGTGTTTTCATAAGACTGTATGTACTTCACCTATAATACTCATTTCAGCCCAAGTGATGATTTATTGATGAAATTCAATTAAACTTATTTTTATTAAACCCTAACAATTACTTTTTTATTTCTTTTTCGGTTTATGCAGAGTAACTTATGATTTTCTTTAAAAAATTATGGACTAAACTTTTTTTTACCGTTTTTGATGATGTTTATTTTTTATTTTGTTGGGCTGTTTGCTGTGTAGGAACCCTGGTGTAAAATATTTATTTAAATGTTCTTAAACCCGTATTTAAACCAATCTTCGACTGTGTCACCAAATCTCTTCTTAAAATGTCGACGTTCAATAAATGTTTTAAGCAGCAACAATTTGTGTTTTACTCCTAATACACCACTAAAGTAGTATTATACAAAAATTCATCTGCGTTTTTATTAAATTGTGAACGGTAGGTAATAAAAACGTCGGGGGATATCCTTAGTCTCAGAATCTTAGACCATTTATCACTAGACATATTTTTATCTATCTAAGATTCCTATGGCATAATCCTGAGTAACCTATAACCAAATCTGTAACTTATCTTCCAAAATATGCAATAGCACAAAAAGATCATTTAAAAAACCTTAACCAATAATGAAAACCTTTTTTTCAGGTTACTCAGAATCGTACCATTTATTGTTAAATTAAAATTAATCAATTAAATTTAAATTAAAATTTAACAATTTTTAATTCTTGTTAATTGTTAAAATTGTTTTGATGGGTTTATTGGTTGAATGAAAATAGTATACAGGGTGCAGCAAGTACCTATAGGTAGTATACGCTAAAGAAGTATCGGGATTCGCAACGCGCGCGCCATCTGGTGGACTTCAAAAGCATTGCGTGAATTTAAGAATTGTCAACAATACATTTAAAGCATGCAAACTGTACATCATTTTTAAATAAATAGGTCGTTTTTTCACAAAAAAGAGTAGCAGAAGTCTTACTCGACAAATTTTTTTCAATTGCACAGCTAAATCGCGCACGTTACTTGTGTTTTAAGGTGCAAGGAAAAAACTAAAAAATGGTTTAGTACTCGATTTCGATTGATTATTCCTTATATCATTGATTAAGAAACTCAACGCTTAAATGCTCATATAGTTACGTTAGTGTGTGTATTTTATCTAAGGGATCATGCTGAATTATTGTGTTTTTAATTGTAAATAAAATTCAAGAACTAAATCGTTGCATTTTCATGTTTGGTAAAAAATAATTTATAATACATAATGTAATTACATACAACGATAAAATACCATTAATGGTATTTTATCGTTGAGTGGAGACTTTAAAGAATTCTTAATCAAAGCTTTTAATAATGCTAAATGATGTTTAAATTTAGACGACTTATTTGTTTGACAATTTTTACTGAATTGAAATGTTTACACTTTTCACGTTAATCATTACAATTTATATTTACAGGGACTGTATGAAATTTATTTCTTCATTCGGATTAACACTGTTTATTGGAAAACCGATAAAAACTGAACCCAGGATTTCCTCTCGAAATACACCCAACAAATAGTGCCATAGTTTTTTTTCCGATATTTTATTCTTAAAAACACTCGTTTGTAACACACGCGTTTGACAGCTGATTATTAAAAGTTGTACTTTTGTTACGATGATAACAGCCGAGTGGTGGCGCTACTTCTTTAGCGTATAATGATTTAATGTTTGGGTTTTCTGATAGGAACTGTCAGAAAATACATCTGTCAACTTTAAGTCGCTTTCACGGACTTGTATAAGACCGTGGTCGTTGTAGGTATTTTGTTAGTTTTTTTAATAACTCAAAAACTACTGGTCGATTTGTTTTAATACTCCCAGTCCCTCTAGATAGAGTACTTCCTGATGACTGAGCATTTTTAGCATGCGAGGATTTAAAAATAAAAGTTGTTATAAGAAAAATGTATTTATTTGCTTCAAACAAAACAATTTAGATAAATATTAGGGATAGGGTTTCTATCACAAATTTCTAGCAATGAAACTTTACAGAAGAAAAAATTCAACAGCCAACAATTTCAATTCTACTTCCAAAACAAGATTTTTATAAACAGTAATAAAAAATACATTCATAATTTATTATAAAAAATAAAAGTATTGGACTAAACAACAAAGCTTGGTATAAAACTAGGAAAAGTGAGAGGAGGAGGAAATGATGAGTATTTCAGAAACGGAATTATTTACCAAATATATGCCGCTCGAAAAGGAAATTATAAAGCGAGCTTCGAGGATCACTGCTGCTTGCAATTCTGATCCCTGGCGTTCTTGCCCGCGGCGTCGTCGTTATCCCCAACTTCGTCTTCTTCTTCCTCGTCGTCCTCCTCCTCCTCGATACCCTCGCCGGTAAAGTAGAGCACCGCCCTGGGGATGATGCGCTCCCTGATGCAAATTTTCATATACCTATTTTTTTTTCGTTACCTTCCTAATAATTAAATTCATTTGATAAAAGTTTTTATTTTTTCTTCCATTTTTTTTAAATCTAACCGTATCGAATCGAAATTGTATCGATATAAGCGATATTTTGAAAATTATATCGATACGGCTTCTGTATCGAACAGCCCACCTCTGCCATATATTTTATGTAAATATATTACATATTGTTATCCGTAATTTTACCATTTCTTACTGTGTAGATAGATAAACATTAGACCAATTGCTTCTAGATAGTAATCCTTCGACCACCTGCCTCTGGATTGAGTACTTCTTGATGACTGAGCATTTTTAGCATGCAAGGATTTAAAAATAAAAGTTGTTATAAGAAAAATGTATTTATTTGCTTCAAACAAAACAATTTAGATAAATATTAGGGATAGGGTTTCTATCACAAATTTCTAGCAATCAAACTTTACAGAAGAAAAAAATTCAACAGCCAACAATTTCAATTCTACTTCCAAAACAAGATTTTTATAAACAGTAATAAAAAATACATTCATAATTTATTATAAAAAATAAAAGTATTGGACTAAACAACAAAGCTTGGTATAAAACTAGGAAAAGTGAGAGGAGGAGGAAATGATGAGTATTTCAGAAACGGAATCATTTACCAAATATATGCCGCTCGAAAAGGAAATTATAAAGCGAGCTTCGGGGATCACTGCTGCTTGCAATTCTGATCCCTGGCGTTCTTGCCCGCAGCGTCGTCGTTGTCCCCGACTTCGTCTTCTTCTTCCTCGTCGTCCTCCTCCTCCTCAATACCTTCGCCGGTAAAGTAGAGCACCGCCCTGGGGATGATGCGCTCCCTGATGCAAATTTTCATATACCTATTTTTTTTTCGTTACCTTCCTAATAATTAAAATTGATAAAAGTTTTTATTTTTTCTTCCATTTTTTTATATCTAACCGTATCGAATCGAAATTGTATCGATATTTTGAAAATTATATCGATACGGCTTCTGTATCGAACAGCCCACCTCTACCATATATTTTATGTAAATATATTACATATTGTTATCCGTAATTTTACCATTTCTTACTGTGTAGATAGATAAACATTAGACCAATTGCTTCTAGATAGTAATCCTTCGACCATCTGCCTCTGGATAGAGTAGTTCTTGATGACTGAGGGTTTGGAGCATTTTTAGCATGCAAAGATTTAAAAATAAAAGTTGTTATAAGAAAAATGTATTTATTTGCTTCAAACAAAACAATTTAGATAAATATTAGGGATAGGGTTTCTATCACAAATTTCTAGCAATCAAACTTTACAGAAGAAAAAATTCAACAGCCAACAATTTCAATTCTACTTCCAAAACAAGATTTTTATAAACAGTAATAAAAAATACATTCATTTAATTTATTATAAAAAATAAAAGTATTGGACTAAACAACAAAGCTTGGTATAAAACTAGGAAAAGTGAGAGGAGGAGGAAATGATGAGTATTTCAGAAACGGAATTATTTACCAAATACATGCCGCTCGAAAAGGAAATTATAAAGCGAGCTTCGAGGATCACTGCTGCTTGCAATTCTGATCCCTGGCGTTCTTGCCCGCGGCGTCGTCGTTGTCCCCGACTTCGTCTTCTTCTTCCTCGTCGTCATCGTCGTCCTCCTCCTCCTCAAAGTCCTCCTCCTCCTCGATACCCTCGCCGGTGAAGTAGAGCACCGCCCTGGGGATGATGCGCTCCCTGATGTAGTGCCCGATCTCGAAGTCGCTGGTGAGCAGGTTGCGCAGGTCGTCCTCGATGTCCTCCTTCGACTCTTCCGGCAGCACCGGCGGATTGAAGAAGTTGAAGAACGAGTCGTTCTGCACGGTCTTGGTGACGGTGCGCACCACGCCGCGACTCTTGTGCTTCTGCTTCTTCCTGATCGTCTTCACGGTCACGTTCTTGCCCTTGGCCCAGTTGATCGTGCAACCGATGCACTTGTAGATCTCGGGGCCTTCGAAGTTGAACGGGTCATCCTCCTCAGGCACGCACTTCATGTGGTACTCCTTGGTTAGCACGGTGTCGGTGAAGAATTCGTTTGGCTCGAAATAAAACTCCAAAATGAAGCCCTGAAATTTATTCTAATTAACTTCCTGGCCAATTTATTACTCACGAATTTTCTTGAATTTTTCTAAAATAGTCCAAATCCAAAAAACAAACATTTCATAAAATCGCAGAGCTTCTATTTACACTCTAAACATAGCATATAATAGGGTGTTTAATTGGAAACAAAGTTTTTGTTTTCCTTGCTGACACCATGAAATATTATTCTGTAAACTGAAAAAAAATTCCCTGAAAATTTGAGCCCTTAATTTTAACTCTAAGTACTTGTATTTTAAATTTTCCCCTTTTAAAATACTTGTATTTCATGTACATTTTTTTTTTAATTTCAAGATACCGCGTTAATAAACATTAAAAATAAAATTCAAAATATAAAGTACTTATAGTCACAATACACACAACAAGGTCTGTTCTATCTCGTACTAAAAATCACTGCAACACTGAAAGGGAACGACGTGAAACATGGAACAGAACGAACGTCGCTAACATCGGAACTGTTTACCTAGTTTCGTTTCTTGTTCGACTTTCGCGGCGCGCCGACTTGAGCTGAACTTTATTGGTGCATATAACCAATATAACGAGGCGGGTGGAATCGTTCCGCTGGAACGGTGCATAAAAAATTAAGTTTGTTAGGTAGGGTAGATGGAATCCAATATACCTAATATTGTAGGTACAATTATTAAACTATAATACCAAAAGTTACTAAGAAGGTTTTTTCTTACTAGAGAATCTTTATTAGAGATAGACAAAACATTCAAGGAATCAACAGGTTTTTGTGTATTAAAGGGGTCCCTAGACGTTTAAAAAATATTTTGCTAAATATTACTGCACAAAAAATTGATTATTGTCCCTAGGCAATCAGACAATATAAATAAATTAGGCAATATTGTCAACACAATGTTAACTAAATTGCTTAATACAAAATATTGTGCAATAATATTGATAGTGTAGGGACCTCCTTAAACCTTATAGTGTATAGCAAAAGTTACAATATTTAATTTTGGTATTAAATTTGTTAGGGTGCGGTCAACAGAACTGAGAGGCGCGCCAGACAAAATGTAGCCCAGCAACCTCGTGTCGTGAATTCTACTCGCATGTATTGTGAAATCATTTACCCTACGTTCCGAAATCACGAGATTTTGGTACGTGATTTTTTAGGAACGGAACGGTTTGGTACGTTCCGGAATGGGAACCGTTTTTTCCATCACTACTTAAAGTGCTAAGAACAACCATTCTGCCGTGCTTAATGAAAACGCCGTAACCAACAATTTTGAGATTTTTGTTTTACGGCATTTTCTACTAGAACAATTCATCCTGCGTCTATCCCCGGTACTCAAAAAACCGTATCTATATATATACGGTTTTTTGAGTACCGGGGATAGACGCAGGATGAATTGTTCTAGTAGAAAATGCCGTAAACCAAAAATAGCAAAATTGTTGGTTACGGCGTTTTCATTAAGCACGGCAGCATTTTACACCTCTTTTGTAAAAAAGAAACCTTATTCTATCAGGGCTGTCATCAAACTGTCAAATGTCAATTTTAAGGTTATTTTATAACCCACAAATTAACCTTCAAATTGACATTTAACAGCCCTGATAAAATAAGCTTTATTTTTTTTACAAAAGAAGAGTAAAATGGTTGTTCTTAGCACTTTAAGGCCTCTTTTAAGGCTTACAAGTGCCTCTGTAAGAAAGATAACGGTTAAAACGAATATTAATCTGTATAAACAGATCACAAACCCAAAGCACAAAAATTGTAAACAACAAAAATGGCAGCCATTAAACTATGTGCAGTGATTTTTAGTATTTTTAGTATGAGATAGAACAGACCTTGTTGTGTGGATTGCGACTCAAAGTACTTAGTATTTTGAATTTTATTTTTTATGTTTATTAACGCAGTAGCTTGAAATTTAAAAAAAAAACTGGACATGAAATTAAAAGGGGAAAATTTAAAATACAAAAGAAAGTACTTAGAATTAAAGGCTCTAATTTTAAGGGAATTTTTTGCCCTTAGCACTTTAAGTCCTCTTTTAAGGCTTAAAAGTACCTCTGTAAGAAACACAACATTTAAAACAATTATTAAACAGCACAAACCCAAAGCACAAGAATTGTAAACAACAAAAATGGCCGCCGTTAAACTCTGTGCAGTGTTGCAGTGATTTTTAGCATTTTTAACATGAGATAGAACTTGTTGTGTGGATTGTGAGGAATACTATACATATACATATATTACTATGGTAATGTGTTTTTGTTAAAGGGCCAAATTTTTACATGAAATTTACTATACAAATTGCACAAATAAATTAATTTTCATGTACCTAATTTACACAAAAAGTAAACCAATGAAAAACAATTAAAAAAATCCTTTTCCAAAATTCAGAGTCCAAATGAATTGAATTGTTTTTTTTTTCAATTTTCAATCTTGAAGATTTATCTCTTTAAATCTGGAAGAAACAGTTTTGGGTCCTAGATTTAAACCAGGAAATTCTGCATTGTTATAGCCAGCTATCATAAATAGACTGTCAACAAAAGCAAAAAATATATTGTATTTAATTTAATCCTTAACTTTTCCAGGGAAAATAAATTCTCTTATATTTCTTTCATTTTAAAAATGGTGTCAAGTTTTAAAAAAATTGTGCAACATTAGTCAAAATTATTTAGTCATGATTTTATAAATATTTAAATTACTAATACCTACTATCACATTTTAAATTTTTTCAATAATTTGTCAAAAATTAAAGGAAACTCATTACTCATTAAAATAGAATGTCACTTGTTGAATAAATAAGTAAAACTCATAAATAATTACTCACCATGGGGTTTTCTTTGCAGATGAGTTTGATATCTTTTAAGTGTTTCAAGATGGGTTCGTCGTGACTCTGAACCATTTCCGACAAAATACTGACATTTCTAAAAATGGTCAACCAAAAATCTGGAATGCCTTTCACATCCTTATTATCCTTGTCCTCCAACTTAACCTTATCCTTCAAATCCTCAGACAATTCAGCCTCGTCTTCAGATGGCCACTGACACTCATCGTCCACAGGCTCATAGGTTCCATTAACGATATTGTTACGTTTCTCGAATAACGGCGTGTGCAGAAGATGATATTTGCATTCTAGATCGTGAACTTCCTTGAAAAACTCGGCTTCTAGCTTGGTGTTTTCAAACTGGAGGTTTTTCAGTGCTTTTAACCGCCGTTTTACAACTGTTGGAAGGTTTGCGATCATTTCCGCGTTCTGGTGACTCTGTAAGGCGGCCAACACGTTCGGGAAGTTGAGGATTTTGCTCGCCATTTCCGCATCGGTCTCCTCTTCTTCGACGAAATCGTCGGGACAATCGCCTGCTTGTTCTGGATCGCTTGCCATTTTATCTAAATCAACACAACAATTGCAAATAACGTTATTGTAAATTTACTGACATACACGTGTAAATCAAAGGAAATAAAACCGTCAAAAATCCATCAAAACAATCAAAGAAACGTTAGACGAAACGACAATCAACAAGGCCAACTCAATCTCACCACGATAGACATTGAAAAATAACCAATTAACACGACAATATTGCCAACTTTTCTTACAAACTCCGCCAAAAACGTTTTTTTTTTTAAATTTACAGACATACACGTGCAAATCAAACGAAATAAAAATGTCAAATTCATCAATATGCGACTTACAAAACAATCAAAGAAACAACACAAGAAAAGACAGTCAAAAAAGCCAACGCAATCTCAAAACATCAAAAATTCTAGTTAACTCAAATTAACGGATATTTACCTAAAACCGGTAATTCCAAAGATTGCTTGTTCACAGACTTGCTCTAACGATGGCGGCAACTGTGGAAAAGACACTCAATTTCCTATCCCCACTTTAAATCCCAAAAAACTGTCAAAAGCACCAAGGAACAATAACAGGTAAGACACCACTCAGAGAAACACAATCATTGGAGTGGCGCTATCTATCAACTAAATGCAGAACTAAGCTAACTTCTAGATAAATATTGCATTTTAAGTTAAAATTTTTAACTGTCTAAAATGTCAAATGTAGATAGGTATAACTGTCTTATAAAATTATAGCAATAAAATCCATTATGGTAGCATAAATACAAAAAAATTACCCAAATTGTAGCTTCATTTTTTCGTTAGTAGATGTCGCACGTACATTTTTGTTTTAAACCTAACCTAACCATCTATTTCTCCGTGTTACGTGGTTTTTTTGGCGCTTCCTGGATGACGGAGCGTGCGCTAAATTTGAAATAAGTGCGATGACTCACGAGTCGAACATGCGTAGATAATTATTGCAAATTAAAGAATATCCAGTTAAATCAGGATGTAATTGTTAAGAGAGAAACATCTCTGAAATGTTATATAGCCTAAAATTGCACTCCATTGCCTATTTTGTAATAGCAAGCTTGTGTACACATTTTTTATTAAATGTGAATAAAAAATGATGTATGATGTTATTTAAATGTTTAAATAGTTGTTTGTAGATAATAGAGTTAAAAATGAGTATCCTGTGCTTGTCTGGAAGAGTAGTATTGTTCCTGACAGGGATCGACTAATTATTTGCTACGACAAAAAATATGAATGTTTAATTACTAGAAATGAGACCAAAAACAATGTGTCTGTAAGTTTGGTTGAATAATTCATTAATTAATGCAAATTTTTTTGTAAACAGGGTCAAAATAATTAACTTAACTAATTTTTTAAGGTATTCATGTTCTACGGAAGTCATTTGGATAACAATGACTTTCCTTTGCCTAGAAATGGTGAAATATGGGCGCTTTTTCACGAGGAGTCTCCCAGAAATTACGCACCAATATTATTTAGGGAAATGCAAGGTTTATTTAATATTACAGCAACTTTTAGTACAAATAGTGATTTTCCATTAACTCTACAGTATTTGCCAAATATTAACAGTATTATTGGTAAAATAGCATATGTAAAAATACATTGAGTTTATGCTGTATTTTAGATAAAACATATTTTAAATCAACAAAAGAAAAAAATAATTTTATTAAAACAAAAAATATTGCCTCGGTATTATTTATACAATCGGACTGTGATACACCTATAGAAAGGGATAATTTTATTTCAAAACTAATGGAATACATAAAAATTGACTCGTATGGTGCATGTTTACACAACCAGGATTTTTCTAAAGAGTATTTCTTCAGTAACAAAAAATCAAAATTTAACAGTTCTTTTTTAGAATTTCAACAATATATCCATTGGATCTTTACAATCCTGTATTTTTAGAGTTTATATCACAGTATAAATTTATCATTGCCTTTGAGAACTCTATTTGTGAGGATTATATTACAGAAAAACTTTGGCGCCCTCTCATGGTGGGATCAGTACCAATTTACTTGGGCTCTCCTTCAGTCAAAGTAAGCTTTGAAATATAGACAGAAAATTAGTGTGAAACTACTATTATAGAGATTAGTTACTAAAAACAAACATACCTACCATTAAAGAAAACAATTTTTGCTAAAAAATCTTCCTTAAAATGACTTTAAAAATCGATAAATTATCTCGGTAGCAAGACCACTAGATATAATATTAATGGTACATTGGTAGGCAGTGTTGCCAATTGCTTTTGGCAAAATTACACCCAAACTCTCCAGAATTACACCACATTACACCCCAACAAAAATTAAGCCTGATTTATAACATTGAAAATGTCATATGCTCGAAACCCATATTTATTTGCAAAAATAATACGTTATCATGATTCAGGGGTGTCCAAACTATTATTTATTATTATTATTATTAATTTTCAATTAAAAAAATTCTTGTTTTCATAGATTGCATTTCTTCTGCGTGAAAACATAAACAAATCTTTCTTTAAATAAAAATAGGTACGTTTTAAATGATCCGTCCAAAATTACACCCAAATTACACCGCATTCAAAAATGTTAGAAAATTACACCACAGTCAGTAAATTACACCCAAATGGTGTAATTACACCGCAATTTGCCACACTGTTGGTAGGTGTGTCAAGTTCTAAAATTAAATTAGGTATGTTCAAAAATAAAAAATCTAAAAGTAACCAAATTCTTTGAAAATATTTTTTTTACTTGTTTTAAAACCATTAACAGCTTATTTTAGTATAAAGTCCATAAAATTATTTTTAAAATATAATATTTGTACGGTTAGTTCTTTTCCTCGAATTTAACGATTTAAAGAATATAGAACATAACCTAGAAACCAGGCTAAAAAGAGATGTTAGATTCATTCGTAATTATTGACAAATCTGTTATAACATCGTGACGTCACGATTTCTCTTCAAGGTCATCAAGCGTATTGAATTGTTTTTTAAAAACGCAGTAGCGTTCTCAAAAATTGTTTAAGAAGCGAAGGACTTTTTTTATGGACGCTACCCTTTTTATCTGAAGTTTTTGACGTTTCCTCTTTGACATAACCTACAAATGTACCTGAATACTAGGATTCGACGCCATTTTTTGGTTCACATGACACATTTTTAACTTTTTGATCACGCCATCTTTTATCTTTACTCAAAGCCTAGTTAAAAGGTAACAGACTAATAGCTTTTGTTTAAGGCATGGCTACCTAACAAAAAGTCTGCCATTTTGGTTGATGATTTTGACAGTGCGAAATCTTTGGCAGATTTTATTAAAGTTGTAAACAGTAATGATACTTTATATGATTTGTTTTTGGAACACAAATTAAACGGAATTATAGAAAATGATGATCTTATAGACAAATTTGGCTTTGGGTTAAATAATGAGCATGAAAATGCTATAACTGCCTTTGAATGTTTTGTTTGTAAAAAAATCCATCATGGAAGATATAAGGTGAAAGAAGGTTCAGTTTTTGATTGCCCTTATCCCAAAAATAGTTCTTGGAATGGTTTTTGGGATGCTGGAAGATATCAAGCAAGAGCCTTGAAAATATTAATGGAGAAAAATGTAAAGTTTTCAAACGCAACTTATGAGAAATTATGGAAAAAATTATTTTACAAGGAAAACTAAATCCGTCCTTACATGAATAAAAAACCAAATATTCATTATTGAAACCAAGTACCTAATAAACTTTTTGTCTTTTAAATTATTGTTTTTTTCTACTTACTCTCCTTGAAATAAATAAAACCCAAACATTTTTTAATTATTCACTTTATTTTCAGAACAAAGCAAATTTGGTCCTGAGTAAAAATTTATTAAAAACCTTACTTAAAAATACTAGAAAACAGTACTACTGATAAATAAATATGTACATTCATTTTACTAGAACACAACACAGTTTATTTTGAACATTATACAGGGTGAACCACATAACAAAATATTTCAGGTCATCATATATGGCCCACCCTATACAGCTACAACTTTGCTTCTTAATAATATACAAATTACCTCAAAAACACAACAACTGAAAAATATCAAATAAATATAAACAATAAAGAAAAACCTATTTCTTAATAATTAATTATTAAATTATTAAATTTTAATAAAAAAATCTAAATCTAATTAATCTAATCTTTTCGGACTTTACGCTTCCTGGCACCTTCACCCTTTTCAGCAGGTACCTATAGAAATTGAAAGGTTATATTTTTTCAAAAGTAAAACAACTTTAAACTTACATTTTCTTCCACAGCCTCATTATCTTCCTCACTGTCTGCTTCTGAATTCTTCTCTGCATCTTCATCCTCTTCTTCTTCTTCAGCTTCTACCTCTTCAGCTTCTGCCTTATCTTCAGTCGCTTCATCAGTCTTTTTCTTCTCAGCAGCTTGCTTTTGTTCTTCTCTCTCCTATTTAAACGATCAGCGTGTTTTTTTATTGAATTTGAAAATGGTAGGCATGTATACAGGGTGTCCCAGAACTCGCGCCACAGAGAAAAAGGGGGCATGCCGATAGCATTGGAGATGCCAAATTTAAAAATAAAAAATTTCTAGGTAATAGTGTAATCGAATAAGAGCAAAAAAGCGGCAGCCAATACCGAGAGATCTCGCCTAGGTTAAACATAGGAGCTTTAAAAATTGCTAGGAGACGATAGAACATTGTTGTCTTAAAAACATTTAAAAATCTTTTGGCCAACTGTATTTACTAAGTTGTCAAAAGCTTTCAAAAAATGAGGTTATTAATCTATGACTGATACTTTAGAACGCCAATGTTTTAAAGTAAAAAATCAAACCAGTTGTACTTTATTTAGCTTTTTTTGCGCCCACGCTCCCCATAAATAGTTATCATTTCGTTATAATCATCAAGGAAAACATTATTTATAATAACTTAATTTATTACTAACATACAATATTAATGACAAAAGTAAAGATTGACAGCATTGTCAATAATAACTTAATTTATAACCTAATATAATATTAATGACAGGAGTAAAGATTGACAGCAGTGTTACAATGAATTGGATTCCAGTGGACCAAATATTTTACATATTTTTTATTATCAACAATGCAACCTAAGTATCCTAGCAATTTAAAGAATTCCCTGTGGTGATCTATTGGGATTGGCTATCGTTTTTTATTCTTATCTCCCTTATCCTTTGCGTTGGACAATTTGAATTTTTAAATATCGTCGCCTTCAGGAGAAAATTGCTTAACTCCATGTTGTAAAATTTTACAGGAGGAAAGAAAAACATATTAAAGGTGTATTGGTGTATCTCCACATTACCGCCAAAAAATTGTTTAATGGAAAATTACGTATCTCCAATATGTACTTTATGTTAATAAAAGTAACCTTAAATTATTCATGGTACCTTAAATTTACACACTATACAATCTTTCATACTTACATACAGAAAAAATAACTAGGCAATAACTTATAGTTGTCAATGGCACTGATTTGTATATTGGAGTTAGGCATTATTCCCTGGACGCTCCTCCACGATTGGAGATACGTATATTTCTTTTTCTAAATTTAAAATTAACGGTTTATTTTAGGACATCTGTAACTTGCATATAAATTAGTTACAGTTTTATCTAACAGATGCCACTAAAATACCATTTTAATGAAAATGTGGAGTTACGTGATTTTCTCCTGAAGGCGACGATATGTGTTTCAAATTACTTTCGGTACGTTCCCTTTTTCTCTGTGGCGCGAGTTCTGGGACACCCTGTATTATGAAGCGCAGACTTGCAAAATTTTAATTTAAAGTGTTTTTCTAACTATTCATATTTTTGAACTTCAAATAATGGAAAAAGCTTTTCAAATTTTGTGTAGATTATTTATATCTAGGATAACCACAAGGTTCTACGAAAATTAATTTTGTAATATTTTAATTTTTCGTAAGATGCCTCATATTTTTTCTTAATTCCTTAAATAACTCCTTAACCTGTATAAATTATAATTATAATAAATAATTATTATAAATAATTATTTAAGTAAAAGTTTGTTTCCAAGGGTAACTTTTTAAGCTGTTTTCAAAAATGTAATTAGAATTTGTGGATCTTCTATTGTTTTTGCTATATTTTTCGACATGTTTTACTTCAAGAATAAAATTTATCTTGGCTTTCTGTCTAGGAGCTGAAAAAAAATTCTTGAACTTTCATGTCGTCGTTTTCAGGTGACACATGACAAAATTGTGATTCAGGTGACATGTTTAAAATGACAGGTGACATATGCCAAAAATAGGCTTTTATAGATGTAAAAATGAGCCATATAAAACGAAAACACCAAACAAAATAAGCTGACATCTGTTATCTGTCATTATTGACAATTTACGTAGGGTTTGCAGATAATAGTTATTTTTTATGTAATAAATAATAATAAATAATGTAAGTTAAGAGTTTCATTTTATTTTGTGAGAAGGAAAATTGGATAACGAGCGTAGCGAGTGATTCAACCCTTCAAACAAAATAAAAACACTTTTAATTATCTACAAATGCTACGTAAATTGTCAATAATGACAGATAACAGATGTCAGCTTATTTTGTTTCGTATTTTCGCTTCATATGGCCCATTTTTGACATCTGCCTTGGCTTATTTTTGACACCTGTCACCCGGCAGACATCTGTCACATATCATTTTTGGTTCAAGAATTTTTTTTCTTAAAGCCAAGACAATTTTTTTTCTTGAAGTAGTGGGATACAATCTAGGGTTTTAAAGTGTCGAAAAAAAACGAAAAATTGTGAAAATTTTTTTTTTGGAAAATATGTATATCTAAAAAAAAAATAGCAAACACCAACTTAACATTATTTTAATTTAAAAAAATCCTTTATTACAAAAAAAATAAAACTAAACATTGAATTAAATAAAATTGATTTTAAAAAATAAACGTAAAAGTGAAATATTTTGTCAGTTGTTTTTTTTTGCAAAAAGGAGTCCATTAAAAAATAATGAATGATTTATAAAGTTAAATTACAAAATTATTATTTTATAAATCAAAGTGTCAAATAAAAGTTATGTTAATACAGCACCGAAAATTTTTTTTGTGGCCCAGTAGAATATTCTTACTAAATTAAAATAAAAGGAAGAATTATTTATAATAATTAATTATAATAATATATATAATCAGCGTCAGAAATCCGTAAAAATTTAAAAATTTTCAGAAAAAATGACTTGCATTTTTTCGTATTACCAGTCGATTGAAAAATGAAAAATTTAAAAATAAAAGTCAATTTTTCTAAAAATTTCCCAATTTTTCCGAAAAAAAAAACGGCTCAATTTTTCCGGAAATTTTAAAACCCTAATACCCTCTTTACAACATAATATATTATATAAATTTAAAACATGTAGTCCTGATCAAACATGCAGAAAAATTTTTTTTTGCAAATGCAACAATCATGCAAAAACAATAAAAGACACAAATTCTGATAACATTTTTGAAATCAGTTCAAAAAGTTACCCCTGAAACAAACTTTCACTTTAATAACCTTTACAGGCAAGGAGTTATTTAAGGAATTAAAAAAATGGCACATCCTGCGAAAAATTAAAAAATTATTATAAAACCAGTATGTTTTGTTACCCTACACAAAACTTCAAATCTAAAACGGTGTGGTTTGATCTGATGACCCTACTAGGAGACAAAATATACATTTAAATTAGAATTAAAATTTTGGACAAAATGCAAGTCTGCTCCTCCAGACAATACACCTATGTTTAGTGTTGATGAATAGGCTAAACCTTGAAGTCCAAGGCTTAGACCATTCAGCAAATAGATAATCCTAGGAGCATTTAACTTTGGATGGATAAAATCCTTAGACCATTTATCTGTAGACGGTGTCGTTTTTCGTGACACATTTTCCGCGATTAAAGCTTCTACCGAAAGCAGGTATATTCTAGCACTTACCTCTTGAGAACTGGACGAAGAACTAGGCTTAAAGCAAAGGTAAAGTACAAACACTACAGGGATGCCAAGTACTAAAATGTAAACTCCCCACATGGCGGGATAGTCGTTGGTGAAGTTGGCTAGCTTTTGGAATACGCTCTCCTAATACAAGAAAAAAAATGCAAAATAAACACTTGTTGTTTCTACATTGTTTTTAGGTGATTGTCTGGCGATACAAGGTTGGCAGTAAAGACGGCGTACCTCCTTGACGCACCGAAACAAATAGTAAATGTAACCGATGACGGGTAGCGAGCAGTATATGAAATATGCCCCCCATGTTTTTGGTCGGTTATTCATCGCCCGCATCATACGGCCCCAAAATGTTACCTGATAAAAAAATGGTAACAGATTTGATGCACAAAAATCGTAATTTGCTTGCATTAAAAATAAATATGTCAACATTCCCAGCAAACAAGATTATGTAATAGCCCATTATATAGTTTCATGGCATTTTTAGCCAAAGCTTTTCTTGTACTGGGCCTTTACATGTAGACCAGTGTAGAAGCCTTTAAAAATGGTAAAAAGAGAAAAAAAATAACAGTAGGATGAAAAACCCATTGGAAAAGAAGGGGAATATAATAAAAATTAAAGGAAAAATAAATTACGGGCGATCTGAGTTCGGGTGTATTTTCTGAGAACATTTACCATAGTAATGTATATTTTTTTTACACCATCAGAAAGTAGAGATTCCAACGAACAAAAAGCACACCGACTTTTTGAAAAAAGCTGATATTTTGACGCGAGAATTTTCGATTTAAAATTAGGGTGCTTTTTTGATATTAAGTCAAAATAAGGCGAAATAATAAATATTTCAAATCAAATAAATTACAGTGTATTTGGGACATAAAAAGGTAAGTTTTCACCAAATTTCGTGGAAAATTTTTTTTTTTTGAAAAAGATAAAAATAAAAAACCAAAAACTTGGTTTTTTGAATTTTTCATATAAATTTTGAGGTTATGTGAAAAAATTGTAAATACAAAAGTTGTAGATCTTTTTATTACCTACAACTTTGACATTTAACTTTTTTCCATAGGACTTGTAGTTTTGCCGGAAATCGAGATAAACCATTTTTTACCCTTAAAACCCCCCCTCCCACTTCCCGAAGTCAGATCGCGCGTAATTTATTTTTCCTTTCATTTTTATTATATTCTTCTCCTTTTCCAATGGGTTTCATCCTACTGTTATTTTTTTTGGTTTCAAAAATTATCGACCCTGGTCTAATGAATGTTTTAATAAAAATATTAATTTTGATAAAAGGCTATCGTGATAAGGTCTTGCAAGACCCATATAAGGCAATTTCCAGTGTCAAGTTAATGGGACTTTAAAAAACCATTGAAGTGCCAAATGTTTTTTATATATAAAACTTACATGGACCTTTAATTATCCTTTGCAACCATGGTTAACGCCATATTTTAAAAATTACGCCCAGTGTAATTCCTATAGTTTTAATAGTGTGTTATATCACATACAAAAATTAATAATACCTAATGGTTGTTAAATTTAAATGAGTAAGTAGGTGCATTTTTAACTTTACAAATTTTAGAACTATTATTACTGACAAAATACCGCCAAAGAATTTAGTAGAAAGGTTTAATTGGGGCAATTGCAAATAAAATAAATTTATAATGCAAATAAAATAAATTTATAATGGCAGAGAAAACCTTGTTTTCTAGTTAGGTATACGGGGCAATCTACCAAAAAAATCAAGTGAATTTATTTGTTTAAGGATTTTTTTAATTATTTAAATATTATGGATTCCATTTATTACTTAATAAACAGTTTTTAAAATAGAACTTGTGTTTTACTTTGTATTTTGTCTTGTAAATTTATGAATGGTTTAGTATTACCATGATACAACATAAGATTTATGTAGTATCATGACTCATGAGTATTACATTTCACAATAATACACTGCGCGTCAAAATTAACGCATAACAAGTAAAAAAAATCCAACTCTAAAACGCCTTTACCAATTTTTATAAAATTTTAGATAAAAATAATTTAACTTATCTCAGTTTACGTGTTCAAGGGTTTTTCGAGAAAATTTCCTTAAAGCTCTTTTTTTAATAATTAATTTTTTTGAAGTAAATAAAAAATATGCTGTGAAAGATCGTATCTTTGTTAGTATACCCTAAAAATGTTGTACAAATCAAACGAACAGTAACGAAAATACAGCGCTTTAAAGTCGTCAAAAATGAGCACTTTTAAGCAAAATAATCAAAAGGGTAATTTTTACCGATTTTGAAGCGCTGTATCTTCATTACTGTTCGTTTGATTTGTACAAAATTTTCAGGGTATACTAACAAAAATACGGTCTTTAACAGAATATTTTTTATTCACAAAAAGTTATTTTTTGAACGTTTTTTTATTATTAAATAAAAGAGCTTTAAAAACTTTTTCTCGAAAAACCCTCAAACACGTCAACTGAGATAAGTTGAAGTATTTTTACACAAAATTTCATAAAGATTGGTAAGGGCGTTTTAGAGTTAATTTTTTTTACTTATTAGGCGTTAATTTTGACGCGCAGTGTATATATTGGGTCGGATATTCCACGATAATCGAAATTTTTTATCCCGACCATCAGAAATTGTATTGTGACGGTAGGGATAACAATTTCTAATTATTGTGGAATATCCTTATCTAATAAATATATACCTACCACATTTAATTCACCATAATACATCAATACATCAATCACTTATCCATTAAAAATTATTTAAATAACCACTATAGAATCTTTAACATCCCATATCAGAAACTTAGTTTGCCACATTTGTACCTTTAATCTGCCATATCAGAACATTTAGCGCGCCATATCAAAAAATGGTATGGTTCTTGTAAGTGCCTTTATTAACTGCCGTTACACGCCCATTAAAGGTTAACGCGACATAATATGTACAGTTATATTAGTTAGCCTTTATAGGGCCTATAGTTCTTTAAAGGCACTTATATAAAGGGCCATTATAGAACTTTTACGGTTGTGTTTGCTGGGATGTTGTCCTACAGCGACGTTTTTCTATGGATGGAACACAACCAAATAAAAAATACATAATATAATATATATTTCACTATGTGAGAAATATCATTATTTTATGTAGTAATTTGTTTTGGACAAACCAGTTTAAATTAATTTCACTTGGGGCTGCTATTTATTATAAAAAAGTTACACACACAACATTAACTAGAAATAATACTTACAGAGTCTTTAGCAATCTTCTGCCTCTTCTTTGAGAAAGTATCAGCTGCCCATTGCTCAGCAACATAGTATTCATCAGTGATAATAATATTATCAAAAAGAATATCTTTGGACATGGACCAAAGTTCAAAACCAATGGCTCCCTAAAGAACAAAATATTGTCCATTTATTACACAAAAAATTGTACCAGAACAATTTTAAAATCCTTAACCATGATTTTTTTACGTTTTTTGGACTACATTGCTGTTTTTAAAAAAATGTACAGGATGCATATTCTATGTATCCTTTTTATTTGAAAAGCTACAAGGTCGGTTAACTTAGAGAAAATTTGCGCAATTACAAGCCTATTAAAGTTAAATTTAAAAAATGGAAAAAAAAATCAGCAGTTCTCAAATAATTTGAAAAAAAACTGAAAACCTGTAAAAAACAAAAATCGTTATAATTTCGTTATTACTGGAAATTTTGAAAGAAAGTAAGTTTCACATGTAAACATACACATTATTCTACATTTTTATTCAATTTGAGTTAGGTACCATCACCATTTTTTGTTTTTATAATGGCCGCCATAACTTCTGTAAAGTTTGATGCATTGAGAAAAAAAATCAAGAAATCCAACAATTGTTGGAATCCATTATTTTTTTGTCTATCTAATCATGTAAAACTTCAATATGGCATCCATAGATGGTGGTGGTATCTCAAAACCCAGTAGGGGGAAAATCACAAATTAAATGAGAATGTAGATAAATGTGTATGTTTACATTTAAAACTTTCTTTTTTCAAAATTCACAGGAATAACGAAGTTTATAAAGATTTTTGGTTTTGACAGGTTTTCAGTTTTTTTTAAATTATTTGAGAACCGCTGATTTTTTGTGCAATTTTTAATTTTATATTTAGCTTAACATTATTTATTTATTATTTTTAGCTTAAATTCACACCTATTAAAACTGTTATAACTCATTATGAGTTCCACAAGTACATTTTGGTAAATTTTACAGTAGAGAAATTTTTATGGTTTATATTAAGGCAAATATTAGTATGATTTATATTGCAACGTTTTTTGAGTGTAACCGTGTAAAATAATCTATTACTAAAGTGTTTCACATAAAAAATCTGTAAATTATAATATTGAAAACTCCAGATATTTTTGAAAATGCTACTTAGAACCTTGTAACCTTAATTATCAAAACAATAAAACGTGATTTATAAAGTGATGTTCCTTTTATTTGTAATTAAGTGAATAGCAAATAAAAATGAGTAAAAAACTTTTTAAACATAAATGTGTTGAACACACAAATTTATGCGGTAGTTTTATTTAAAAGTAATAAAATATGTATATTTTAGAAAAATTAAATATTTTGTATGTTTTTGTTGGAATTTCCAATACTGCATTATTTTTTCCACAAAATATGTTTAAAAACAAAAGAAAATGTTTTTTGGAATTATCATTTTTTTATTTAAAAATTATACCTGAAAATCACATTTTTCTCTACTTGAAAATGAGATTTTGTCAACTTTTTGTTGTTTAATTTATTTTAAAATTGGTTTTAAACATCAAACAATTTTTTTTGCCTTTTTAAAAATAACGTTTGACGTTAAAATGTTTTTTTTTGTAATTGGCTGAAATATAAAGAAGTAAAATATTCTTTTTTAATCTTTGTTTATGAAGAAGGTTTTTACTTTTTCCATTATACTTAAAATAAGCAAAATAAAAAAATAAATAGATATAAATAAATATTAATATTCTTTTATTATATTGATTTATTTATTTTTAATAATTTTGTTTTTATTTTTTTCCTGGTCTGAAAGAGCAATTAGATTATTGTGCCTTTCATTCAACTTATATTCATTTTTTTATAAGGTTTTAATGAATTTCACAACAAATAAATGATGATTAATATTATTATAATTGCGTTTAAAAAAATATATTTAAAAAAAATAAAATATTTTGTATTAAAAGTAGGGGAACAAAATAGTGATTATTTCTGTTTTTGTCTTTATTCCTAATACTGCATTATATTTCCAGAAAATATGTTTAAAAACAAAAAAATATGTTTTTTGGAATTATCATTTCTTTTATTTAAATATTTAAAAATTAGCCCTGAAAATCACATTTTTCTCTACTTGAAAATGAGATTTTGTCAACTTTTTGTTGTTTAATTTATTTTAAAATTGGTTTCATACATCGAAAAATTTGTTTTGCCTTTTTAAAAATAAAGTTTTTAGGTTAAAATGTTTTTTTTGTAATTGGCTGAAATATAAAGAAGTAAGATAATCTTTTTAAATCTTTGTTTAAGAAGATGTTTTTTACTTTTTTCATTATAGGTACTTAAAATAAACAAAATAAAAAAATAAATAGGTGTAAAATATTAATTTTTTTTTATTATATTGATTTATTTCTTTATTTTTATTTTTTTTCCTGGTCTGAAAGAACAATTAGATTATTCTGCCTTTTATTTAACTTTTTTAACTTTTTTTTAATGTTATAATGAATTTTACAACAAATAAATAATAATTAATATTATTATAATTACTTACAACAGTGGGTAGTTTAAAAGGATGCTTGTCCTCGAAATAGTCGGGGTTGGGGATGGTCCTCGGCCTCCATTTGCCCTTGTAGTTTGGATTGTCAATGTAGGGGGCGCGCCATTTTCCCTTAAAAGCGGGGTTGTTGATAAGGGGAGGTTCCCACGTGCCGCAACCGGGCGCGCCTGCGCACACCGGGTTCTCAATTAGGGGGGGTTCCCACTCACCTAAGAAAAACCACGTTCGTTTTTTGGACCCAAATTTTGTATGTAAAGATTTTCGCAGCTTTTAAGAATATAACAATTTACAAGCGTTTTGTAATATTGACTAGTTTAAAAAATGTTTCATTATTTTTTTAAAGTTTTAAAATTAAAAAACGTATTTACATGACTTTATCAACTACACTCACAGGCAAAATAATCCATCCACACAAATTTTCGATTAATTTCAATCGCAAATAACTTTTTTATTTGATTTCGGATTTAAACAAATATTAAAGAATATTGTAGATAAATTAATGGAGAATAGCTCACATTTTAAAAATTACTAAAAAATACACGTACGTTTATAATATACAGGTTTAAACAAAAAGATTTTTTTACTATAAGTTTAAGACACTCTGTAGAGTGGCAAAACCGTGTATTGTTCTAAATTAAGTTTTATTTATGAAGTCACATCTATTTTTAACAGTTTTGTTTTTGGTTCACCTTGATATATTTATTTTTGTGAAAAATATGAATTTTTATAAAAAACATTGCAATTTCCAATATTTTTCCTGTATGAAGAACTAAGGTTGCTATGGTCCATCCATAGCCTATGGAGGATGACAGTGACAGTTTGGTTGAATCATCCCATACTTGGACATGTCATATACAGCTTTCAAAAGGTATCAAATTGTTTTTTGTAAATTAATGTGTTAATTTTGAGGTGTCTTCTTACTTTTAAAAATGTCTCCGACTGATGTTGCCCTTTGTACTTTACTTCTTGTGACATTTAAAACACTTGCCACGTAATACTGTGACCGTCCATCCTGGATTAAATTAATGGCTCTGGCAACATCAGTCGGAGACATATGCATTTTTTAAAGTAAGAAGACACCTTAAAATTTAAACATAAATTTGCAAAAAACAATTTGATAGCTTTTGAAAGCCGTGTATGACATGTCCAAGTATGGGATGATTCAACAAAACTGTCACTGTCATTCTCAATAGCCTATGGATGGACAGAAAAATATTGGAAATTGCAATGTTTTTTTTTTAAATCCATATTTTCCACAAAAATAAATATATCGAGGTGAACCAAAAACAAAACTGTTAAGAATAGATGTGACTTCATAAATAAAACTTAATTTAGAACAATATACGGTTTTGCCACTCTACAGAGTGTCTTAAACTTATGGTAAAAAACATCTTTTTGTTTAAACCTGTATATTATAAACGTACGTCTATTTTTTAGTAATTTTTTAAAATGTGAGCGATTGTCCATTAATTTTTCTACAATATTCTTTAATATTCGTTTAAATCCGACATCAAATAAAAAAGTTATTTGCGATTGAAATTCATCGAAAATTTGTGTGGATCGAAAATCTTTCTTATTTCCTTACCGTCCATGTCGGAATCCCAGTCTTCCGGTTTCTTGGCTTCCGGATCGGGAACGTGAGTCAGTTCGTTCTCCAGCCAGCCGTCGGGCATGGTGGCGCTCTCGTCGACGATCTGCGCCGGCGCATCTTCGTCCCAATCTTCCGGTTTTACCGCTTCCGGGTCCGGAATTTTCTCGCGCTCGTCCCAGTCTTCCGGTTTCTTGTCGGCCGGGTCCTCGATTTCCGCCGGAGGATTGACAGGCGGAGCGAAATCTTAAAAATAAGTTATTTTTTTGTGAAATGAAAATTGATATTTTTTATGCTAGGTTGAGTACTTTTGTATTTCCCAATTGAATATCAAACAACATTTTTTCGAAAACTGTATACCACAGTTTATAAATTACTAAAAATGTTGAGAGAAAATATTAAAACAGATTTAAAAATATTTTGTCTACAAATAAAAACTGATGTAAACTTTTTTACGATTTGTATTTTTAACAAAAACCTGTTTTTTTTAGAAAAAAACAAAGCAGTTTGATTTTTTAGAACTCTGTTTTTTATCAGAAACATTGTTTTCCTTAATAGATATTCTCTATTCTATATTATTGCACGCAGTTATCCCATCGATATTAAAGCGATCTATTATACCTATTCGTAAGAAAAGGGTATTCCCCGTTTTAAACACAGACCAGCAAAACAAATGGACGGCGCATTGCCATTCAATAACAATGCTTTGTTTGCGGTCAACAAACGGTCACAGTCTAAGCGTCAAATTGGAGATAGAATTTTATGTTTTCTTCCAGTGACGTCAACAAACGGTCACAGTCTAAGCGTTAAATTTGTTAGAATTTTATGTTTTCTTCCAGTGACGTATGATATGTAAACTTTGCTTACTTACCTATGAAAGGATAGATTTGGATTTCTTTGGTTTGTTTCTTTACAAACATTACACTGTCGCACCATTTTTAGTAAAAAATAATGTATTTAAACTCAATAAAACACGATAGAAATACACAAACGAAAACCACAGATTACAAAACACAAAACAACAAGCTGTCAACCTTTTTCTATGCTGTCAATATGACGAATTTATCAACGTTGTTAATATTTGATTTTAATAATTATTAAATGATTATTTTCTTTAAATAGAGAAAAATATCTAAAGAAAATGATGAACAAATCCTTTTTACAATGTTTTTATTATTCAAACGAATTACTGGTAATTTTTAATGTTCATTATGTTATGATGAACGTCCAAAAAGGCGTGTAATCTATACTTCTGACAACGTTGGAAGCCTTGTTTCTTTCGACGATGTTTAGAATGGGAAAGTATGCTTTACTCGCTTTTTAAACGTAAACAAATCCGTCCATTGGTTTTGGTGGTCTGTGGTTTTAAATATATTTCGTGAAAGAACACATTGTTGCAACATTGTACCTACTAAAAACTAAGCAGCTAAGATATAGAACCACGATTATTAATGAAAATCTCCCATTTTTCTTCTGTTGGAAAGTATTTTGATCCAACCTTGGAGTTTGTATGCTACCATGGTATATAAGACACTCTAGATAGTGACACTTGTTCTTGTCATAAATTATTTTGTTTATTTTTTTTTATTTAAAAACAAACGCTTTTTTAATTATTATGAACGTTTTCTATGATTAGAAAAAAAAATGTTTTATTTTTTTTTCAAATTTGAAAAAACAACGTTTTTTATATCACTTAGTAACTAAACACGCGCGAAAAAAAGGGTGGTACATTTGTACCTTTTTGTTGCTTTGGCTGTAAAGAAGTTCTACAGGGTACATTCATTTCATGAAATTTTTAAATTTTGATAAATTTTCAATATTTTGCATATTTTTAATAAAGTTGCTCTCTAGTAAAATCTTTTTATTTTTATATTCTGTTGGCAACACCGCGCTAAATTCAATCTTGGGGAAAACACGAAAAACCCAAGAACGTTTTTATTGTATTTAAATGATAGGTAAATTTCAGGGAAATTTGGTACTTTATTTAACCTACTACTGGTAACACTGCTTTTTCGCACGCAATGGAAGTCGCGTGCGGAAAAGTAGCACTTTCCACACTAGTTAGGTAAATAACTATTGTGTACTTATTTATAAACAAATGTAAGACGTTTTTTTGGAACCCTTTGTATATTAATTGTTTTGTATAAGGGTTGAAAAAAACAGACTTTTTAAATTAATTTAGACTTTGGAATTAATTTCCTTTTTCTAATTTTGTCCTATAATTTACTAAAAACAAACCATAAAATTAAATTATTTTTTTATTTAATTAAAATAAACAAATCAACGTAAGTTGAATCTATTTCAACAATTGTGTCATTTTTTGTAATAATTTTTAGAGATGGGAATCGGAAAGTTTCCATTTTGGAAAGTTTCCAATTGGGAATTTATTTTCATTTTGAAAGTTTCTTTTAAGCTACCGGAAACATTCCTTGGAAATATTCCTTGGAAACTTTCCTTGTTTTTTTCATTTAAATGTCAATTGTTTAAAAGCTGATTTTCGTTAAGGCCATGATACAAGGCCAAGAAACTTTGAATAAGAATTTAATGTGTGTTAATTTAAAGCAGAAGTATAAATAATGTAAGTTATGTTACATAACCTCAATGAATAAAAAAAGGTAAACAAAATAAAAACAAAGTTAAAATCATTCTTACATTTTTGTTGTCAATATTCCTATATATTAGTTACTTTGTCCCTTTTAATTTTTTTTATGTAATATCTAGGATTTACTAGCAGTGAATTTCTAATAGTAAACATTTTATTTTTATTTTGTAGGTTTCAGTATACAATAGGAATATTCCAAACTAAAAGATACTAAAAATAGTATTGCAGTTACATTTTTATAAACATATTTTTTATTTTTCCCTGGCATAAAAAAAATATTTTCGCAATAAAAATTTTTTTTTGAAACTTTCGGAAAATTTCGGGAATTTTCGATGGAAAGTTTCCGGGAATTTTCGTCAAATGGGAATTTTCCCATCTCTAATAATTTTTTTAAAATTATTTTACTTTTCAGTCCTCAATATAAAATCAATGGACCAGCATAGAATTAAATCTCTGAATAAATATCCACAAAACCACAATAACAAAATTTTCCAGCACATACTGACATTTTAATAAAAAATTATATAAAACTTGTTCCTCTTACCTTCAAGCAAACTTCCAGAATTGAAAATCTTATTATCGATTCTGATTTCAAAAGTGTTATCAGGATTCAAAATGAGAGTGTACAAATGTGGCAACTTATCGTCGTAAATTTCTTCCAACCTCTCCTTAGGTTTCTGACAATGCTTTTCCTCAATGGTTCCATTTAAGGGATTTTTGTGTTTGAAAATAAAATGCAACTTGTAATCATTGCCACACTTATCAGGCCCAAACATAATGGAATATGGGGTTTTATCAGTAAACTAAAAAAAAATTTGTTTAGAAGACAAAATCAATTTAATAAATAAATAAAAATACCTGACTTAGATCCTTATGTTCTGCAGATTGACTCAACAATTTCAAGTAGGCACCACCACACTCTTGGCCTTCTTGCAACACAACTTCATACTGCACAATCAATGGCTTAGTGTTAAACACAAACGGCTTATGCAGGTTTGATGAGATAGCAGCATGTTTAGCTTTTGATTTCAAAACAAGACCCTTATCGCCCAATAAACCATCTTTTACAGGTTCTTCAATAGCCCACTCACCATCGTATTTGGCAATATCTTCTTCAATGCCTTCTTTTTTTGCGCTTGATTTAACCCATTTTTTATTAAAGTTTGCTGTATCGTCAAAGTGATCATGGAAATATACTTTTGATTGATCAGCTGGTTTGGGGCTGTCATACAATATGTCATCTGCTACAGTCTCAACTGTCGCCTCTTCATCATCCTAAATTATTTGTTTTTTAATAAAATATTGTAGAAACACATTTAAAGAATTTCTTGAAAAAATCATAAATTGTTTAAACTTAATTTCGAAAGTTATGTTTATTAAGTAATTAAATGTTCAAAATTCTAAAATTACCAAATTTTATTAGTGATAAATACTAACTTGTTCTTCTTGTCCGAAACTGGTATTGCCTAAAAGTAAAACTCCAAAAAGCACTATCCAGTGTATCCTAAGGTTCATATTGCAGAATTGCTCAGCAGTCTATAAAAAATCACGTTTTTAAAATTTAGTAGCCTAGTACAACTATTTGTTTTAAGATAACGCAAAAGCCTAAGTAAATTCTAGAAAAATCAATATCATAACCAAATTATAATTAGGTATTTCGCTAGCAAGACTACATGCATGCACGTTTATCACAAATATAATGACTAACCGGACGTATTTTCTATAAATACTCTTATAATTCAATTAAAAGAGATTAGGGTGTATTGACACTCCTAACCTAAAAAGCAAATTGGCCGTTCCGGCAAAAGTACGGCCAATTCTTTCAAACATTTCAGCGCACGGCAAATCAAATCAAAAATTTATGTCTCACCTGTAATTGAATTAGCGTTTTAATTCAATTTTCTTCAACTGATACACGGCATTTGATAGATAAACAGAAAACCAAAGAATATCTACCCGTCAATTGATTATCCAATAGGAATGCGTGACGGATCCCCTCACGACCAATCCCTATCAAACAGATGGCATACTGAATAATGTCGTTTGAATTTCAGCGCGAAATACCTGCGCTTTTATAAGCGCTCATAAATGTTGAACTTTTTATTTATAGTGAAATTGATTATCGATATTGCTATATTAAGTAGGGCGTAATAAGTGCGTTGTATAATTTACATGACTTGTACGCATATAAAGATATCGCGTGATATAAAAAATCGATTTAAAGTAATGAGCAAGTAGGTAGCATTATTAAACTTTTAATTATTCGTGTAAGGCATTGTAAATGCATATTTTATTACTATGCCACAGATCTGTGAACTATACTTTTTGCCGTTGATGCATTTTTTGAAGCGGAATAAAAAATGCGACGCGCGCCTTAAAAAATAATAAAAAATGACGCATAACTGCATAAAGCAAGGTTTTTAATAAGTGCATGGTCCGCCTGAGTAGGAGTGGTCAAGCAGACACGCTAAAACGAAAGTTGTAAACAGTCAAAGTTAAAATGCTGTGGGTAAACTGCTCGGCGTTTTAATTATTAGAATTGTTTGCAACAAATTTCACTTGTGTTTCAAACAGAATAAGTTTATAGCTTAAACGTAAGTTAAGATACATTTTCAATTGTTTTTCGTCGCTTCTTTGTTTATTTGGTTGTGTTTTCGATGCGCTTTTGTTTCCCACGTTGTTTAAAGGCTTAATTTGACGGTGTTAATGTTTGTCGGTCAAGTTAAAATGCATTTCAATTCAATTGAGTGCGAGAATTCTAGCGAGCGGGAAAATAATAATTACATGGGCGCAGGGCCGTCCTCAAACTAAATGTAGGCCGAATGACTTCAGTGTAATTACAATTTTTGAGAACAGATCATGTTTGGATACAATTTTTAATTTAAATAAGTAGGTAGTCTAAATTAAAAATATTATTTTAAGAAAATTATAGTTTTTAATAATATTAAGGGTCCCGTACCCTAAGGCGATTTTTTTTGTAAAATTGCGTTACCGTAATTATAATATCAAATTGGAACAAGAACTAGTGAAAGTGCTAGCCGTAACCTACTAACGCTGACGCGGCAACATTGAAAAACAGTTGCATCTATGTTTTGCAATTGTTTATAATAATGCGCGACAAACCATAACAAAACAAAGCTTGCTTAGATTTATTTTGATAGTTTTAGCCTGTAAGTATATGGGGCGATCCACGCCAAATCGGCCAAGATTCACACTTCATGTTTCCGATTTACTTTAAATTTTCAGGGCCGACAGAGGAACATAAATAAAGGAGAAATCCAAAATTTTAATTTTTTTTATGCATTTTTGTGGATTTTATATAATAAATAAAAAAAAATGTCACGTTTCTTATTTTTCGAATATTAAAAAACTGAAACGACTGAAAATTTCGAGATAAATTTAGATGTACATATTTTTGGGCGCTCTTTAAGAAAAAAAAATTTTCAAAAATTTTAACCTAAAAATTCATTAAAAAAATCATTTTTTTTTAAACAAATTCAATTATCCAAAAAATGCCATCTCAAAAATTTTTCAAAAAATTTATGGTGATAGCCCTGAATCTTGCGCAAATTTTGACTAGTTACTTTTTGGGGGGACTCAAAAATTGTAGAAGTTATGAATTTTTTTGTGATGCGATGCGTGAAATCGTTACTCCCGCGATCAATGGCTCCGAGCGACTTCGCTTCGCCAAACGGAGAAAGAGATTGTTTCATTGAGTTAAATGTAGTATTTATTTTAATTATATTTTATTAAAAGACTAAATTCATTGCATTACATTTATTTTATTATTAAAAAAATACAAAATATTTTACAAGCGATAAGCCAAGCAGTGCACTGTAAGATAAATAATATTTGTTAATATCAGTCCAGATTTGTGAAAATTTTAACAAGAAAAACATTTTACCGAATATGTAATGTATGTAATTATTTTATTTTCTACTTATCTATTATTGATCCATAACACCTTGCAAATCAAATAAGTAAACGTATCTATAACAACCACAGGGCGTTATAGCCGGGCGTTATCATAATGCCCGCAAATTTAAATCTACAAAACATCATACAATATGCAGCCAAAGCTGCAGAAAATTTGTTGTTTTCAATCACTGACTATAATAAATAATAACTTTTGTGTAGCCTTGGCTGCATTTTGTAAAATATTTTGCGGAATTTCTTAAATAAAATTTTGATTAATTTTTGTTTGACATAAGTCAACATTTGGTACAGTGACAGTAGGAAATTTGACAAGTTTATTTATTATTTAAATTTTTGATAAAAACATAAATCTTTAAGTAGAAAATAAAGCATTGTATGCCCATCACGCGAAATCCTATCCCTCGGGCCAAAGGCCCTCGGGCTAGTTTCGCCTTTGGGCATTAAAGCCTACGTAATGCCCTTGATACATAAATAGCTAATAAACTACTTATTTACACAGTAAAAATATTTGTTAATTTTAACCAATTAATAACATATTTTTTTATTAATCTAGGTCCAAATAACTTTTGGAGTGATGTTACATTTACCAAGAATTATGTTACGTTTACAAAGAATTATGTTAAACTTTTTACAATATAAAATTAAAAAACTAAAAACTGATATCAATAAATATGACTTTTAAAACTGTGTACTTAGTTAACAGATTATAGTTTGTTGTAAACGTAACAAAAGTTATGTAGATCTAGATTAACAAAAAATCTTATTAATATTTGGTTAAAATTAGCAAATATTTTTTTACTCTGTGTAAACAATATCAGAAGTTAAACTTTCCGAAAACAATTTAATTTTAAGGGTGTTCTTATTAATTGGCGATGCAAAGTGAATGGACTGAGTTCCTTTGATCGTCTTGCACTTTTTATGCCTTAACGTGAGAAACTCAGCTGCAAGTTCATAATCGGCCGTTGAATAAAAAAAAACGTTTATATTTTTAAAATTTTCTTTTGCCCATTCATAAAGTTTTTGCGCGGTCAAAATTTCATTTCTGGTTCCACTTTGTAAACAGTATCTTCGAGCTATTCGTTTTAATGTGCCTCCAACGCCATCGCAGGCTCCTTTTCCATGAGCTGTTGCGAAAAAATTCCATTCAGCTTCAACTCCAAAATTTGTCAAGTGATGGGTTAAATTAACAAAATTCTTTTTATTTTTATATTGTTGAGGTGCTCCATCCGAAAAATATATAATTCTGTTGACGATTAAAAAATTTCTTTTCAGAAAATCGATTAATTTTTTCTGAGACGTATATACCGCAATAGTGTCGTGGTTAAGGCAATCCGATATGCCAACATAAGAAACATGTTCAATTTCATTTGTTTCACGATTTTTGTAATATATGACAATCGGATGAACCGTTGCCTGATTGTTGTTCCAGTGAAATCCTTGGACTGCTTCCTGAACAACAAATGCAAAATTTTCTGAAAAATCGAGAGTTACCACGAAATCGCCAACTTCTAAATTCTTCTTTACATTTTTAAAATGCAGAGACTGTTTAGTGGCGATAAAATCGTGAAAAAGTAGTTTGGTCAATTTTTCTATTAAAGATGGAACAAATTCATCAATAGTTTCGTTCAAAGTTTTCAGAGAGCACCTAATTCAAAAACAGTAATAAATCAAAACCAACATAAATTTACACTATAACTTAATATTTACCTATCTGTTGATATCCATTGTTTGTAATTCACTTCCTCGACTAAGTCATTATTAAATGCGTCGATTAGTTTTTCTTTTAGAATATCATTGCTGGGACATAAAGCACACTGACCTTCGTAACATTTGATAATCGGATTTAGACATAGCAGATATTTAAAGAGCTCCTTGTACGAACTTTTTCCTTTTATTGGAATTTCCCAAGTTTTGGTTAAATTTTGTAAATCCGAGCCTATAAACAGATAATTGATTATAATTATTATTAATAATTATATTTATTTTATTAATTCTAATTAATATAATAATAATAATAATATATTATTATTATAATAATTAGAAATATTAGAATAATTATAATTATTACGATAATTTTTATTCTTAAGAAGTGTAAATCAAACTAATTAAGGTTTCTGAAATCAAATTCTATTTTCTGACCTTCGATCATAAGTTTAACATTTTGATGAAAGATACACACACAAACTGTATGTGTTCCGCTAGCTCCTGCCAGAACACATTCGTTGGGACGAAGTTCGGCAAATTTAGAGAAACCTACTTGGCAATTCGGGAATTCTAATTTAAAAGATTGGTAAAGTTCTTTTAAATTACAATAAACAAGTCTCTTTTGAACTTTCTCTTTCGCTCCATCATCTTTTTTGATAGTCACGTAATCCTTCATCCCAGGCAATTGCCTTGAATTTTCGTCGTTTCGGTAATATTGGGTTATTAAATCTATGTTATCACTCGAAAGATTTCGTCCGTTTTTGACGCCGGGTACTGATAGAATGCCTTTTTCTTTTTGCAATTTTTTGGCAACATTTACCATATGCTTAGAGCAATTGAATGTTCGTGTTATATTGCATGTGCTTAAAGTTGATGGTAGTGAAGTTAAAATACGATATTTATTATCTCTGAAATAAAAATTAATTATAAATATTGATAATAACAATGCGATTTTAAATTGAACTTAAATTTTTCTTTGTAATAATTTTTAATTAAATTGATTGAGAAAATAATATTTAACCTCGATGTGTCTTCAGCATTGAATTTCTCCATAAACATAGACATAATGTTATTATGAGCCACAGTTTTAGCATCATCTGAAGTAACAATATTTAAACATGTTATTTCTTCAAATTTTTTTTTAATACTTTCTTGTGCTGCTTCAACTTTACCAACAATATAATTTTTATATCTAAGTCTGTAAAACATTCAGTTATGATAATGAAAAATATAATTTTGTCTTTGATTATATTATATTATATACATATACACTTTCATGAATATCGAGCGCATATTATCATTTTTTTTTTACAAAACAAAAATGTTTAACATACTTTTTATCATCAATTTCTTTTTCACCTAAAGCATTTAAGGCGATGTTTAAATTTAATTTTGTTAATTTTGATGAAATAAATTCTTCCGCATTTGAATCAGTTGAATCTGAACCTAAATCTTCATTTTCAGGAGTTTCTTGGATTGTTAATTTTACTCGACATGAATTACAGATCAAAGCATCTTTGGGAATATTTTCAAACTTATGCCTATGAAAACGTAAAAACTTTCTGAGTTGAGTTGAATTAGGATCTGCAAAAAACATTTATTTAAAAACTCTATGAAAACTTAAGTTAATTTTACTTAATTTACAATAATTTGAATAATAAAGTATAAAATTAATTAATAATCACTTACGGTTGGGATACTTAAATGGATTACAGCAACGCTTTTTGTGTGATGGACTCATGTTGATAGCTTTCCTTAATAAACTCACTCAAGAAATTACTAAACTCAACAATTCTATAATTATTATAAACTTCGGGTTAATGCGCCAAAACTATTATACTAATTAGTAATTATAACTAATAATAACTACTAACAATAATAATTAATAATAACTATAATAACTAATATAACAATAATAACTAATAATAACTAACAATAATAACAATAATAATAACTAATAATAACTACTAACAACAAACAGGGTGTTTCAAATTTAACGCCTTAAATAATGTTATGGTTTACTTTTAGACTAACGTCAGAAATGCATGGCAATCTAATAACAAATTAAAATCAACATTTTAGGTTGTCATGGATACTAGGACAGTATTTGTCAAAGACTTTTTTAGTATTTGTAAATTAATTATATAACACAGAATTTGCCTAATAAAATTTTTACCATAAAAGATAGAAAAAGTTATTTTTTTACAAATTCAACAGTTATAATATTAAATCAGGAGATTACATCGCATTTTTTGCAATTAATTAAGAATGAAATAAATGAATTTTGGTTTTTGATAAAATACATAAAATTACTTGTTTGTTTGGTCTGAAACCATTCCATCCCCCGTTTGACTAAGCGCGCTTAAAAGTCGCGCGGAGCCATTGCATTGGGAGTAACGATTTCAAACGCATCGCTTCATAAAAAAATTCATAACTTCTACAATTTTTGAGTCCCCCCAAAAAGTAACTAGTCAAAATTTGCGCAAGATTCAGGGCTATCACCATAAATTTTTTGAAAAATTTTTGAGATGGCATTTTTTGGATAATTGAATTTGTTTAAAAAAAATGATTTTTTTAATGAATTTTTAGGTTAAAATTTTTGAAAAAATTTTTTTTTTTAAAGAGCGCCCAAAAATATGTACATCTAAATTTATCTCGAAATTTTCAGTCGTTTCAGTTTTTTAATTTTCGAAAAATAAGAAACGTGACATTTTTTTTTATTTATTATATAAAATCCACAAAAATGCATAAAAAAAATTAAAATTTTGGATTTCTCCTTTATTTATGTTCCTCTGTCGGCCCTGAAAATTTGAAGTAAATCGGAAACATGAAGTGTGAATCTTGGCCGATTTGGCGTGGATCGCCCCATATATAAAAGGTGTATCAAAAAGTGTTTAAATTTTTGTTTTTGTTGTTTTAGATTTTGATTAACTAAATAAACTATATATAAGTTTAGTTTCTCACGATGGGATTCGGAAGGAATATGGACGGTTGCGGGAACTTTATGAAGTATAGTCTGTTCATAGTCAACTTTATAATATTTGTAAGTATTTTATATTTGCTTCATTTTCGGGATATCTACCTAGGTGTATAAAGAATGTTATTCACATCACTAGTTTACATAATCGAAAAAAAATTCTGCCCACCATATCCCATTATAATTTTTCCATGTATTTTGACCCACAAAACACGAAATTTAAATCACAAAAAAATTTTTTTACGGAATTTTACATTGTTTTTTTTTTAATTTTCGGAGGTGTTTTGACGTTTTTGAGTATAGCTTGAAATCTAATCGATCGATTTGGCCAAACAAGCCCTTAAATTGAAGGTATTTGAGCCCTCTAAAACTTTATTTACATACTTTTGATATATTATATATTTGACGATAGCGATTTTAATAACTTGGAAAATTCGTTTTTATGGCAAAAATTGAGTTCGAAAATTTACAAATCGTCCTGGGAAAGGTTTAAATTAAACATATAACTCCAGTTTGGATTTTTTTTCGTGAAGCTGACACGTTTACAAAAAAAAAAAACAAGCTAATGTTGATAAGAATACATAAAAAAATGGCGAAGAATTTTTTAGTGGAAGACCAAAATTCAGCTTTTTAACTATTTTATTTTATTTTTTTTCTTTTATTTCGTAATATGTTTATTTTTTAATGAAAACCTAATTAAAGTGCATGATTGGAATTTTTTAAGTTTTTTGCGTACTTTCTTCACCGAAAACATTATATAAAATTTAAATTTGACATGACTCCGCAAACGTTAATTCTTTTGTTTCTCGTGTTGTCATGGTGACATTTTACTGCTATTTTTTGATATTTTAAGAGTATTTTTATCATGGTTTTATTTAGTTAATAAAAAGTGTAAAATAAGTAACAGAGATAAAGAAGGTAAAAGAAGTAGAGAGTTCGAGTTCGTAAATAACCCGGTCAATCTGGGTGGCGTTAGTGATGAGCACGGAGAACGTTTTCACCAGCAAATGAAGGCTATGGAGCGGCGGTATCACGGCTTCTGGGATGCAGCCATGATGGGTGATTACATTTGGTCCCTTATAAGAGAAACGGAATACGAAAGCAACAAAAAACAAAGAAGGAGCCAGATTTTTTTTAAACCTATGCTTATTTCATCAAAATAAATCTTTCAATATCTTCAATGTTCAATATTTATTGTTCAATATTCAATATATAATTTAATTTCAATATTTAATGCATTAAATATTGAAATTAAATTATATATTGAATATTGGACAATAAATATTTATTATGTTTAAAATAAAAATCAATGTTTAATATTAAACTTTATATAACTCAATAAAATGAAAAAAACGTAGAAATTCTCGAAAATACTGAATACTGGTCTTTCACTGAAAAATTCATAACTTTGCCATTTATCCATGGATTTTTATCAATAGCAGCTTATTTTTTTCCTTTTAAGTAAGTATAATCTATACGTAAAATAAATCACTGGAGTTATCTTTTCGATTTCTATATTTCCCAGAAAGATATGTAAATTTTTGACCTCGATTTTGTAAAAAAGAGGACTTTTTCAACTTCATAAAATCGCCAGTATCGAACTACCAAAACTATACAGAGAAAGTTGTAGATGGCTCAATTACCTTTGATTTAAGTGCTTGCTTGGTCAAATCGATCAATTAGAACTCGAAGTATACTCTAAAACGTCAAAACACCTCAGAAATTAAAAAAAAAACAATTGAAAATTCATATCTCGAAAACGCTTCCATGAAATTTTTTTTAAGTAAGTAAAAATTACCGAAACTGTCAGTTTCAAACTGAAAACACTGCTATACTAACTATACTAACTATAAATAAATTAAAAATATAGTTTTTTGTTTTAGTTGGGTGGTGTGATTGTTTTGGCTCTCGGTATCTGGACGGCAGCGGATAAATCCTTTGCAAACGAATTACTGGGGACCAATCTGTACGCAGGCGCAACTTATGTGCTTATAGCGACCGGACTTTTGGTAACGTTTATTTCATGCTTGGGATGCTACGGGTCCCTCAAGGAAATTAAATGTATGCTGGTCATAGTAAGTGGAATTAATATTAATTAATTATACGAATTTCCTCCGAATCTGAGGGTTATAGATTTTGTTGATAAGTGTTTTTTCAATATTAATTAAATTTAATATTATTTTGACAAAATGAGATATTTGCAGAATGTATAAAAATGGGTGCCTCATTTTCGGGAGATCAGATTATACACTTGCTTGCAACAAAATCGCGTACACTTCAGTTGTCACAAATAATGAGCTGTGTAAATGTGTCTTTTTTTAAATTTTGACTTTTCAAATTGATGTTTATTTATTTGTCAGTGTCAGTGTCATATTATCACAATGGCAAAATTAAATGAACGCCAGAAAATTTTAATCCTCTCGAAGTTGGAAGAAGGATGGTCCATCAGGGCAGTTGCGAACCATTACGATGTAAATAAAAGTACCATAATGAGGGTAAAGAAAAGGTGAATGGAGGAAGAAAGCGTGTGCAGAAAAGATGGTTCGGGCCGCTCGAAAAAATCTAATGTCGATCAGGATGAAGCGCTTATTGCCTATTTAAGGGAAAATCCATTTAAAACCGCAAGAGATGCCGTGTTCGAAACTAACTTTCCAGCGTCGTGGTCAACAGCATGCCGGAGAATAGGAAACTCGGATATCAAGAATTGGGCAAGTGCCAAGAAGAGCATCCTAACAGAAGAACAAAAGCCAGCCCGGATCTTGTTTTGCTTAAATTATGCCTTAGATTCTTGGAATAATGTTGTATTTACTGACGAAAAAGTTTTCCAGTCTAGTAATGACGGACATATTCGTGTATATCGACCTGCAAATTCCAGGTTTCATGAAAAATACGTGTCTCCACGGAACAGGTCCGGACGTTTCTCAGTTAATGTTTGGGTATGGATAAGCGTGCATGGACCTGGTGTAGCATGGCGTTTGGTTGGTAGACTCAATGGGCAGGTTTACAGAGATATTTTGGAAAATGTTATGCTTCCTTCAGTGGAGCAATTATACCCCAACAACAACTTCATCTACCAACAGGACAACTGCCCTGTCCATACAGCAAGAACAATAACACAATGGTTCGGAGCTAATAATATTGAACTATTACCGTGGCCTTCTTATAGACCAGATCTAAACCCAATTGAAAACGTTTGGGGTTTGCTAGTGAAAAAAAATTATAACCGAAACATCCAAAAATGGATGGCTATTGAAGATGGTTGGGAGGAGCTCAGAGAAAACGAAAACTATTTTCGTACACTAATTAATTCTATGCCCACAAGACTCAATCATGTCTTGGAAGCTAATGGAGCCATAACAAAATATTAGGCCTAGTTTGAGCCATAGAATAAGTTAGAGCAATATATATTTTTAATTTTTATTCATATTTGTGACAACTAGGTTACTTAATATTAAAAATGTACGCGATTTTGTTGCTGTTAGTTTATAACCTCGTTTATAACCTATTTATTTAAAATAAAAAGTCAAAATAACAGGTATAAAGAAAATGTCACTTAGTTTATAACCTATTTGAAATAAAAAGTCAAAATCTAAAAAAATACACATTTACACAGCACAATATTTGTAACAACTAGGTTATTTGATTTTTGAAGTGTACGCGATTTTGTTGCAAGCAAGTGTACCTTTTGGAAGGTTTAAAAAAAATTAAAACTCAAAATACACGTTAAGTTACATTACAAAATACATTTTCTTCACAACACGAGTTACTACACAGAAAAAACGCTAGCATAGCATAAATGGGTGAGCCATTAAACCAATGGGATCTTGTAATCCGTATTCCTGAATAACAGTTCCTATAATACCAATAGGTAGTTAGCACTTGGTTTATAATCGTTTACTGTCTTAAATTAACAACAAAAGTTATCGCTCCTAAATCTATTGATATTCATATTGATATTTATTTGTTAGAATGGTAGTAACATTAACATCTTTTGCATTAAATACTAATTTGATTTATTTAATAACGTTACTATTGTAGGTATACTATGTATACATTTAACGCAATAAATTCTTTGATATTTAGGCAAAATATTTCCCTATTTTGGTTTAATAGTAATTAATTGAGCAAATAACAATTTAGATTGCTTCAATTTTAATGCATTCAATGACAGCGCTGTTCTTGGTACTATGTTAGATTTTTTTCTGTGTAGTATACCTATAGGTAGGTACTAGTTTTTCTCTTCAAAAACTTTTTTATTTTTTCAATATTTTTTCATATTAAAACGATTAATCAAATTTTTATCCAATCGAAACTTATATACAGGGTGAGCCAATGGAAAATGTCCACCCCGGTATTTGTAGGTGTTTATTTTTATATTTTCAACCCCTCAACTTCAACCCAATGATAAAAGGGGTATCGTGTCTTAAAATATAGTCTGTTTTTTTCAGTTTTGCTGACCTGTGTTTACTTTTTTTAGTACTTTATTGTGTTGTTAATCATTTTTGTCACAATGCTGGTTGGTGGAATTTTGGGATATGTATTCAGGGGTAAAGTTGAAATTACTTTAAGGAATGGCATGACTGGATCACTGAGGTTTTATGGAAATTATAGGCCTGTAACTGAGGCTTGGGATGAGACTCAAACAAGGTAAGTTGAACTTACCTTACCTTACTAAGTTCATAACTTATGAATCTTAAGTACCTAATACATGTTTACAAATTGTTTACCTACTTACATGTTACTGCCTTGTTACTAATTAGTTACTAAAATTGTCCCCTGAATCCGAAAATACCGTCAAAAATTATATGAAAGTGGAGCAGTTTTTGAGATATAGTCAATTCCATATTAAATGGAAAATTATAATTATATATAATTATATCTCAAAAACTGTTCTGCTTTTTTAACTTTTGACGACATTTTCGGATTCACGGGACAATTTTACATAAGAGTTGGCTGTTAAATTTTGGGATACCATACAAGTGAAAAAGCAGCCACTAATAATTATTGGGTATTGGGTATTAAATGAAAAGGTTTACTCTCTAAAAATGAATTAGTCAAAAATGATTTATTAGTTAACTATTAAATCATTTTTGACTAATTCATTTTTAGAGAGTAAACCTTTTCATTTAATACCCAAATGAAAAGGTTTACTCTCTAAAAATGAATTAGTCAAAAATGATTTAATAGTTAACTATTAAATCATTTTTGACTAATTCATTTTTAGAGAGTAAACCTTTTCATTTAATACCCATGTCGAGGGGGTTGTAAATAAAATAGTTTTATGGGTAATATCTACTTTTTATTAAGACCTTAAGCTGGGTCTACAATTGCCGCATAATGTATCTTACGGCTTACGTCTTACGTCAACCAATAAAAGCGCTTAAAATGGAGATATCAGGCACAGTGATTTGTTGACGTAAAGCCGTAAACGATGCATTGTTGGGCAATTAAACACCGGGTTTCTATATTTTTAATAAGTTTAACCCATTTTTTTAAAGTAATAACAATCGGAGAAATTATAATTATTAAAAACACTATGTAACAAAAATTTAAAAGTTTAGAAATTTTACAAAAAATAAAAATTCTATGCACTAAAACGTTTATTTTATTAAACTACTGCAATATTAGGGTTTTAAAGTGTCGAAAAAAAAACAGAAAATTTTCCTTTTTCCCCAGGCCTTGGAAAAATTGTCTTTTTTGGGAAAAATTGTTTTTTTTTGGAAAACACATTTTTAAAAAAGTAGCAAACATCTTAACATTATTTTAATTAAAAAAAATCCTTTATTACCTAAATTGAATTGAATTGAATTAAATTGATTTAAGAAAAAATAGTAAACGTTAAATATACTGTCGGTTGGGTCTTTTTTGCAAAAATAAGTCTATTGAAAATATCCAATTACCAAATAATGAATTACCTATATTACAAAATTATAGTTTTTTAAGTCGAAGTGTCAAATAAAACGAAAGTTATGTTAATACAGCACCGAATATGTTCTTTTTGCGGCCCAGTAAAAAATATAAAATCTTACTGAATTAAAATAAAAGAAATTACTATTATATTCATCATAATATTATATGATTATAATAAGCGTCGGAAATTCAATTTTTTTCTTCAATATCAGTGTACGGATATTATTCGTACAAATTTTAAATTTAGTAGAAAAATTGAATTTTGCATTTTTTTGCATTACCTTTCGAATAAAATGCAAAAGTCAATTTTTCTGATAATTTCCCAATTCCGTTTTTTTTTAAAAACGTTTTTCCGCCGGCTCAACTTTTTCGGAAATTTTAAAACCCTATGCAATATAGGGTTTTAAAATAAGATAACAATAAGATTAAATATTTTTTTATAGTCATTTATGTTTTGGTATGTATGGACCATACAGTATGGTGTATGTATGTCAACATTTTGACATTTCAGCAAAACAATATCTTATAATGACATTCTGTCTCCATATATACAAAAAAATTAACAATTAACAGAAAAATGTACATGCACTGATAATGGAACTAATTTTGTAAGCGATTAATAAAAAAATATTATTTAACTTCAATTTAAAATTGTAATGGCTATAAAAAATTTACCACCTAAGGTACCTTTTTTATTAAATTTTCAGTGTCTTATTGTCAAAGTAATGAGATTATTTTTATTTACAGAATAAACTTTTTTAACTGTTAATAAAATTCTCATTTACTATAATAAAGCAGCAATGTTGAGCTTTTATAAAAAAGTGTTCATCCAACAAAGTAATAGTAGTTATCATATTGTCATGGCAATAAGTATGTTTATATTAAATCTTTGTCAAACTTAAAATGTTTTTGTTAAATCTATAGTTGTGTGTGAATTGCACTTACATAAAGTAAGGCGCAGTTGTTATAGTAAAATTTGTTCATTTTACTACGGCATATTTTTCTTTTTTAAATTACTATCGTTGTAATTCAAATTAATTTTATTTCAGTTAGAAAATCTTTGTTAATAGCTTACGTTAAGAACAATAACAAAAATATTGGTACCTATATTATAAAAAGGCTTTTTTAATATTTACTATTGTTTTGCAATGGTAACAAAATTTTTGTTATTTCCCTTAAAAAGAGGAGGAAAGGGCCAACGCTCTCCTTGGTGATTATAATCTTATTGATTTCACTTGTGCGAGTGCATGATAAAAATATCATAAAGATCACAAAAAAGATCAAGAAAATTAAAATTTCGACGTTTTCTAAAAGAAATATTTAAGGTCTATTCTATAAACGAAGCAGACTTGTTTAAAAAGTGAGTTCATATTTTTTTTATTCTGGAAGAGTGTTATTTTTATAAACATAACGTAAATTTACTTTATAATTGAGGCCTGTCAGAGGAAAGTCAACAATCTCCCATCAGACTAAAACTGAGTAAATTGAGATAATTGATTTTGGTATTTTAAATTCTAGATTTGTAATTTTTTTTATATACCTATTATATTGAAATATTGTTGTTGTTAGTCTAGTAGCCAACTACAAGGTCTCCAGGATGCTTAGTATAGGTGAAATCTATAATTATAAATTGGAGATTGCTAACTTTGACATGAATTGTTGGAGATTGCTCATTTTGTTGTAAACGTTTAAGGAGATTTAGAAAAATAAACAAAAAAATATTTTTTTTTATTCCTTTAAAAGGGTATAAAATTTAACTATACAATCAATGTGGGAAAATTCTGAACTGGACCACATAAATCTGGAGTTTCTTCTAAATCTAGGACCAGGTTGCCTCATGCAAAAAAGTTTTTATATTACAACTCATCATCTTCTTCCCACTTTGCCCCATAATGTTTTACTAGCAATGTTTTGACATATCAGCCTTTTCTTGCTTTACCTTTACGTCTTATTATGGTATAATAGCACAAAATAAACAAGACTTTTTTAATTCTTAAAACAATAAAACGTATATATACCTATTTTAAATATATTTTTAAGTGCCATTTACTGCAATAGAACTTAAAAGTATGTACCAGTAAAAAAACACAAAATTAAATCTCTAAAATACGTTATAACATCAAATGTTAGGATATCAGGTGACACAAATTACTAATTTCTAATGGTGGAATTGGAGATTGTATACTTTGCTGCAAATCTATCAGTGGAGATTGTCGACTTTGCACTAAATGTCATTTTTAAAATAGGATTTTAGGCAGGATTTAGCTCCTTTTGCAGTACATAAACTTTATCATCTTATAGATAATTAGTTGAAGTACAGTCTCCGCCAAAAATCTAATTTTTGACCAAAAGTGGAGATTGTCGGTTTTGCTATGACAGGCCTCAATTAATGCTATTACTATTACTTAAAGCAGCGTTTGCAGATAAATAATTTTTATAAAAATGATCTTTTTGCCGTAACAAAAGCAATTGTTGGACGAATAGGGATCTTTACTTTATTAAGACAAAATACTTTTTTTGTTATATTAAAAAGAAAAACTCTGAGTGAACATAAACCTTTTTTTGTTACAATGTATTACTTAATAATTTCTGAGAGTGTTGCTGTTCTCCGACAATGTGGCGAACTTTTTTGTAGATTGGAATGTTGCGGAATCGATAGTCCCCAGGATTGGAAGGGTAACATGCCCGAATCCTGCTGCAAACTTGTCCTGGGAAGACGTCAAAACTGCCGTTTCCTTGGTGAAAACAACAATCACTTTACCAGTTTTCAACGAGGCTGCTACGATGTTACCGTCCAATACGTCAAATCTAATGCCGTAATAATCGGTACTGCAGGAATAGTGGTTTCCTGCATGATGGTAAGTTTACTTACTTAGTAGATTGGGGGAGGGTAATGTAGTGCAAGTTTTGTGTTCAAATATAATTATCCTGCTTTACATTTTTTTCCAAAAATAATTTAAATTTGCCAAAAACTTTCAATCCTTAAAATGCTCCGTAAAATTGTTAAATAAAGATACGCCCTTATGTGATAATTGGTACGATATATGAGCATTATCGACACTACGCACTAATTTAGTCGTTAATGCTGGTTCACTACGCTACCCTCTTCTACTCCACAAATTATATAAATTAGTCCCTAAAACTTGGTAAACGCTTATAAAGGGAAATGTTATAATACTTGTTCTCTTTATAAGATAACATAAATGACATTGCAATGGTGTGTAGTGTCCTTTAAACTTTTTCTTTTATTTGAAGTAAGGTTCGAGGGTTTAGGACGTAAAATAAAAACAACTTCCTTTTTTTAAGAAAAATTGCCGACGTTTCAAAAATATTTCTTTCCCAAGGCTAAAAATGAGTTAATATAGTCGAATTAGACTATGGACATTCTCAATAGATTACATAACAAAAAAATAAAATAGTAAATATAATACTGTATATATATGGGTGATTCTACAAAAGCTGGGAAACTTTTTACCTCATTTTGTTTATATAGTTTTCGGAGAAAATTAAACAGTATTTTGTTATGAGAACATAGATAATATAATAAATATACTGTTCCAGACCGGGTCAGTCACTTTTTCAAACAGTTTCTGAAATATCTGTGTTTTCTAAATTTGAATGCAAGGGAAGTGACGACTATACCAGGGTACTAATTAAATACATAATTTATTGGAAAATATAAGATTTATTGCAACTTTGAGCATATTATACATTAAATATCTTAAAATTAAATAATACCACACATCAGTGGCGGCTGGTGGATTTTGGGTATACCGATATCTCAATTATTAGATATGGGACCCACAACAAATTTATATGAGTTTATAATGACATTAACTAAACAAGTTCTGCGCAAGCAGAATTTAAATTGAAGTTTGCGAAAAAAGATAATCAAAACATCGAACATGGAACTGACGAAACATACAAATTTGAGATTATAATTCGGAATTAAGTATTTTACTGATATTTTTTATTAGTGGATGCTACTTATCAACAAATCACATAATATATAATATATTATAGCCTTATATAAATTACAATAAAATATATATACGTAAGAAAATAACTACTCACCACAGTACTGAAATTTTGACTGGAACTATACGCGAATTCACCACAACTTCGCCGCTTGCATTGTTTTCAAGATGACTGTCGTGCAAAGGGCGGGCTCTGTAGGTAATTTTTTACCAACACTTGAGTTAAAATGAGGACTTGACGTTTAAACTTCAATATTTCGCAGGAATTTTGAATTTTAACATTGCACACAGAACTGACGGGTAAAAGTGAGTACAAAGATTATCAATTTTTAAAAAATTGCTATCATTCGAATCTATGATAAAATATGAAAAATACCTTATTTAATGTTTTATAGTTTGTAGTGTAATTGAAAAATTTAAGATAAATTGAATATATTTTAAAATAAAATCACTCAAACATTTGATTCAGGAGTTGTGACACGCCAAGGTACTGATGTTTTGAATATTTATGATGTTTTTCTATAAACGTGCTTTTGAAAAAATACATTGAAATTGTGTGGACAAGTTAAAAAACCTGGATCTTTTGTAATATACTAAAATATTTACTCTATTGACTGATGACATCAAGTGTATATGTATAATTTAGAATTAGATCAATTCCTATAAATATAACAAAACAATAACAAAAGGTAACAACTAGAACCCTTTAAATATAGTTTTAATTGAGTTAACAAACAAAAATTCTCCACATCAACTAAATAAACCACATATTAATTAAATAATCTAAAACACATAAATAAGCTTACCTATTTTCATAATGAAAGTACCTACTCATTTTTAGCCTTGAAAGAAATAAATATTTTCGAAACGTCGGCAATTTTTCTTAAAAAAAGGAAGTTGTTTTTATTTTACGTCCTAAACCCACACCTTACTTCAAATAAAATGATTAATAATTGGCTTTTTTTTTAGCTTTTGGGTATGATTTTTTCCTGTGCTCTATTTAAAATGATAGAATGAGGTAATTTAGACGTCTGTTCTTCTTTGAAGGAGTTGTTTGTTTAGTACAAAGCACGTACACAGTGTTAGTGTGTGGCCATGTGTATGCGGGAATGTTTTATTTGTATTTTTTTTTTACTTTAAACTATATTTTAAGATTTTCTTTACGTGTTAGTTTTAAGTTATATGTCGTCTATTTATACTTCAGTAAAAAATAAAAGTCTTACTTAAAAATATCTTATTGAGTTTCATTTTATAAAGTGTATTTATATTTTTTGCGCCGGGTTTAATATTTTGTTTCTACATAAATCGGTTAACTTTTGGTAAATAAATAAGTCTTTAATGTTTATAAAAAAAGTAAATTTGGCTTAATTTTATACCTGATATTTTATACTATTAATTTTTTTTTTAAATACACATTTCAAGGTGTGGCTTTATGGCGCTTTAGTCACGGGCTGAAGTTAGCAATAGGTTTTTAGACAATGTAAATATAATAATAATATACCTACTAATAATTGTTGAATTAATGTGCCTTCCCGGCACAAACGCACCCACTGAAAGGATTTTTACATACATGAACAGGTATTGGACAAGTGAAAAATCTCAATTGTCGGTAGTGTTGGTTTTAACGGAAAATGTGGAAAGTACATGTAAAATTTTTTATAAAGAAATGTCAAAAAATGTTGAGTTGTCAAAAATATATATGGGTGATTCTACAAAAGTTGGGCAATTTTTGACTTCATTTTGTTTATATAGTTTTCGGAGAAAATTAAACAGTATTTTGTTATGAGAACATAGATAATATAATAAATATACTGTTCCAGACCGGGCCAGTCACTTTTTTAATCAGTTTCTAAAATATCTGTGTTTTCTAAATTTGAAAGCAAGGGAAATGACGAGTATACCAGGGTACTAATTAAATAATAAATAATTTTTTGGAAAATATAAGATTTATTGCAACTTTGAGCATATTATACATTAAATATCTTAAAATCAAATACCACACATCAGAGGCGGCTGGTGTATTTTGGGTATACCGATATCTCAATTATGAGATATGGGACCCACACCAAATTTATTTGAGTTTATAATGACAATAAATAAACAAGTTCTGCGCAAGCAGAATTTAAATTGAAGTTTGCGAAAAAAAGATAACCGAAACATCGAACATGGAACTGACGACACGGTACTGATGAATGGGATACAAATTTGAGATTATAATTCGAAATTAAGTATTTTACTGATATTTTTTATTAGTGGATGCTACTTATCAACAAACCACATATAGCCTTATATAAATTACAATGAAATATATATACGTAAGAAAATCACTACTTACCACAGTACTGAAATTTTGACTGGAACTATACGTGCATTCACCACAACTTCGCCGCTTGCATTGTTTTCAAGATGACTGTCGTGCAAAGGGCGGGCTCTGTAGGTAATTTTTTTACCAACACTTGAGTTAAAACAAGGACTTGACATTTAAACTTCAATAAATGAAAAATATATTATTTAATGTTTTATAGTTTGTAGTGAAATTTAAAAATTTAACATAAATTGAATATATTTTAAAATAAAACCACTCAAATATTTGATTCAGGAGTTGTGACACGCCAAGGTACTGATTTTTGGAATATTTATTACATTTTTCTACAAACATGCTTTTGAGAAAATACATTAAAATTGGGTGGACAAGTTAAAAAACCTGGATCTTTTTTATTATACTAAAATATTTACAAAAAATATTGACTAATGACATCAAGTTGTCCAACTTTTGTAGAATCACCCATATAAAGAAGTTAAATGTTTATTTATTTATTGCTTTTGCTTGAAGTGTTGAGTTAGTTAATTTTTATTTAATTGTTAAAATATGTTTTTTGTTGATTTTGGGATAATAAACATATGTTTTTACTATTTTCGTTGATTTCGATAGTTGGGTTGCGTCCTGTATTGGCTTACAAAAAATATGGTTACCTTATTTTAAGCGAAAGTGAGCATTAGGAATGTAAAAGTTCGTTTTTAATTAAACGTTACTTTTTTTTTTAATTTTCTAAAAATTAATTAATAATCAGCACCACTCGACAAAAAATATAGTATTTGCCTCGCCTGGAATCGCTATTACCCACTTAATGAATTCCTTCACTCGCCTATCGGCTCGCTCACAAACTTTCATCTTCGGGAGTAATGGCTTTGATTCCATGCTCGGTAAACAATATACTATTATCACCACAAATGTGATTATCACCTTGTTTACACGGTACCAAGGATTTTGTTTGTTATATGATTTAAATAATGAATTATAAAATCTATAACATTGATGGGTTGGTTTAAACGATAATGAAATTAAGGCAAGTTTGAATAAATAAGGTTTATTAAAGTCTTTTTATATTTTTAAAGCACATTTTAAAAGTCAAATTGACAATTAGTTAAAATCTAAAATTCATTATATTTTCTCACTAAATATATATATAAAAATACTGAACTGGACAAGGAAAACCCGAGTAAGTTTAATAAAAAAGTATTTATTTCAATGCTTTAAAGATACATTTATTTATAATAGATTCATATTATTTACAACAAATATCCTTAGACATTATACAAAATAGAGATCAACGTAATAGTTAATACTGAAACATGACCAGCCACAGTTATATTTCCGATTTTCGAAAAATAATACAATTTAGCATCTATTCGTAAAAATACAATTACGAGCTGCATTTTTTGTTTTCTTGTCGTGTTACGGCCAATTCGGACAGCAAGCGAATCAGGGGCGAGTTGTGGATCAGCTTCAACTTGTCCATTAGATCCTGAATTTCAACGCGCGAGTTGTCCGTCTCTGCGGTGGGTGAGGCCAGAAAACTCAACGGATCGCGGCCGAATCGTATGAAGTTACCGGTTCCCGCTCTCTTGTATTCTTCCGGTTCACCTGCACCGGAAGTGTCGCGCTTGCTTCGTTTCTTCTCCTCCTCGGTGCTCCTTCCGTAACGCAGGAAGCGGTCTCTTGGGATCCTGGGGTAGTTGTTTGTGTTGGAATTCGATGGGTCTCTACCGAATCTATATTTAGAAAATACATAAGTGTTAAACAAATCTTTAATTTTATTGTTTCTCTTATTAAAAATTGGGAGTTTGCACTTTTTTTGAAGATGGTTTTAAAACAAGATTTTAGTCGACATTTAATGCGACAAGTGGATGAAGAAGTTAAGAAACATTTTTTGTATTATACACAGAAAAAAATTTAACATAGTACCAAGAACAGCGCTGTCATTGAATGCATTAAAATTGAAGCAATCTAAATTGTTATTTGCTCAATTAATTACTATTAAACCAAAATAGGCAAATATTTTGCCTAAATGTTAAAGAATTTATTGCGTTAAATGTATACATTAGGGTGCTTCAAAAAATTTTTTTTTCGCTCTTACCCTCTCAAATGTTTTTATTTAATATAAAGAAAATCCTCACCAAATATGGGCGTTCCAGCTCAACTCTAAGAGGTCGCTGTTTTTATTTTAGTTTTCCATTGAATTAACATGGGAAAAAATTAATTTATGTTTGGAATTTTATACCTCTGTATCAAAGTAACTTATCGTAATGATCATTGCAGTTTCTTATATAAAAAAGGTCTCTTATTATTTTTCGATAAATTGATTTCTTCTAGAGTTATTCGAGGTCAAAGTTGGATTAACATTAAATTTTCTGTTTTTTTTTTTAATTTTATGGTATAATTAGCAGACGGGAGGTTAAAGGGGGCAAAACAAGGCAGCGGGGGGGGGGGGGCAAAATGGGGTACCCAAAAAATGAGCATATGAAAAGTTTTCCAAAATTGTACCATCCTTTTTCTCGCTCTACAGGCTCAGAATAATTATTTTCGATTAAAAGCGTGAACTTGTAAGTCAATTTTCAAATAATTTAGAAACCGAAAAAAACAATCTAAAAAAAATATTTTTTTACAAAATTTTTTGGGTACCCCATTTTGTCCCCCGTTGCATTGTTTTGCCCCCTTTCACCTCCCGTCTGCTAATTGTACCATAAAATTAAAAAAAAACAGTAAATTTGATGTTAATCAAACTTTGACCTCGAATAACTCTAGAAGAAATCAATTTATCGAAAAATAATAAGAGACCTTTTTTGTAGAGCGTTAAATTTTATATGAGAAACTGCAATGATCATTGCTATAAGTTACTTTGATACAGAGGTATAAAATTCCAAACATAAATTAATTTTTTCTCATGTTAATTCAATGGGAAACTAAAATAAAAACAGCGACCTCTTAGAGTTGAGCTGGAACGCCCATATTTGGTAAGGATTTTCTTTATATTAAATAAAAACATTTGAGAGGGTAAGAGCGAAAAAAAAAATTTTTTGAAGCACCCTAGTATACAGGCCCGTTCCTGGAGTGTCTGGCGCCTGCGTGCAGCATTCGTTGGTGCGCCCCTTTTATATTTAAATATAATACATTAAATATTTGAATTTTAAGCCGTAAAATTTAAAAAATATATATTTTGCGACAAACTGGCAATATGTAATTAAAAATGTAAAAAACTGCTTAAATTAAGTATATTTATTAAATTACCAAACAAACAAGTAATATCATAAGGGCATCTATTTTTTCGAAAAAAATCGAAAAAACACGTTGCTAAGTAATATTTTAACAAGAAGCATGAGTGCTGGTGGCAACAAAAATCCGAGTCGAAGACGAGGATTTTTGCACCTGCACGAATACATTTTGTTAAAAAATATTACTTAGCATTGTGTTTTAACGCTTTGATTTTATTCACAGGAAAAGTTAGATCCTGAATGGTATTTGACAAGACTATTTCATGAGTAACAGTTAACAATTAAAATATAAATTGCAATTTTTGGTGACAACAGCTATCAAGTTTTGCCTCGGGTAAACTCAGGTGCTGTCATACAGTTTTTTCACCTAGAAACCATTTGTAGTTCAAAATTGCGCATTTGTGATTGGTGGAAATTAAGACGAGGAAAATAGTCAGTGATAAAAATACTCTAAGGAAAACAAAAAAACAATCTAAACAATATAATAACTACAACTGGTTTTTAGTGACGTACTCTCTTAAAATGACTATAGTCATAGTAAAAAAGTCAGTTTTCAAAGTAAAAAAGCAGTCACTAATAACTTTAGTCCACAGCAATTTGTATCCCGGGCATTTAACAGCTTAATATTATGTAAAATTGTCCCCTGAATCCGAAAATACCGTCAAAAATTATAAAAGCAGTTTTTAAGATATAGTCAATACCATATTATATGGAAAATTTACTAAATCTCAAAAACGTTCTACTTTTATAACTTTTGACGACATTTTCGGATTCAGCGGACAATTTTACATAGGAGTTGACTGCTGTCATTTTTGACTAATTCTATTTTAGAGAGTTACTACTGTTAAACTTTGCTACCGTCAACTGCAACTATCAAACAAATACTAAAGATAATATGACCGTTTCTCTCCTTTTATTTTGATCCTCATATCAAAACAAAATATGCAGCCAATATCAAAGCGGCAAAAGGCGCTTTATAGAGATCGAAAAAAAGAGCGGCCGACGCAAAAAAGGCAGAAACCTTTATCCAATGTATGTTTAAGTATCATATGCAAGAAAGTTTATCGTTACAAAGTACTGATTGACTCTTTGATTTTGCGCCCCTAAAATGTTGCGCCTGCGTGCGTGCACGCACTGCACGCTCGCCAGGAACGGGCCTGCTAGTATACATAGTATACATACAATCAGGGCCGGCGTTAGCTTATTATAGGCCAGGTGCAAAAGAAAAATGCGGGGCTTGAACTAAAAATTTACTCTTGAAAAACAGCGCTTAGCGGCAATAAACCAATAAAATATTAAACGAAAAACCAATTGAAGGGATTAGAACTGAAACCGCCCAAGTGAATTTTTTTAAGCGTGTTACCGGATAGTTGAAAATTTTGACTTAAAAATGAACTTGGGTGGTTCAGCTTTTCCCTTCAATTAATATAGAAATTAACGTTTAAGAAAAAATCACACATAATTTTCCCTGCTTTAGGGGAAGCTCTTTTCCAACATCCTTCTCTATTGACAATATATAGCCAAACCCACTAGTCGTTCTTGGCACATACCTTCTTGATTTTAAATATTTTATTAATTTTAATTTGGAAAAACTCTTTTCCTGGCGTAATAATAATTGTTTTAAACGGATACAGGCAACTTCAAATACACATTTAGCAACATTGAACTGAATGATAATAGATGACGATACCTACTAAAGATATTATCTAGCTTTGAGGCAATATTACTTAATTTAAGTAAATATTTTGTTAAATTAACCTTAAAAATTTACTTTGAAGTAAAACTTTTTTTAAAGTTATTTAATAAGTTTTATTTATGTTATTTTTACCTATTTTAATAACCCTTAAGTTTCAACACTTTAAAGTTTTATAAGGGACGTAATTTTTACGAAAGAAAATTATTTTTAAGTTTATTTTACCTAAAGGAAAATTTAACGGTAATTTTAACGTCAGAATTTTTACTTAATGGTAAATGTTACTCATAAGTCATAATTTTACGATATTAAGACCACTTTATAACCGTAAATAATTCCTATTCGCCTGGTATTTTTTAGGGTTATTAGTGGTAATAAATACTATTAATACTGACTAAATAAGTGAAAAATAAAACTTTAAGGGAAATTTTTTTTCAGGTCGTCATAATGATTTTTTAAAATGTCATCCATTACTTATCTAAACATTTATATAAATTTTTCCATAAATATTTTTCTAAAATATAATAAGGAAAGTTTTAGTTAAAAAAATTATTAAGACTAAATGATTTTTATAAAATTTTGTAGGTTTTAAGTTTTGTTGAATTTTTACCCTTGGGTAAAAATTCAACAAAACTTAAAACCTACAAAATTTTATAAAAATCATTTAGTCTTAATATTTTTTTTTGGAAGCAATAATTTTTCTTAAAACCGTAAAATATTTAGAGGGCATATAATTTTTAAGATGTATCGTGCCTATTTTTGTTAATAAAATAATGTGCGTTTGAGTTTTAATGCAAATTATTATTAGTTTTGACAAGTTAAGTTATATTTTTTAATTTTACTCTAGAGTGGCCTTTATTACTTTGTAAGTACCAATTTGTAAAATATAAATTAAAAGAACATAGAAATTACGAATGCCAATGTTTTAGAAAGAGAGAGCAAACATTTAGTAATTATAGCGTTATTTTTACGTAAATTTGTGGTATTTATATTGTTTTTATTACGTTATTCTCTTAGTAGATTAAAAAGGTTATTATGTAGGTAAAATAACGAAATAAACCATTCCCCAAATTTGGTAATTTTTCGTATCTATACCGTTATAAAACCGTTTCGGTTAACCGTAAAAAATACTTTAAAGTTGACTTGGTAGTAAATTTGTAGTTATTTAAACTTAAAATACTGCTTGGGATTATAAACCAAGTGCTAACTACCTATTGGTATTATAGGAACTGTTATTCAGGAATACGGATTATTTTTTTTTTTTTTATTTTTATTTATTTATTTTATTTATTTATTTATTTACACTATAGTACACCCGCTAGCGTTTTTTCTGTGTAAAGGACAACAAATATTGTTACTGCATAGTATATATTTAAATGAGAAAAGAACAGAGCTCTTGGACGTATCGTTTTAAGTGCTACTAAGAGCTCCTTAAAAGCTTTTATATAAATGATTTTTTTATTTTACTAAAGTTGAGGTTTATACTGACAACTTTTAAAACGGTCATGGTATTTATCATAGAGGTATTCATTGATAGAATTTGAGTCTACAATGTCAGATTTAAAATTATTTTATTAATATAACCTATCACGGTGTGACTGAACGAAGTTTAAGTCACATAAAAATGCCGCCAAAAACTGATTGCAGTTTCTTGTTCGGGACCCTTTGGTGACTTAAATATGATATTTACCAAAATACTAGCTGCTTATCCTTTCGAAATATTTTGAAAATTCATGATTTTTTTTTAAATTTTTGTTTATTTCAAAGACTACCTTTGACAGAGTACACATTTTTACACCGATTTTTATAAAATTAGAGTATATTATTGAGGAGACTTAAAGAATACTTTTTAATACTGTTCACATAATTTGATATATACAGGGTGAGCCAAAAATAGTTTATTTTTAATAAAGCAAAAGCGTAAATTCATGATTTTGGCATAACCAGGGCCGAGCCGTGCCGGGGGTGCAAGGGGTGCATGGCACCCGGGCGGCATTAACACAGGGCGGCAAAATATCATCAAAAAAATTGTATCATATTATCAAGAATAAAAAAGCCACCTTGCAATATGCAAAAAACTTTCTAAAAATCACTTGCGGTTTATTGATGTCGGCGTTTCAAAGAATCATCGTTTTTATTCTACACATAAAAACAATACCAAAATTGGGCTGTCAATGATAAAAAAGACATAACCGAACGCGCGATAGCCACAAAAAATGATGATGACAATTTTCTTAAAGCCCGTTTTATAGATTGCCGCCCGCCCGCTTCGCTTTCCGTCCGTCCGCTTCGAGTTCGTCAAGTTTCATGGTTTACGGAAGCGGGCTTACGGGAAACCAATCAAATCGCGCGCTGTGTACCACGTGATATTGTTTACAAGCTGAACTGTTAAGTTAAAGCATAATTTCTTCCGATTTCACGGCTGCGTATTTCAGCAATTTTTAGTTTTTCTATTAACGTGAGGCAAATAGGATGCAAACATAGTAGTTTCTTTTGTCTTTTAATGCGTTTAAGTTAAAAACTAGTTAATGATTTAAAAGGCATCTTTCCGAATTTATTTGTAGCTTTAAGAATATTTTTGACGATGCCAGTTACTGTTGCCCATGAAGAGCGGTCATTTTCGAAATTAAAACTAATTAAGATCCAATATGAGTCAATTCAGGCTTTCAAATTAAGCAATTATAAGTATTGAAGAAGATATTTCTAACAACTTGGATGTAGGCGACTTGATTAGGGAATTTGCTATTAAAAAAGCGAGAAAAGTAGATTTTTTACATTAATGGGGGCGGCAAATTTAACTCTTGCACCCGGGCGGCAGATACCCTAGGCTCGGCCCTGGGCATAACACGCAAAAAATATTTATCTCCATTTTTTTTTAGATATTACTACGTTTATCAGGTTACAAAATGGCATTCTTATTAACCTTTTATAAAAAAAATTGATTTTTAATAAAATTAAATAAAATAACGCTTAGACAATATTTAAAATGTTGTTTAATTTAGACTTTTTAGTAGTTTTCAATTTTGAACGAAAAACTGGTTAAAGTTTTTTGATCGGCACTCTTTAGATATTTAAAAACGATATTTACCAAAATTCTTACTGCTTTTTTTAAAATTTGTTAAAAAAACATTTTTTTTTAATTATTTGTTTATCGCAAAGTCTACCTTTGCCAGAGTACAAATTTGTTCACCGATTTTTATTGATTGCAGTTTCTTGTTCGGGACCCTTTGGTAACTTTAAAATGATATTTACCAAAATCCTAGCTGCTCCTCTTTTCGAAATATTTTGAAAATTCTTAATTTTTTTTAAATTTGTGTTTATCTTATCTTTGACAGAGTACACATTTGTACACCGATTTTTATAATATTGGAGTATATTGTTAACGAGACTTATTAGACTTATACAGGGTTAGCCAAAAATTACTTTTTTATATAGTAAAAAGCAGAATGCACAAAAAAGATTTATCTCCAAAAATGTTATTTTATTTAATTTTATTCAAAAGTAATTTTTCTTATAAAGTCTTTATAAAAATCCCATTTTATAGCCTGATAAACATAAAAATATCTAAAAAAAACATGGGTGGGGTATATATCTTTTTTGCGTGTTATGCCAAAATCATGAATTTATGCTTTTGCTTTATTAAAAGAAGCGATTTTTTGGCTAACCCTGTATATATTAAATGATGTGCACAGTATAAAAAAGTATTCTCCAAATCTCCTTAACAATATACTCCAATATTATAAAAATCGGTGTACAAATGTGTACTCTGTCAAAGGCAGACTTTAATATAAACAAAAATTAAAAAAAAAAAATCATGAATTTTCAAAAAATTTCGAAAAAAGGAGCAGCTGGAACTCTGGTAAATATCATTTTTAAGTCACCAAAGGGTCCCGAACAAGAAACTACAATCAGTTTTTGGCAGCATTTTTATGTGACTTAAACTTCGTTCAGGCACACCGTGCTATGTTTTGGCAACGTCTTCCTATACAGGGTGTTACACATTCGTGGTATTTTGGATTGACGCGCAATTGTTAAATTTTAAAGAAAAAAATGAATAACTCGAAAAGCATTCACTTTAGGTATAGGACATGGTATAGTAATTTTACTCAAATTTCAAATCAATATCTTTTCCCGTTTCCTGGACACTTCTAATGGACCACGAATATGAAACACCCTGTATAACCTACTTACTATACTCTACACCCAAAAGTCTCACCTTGACATTTGAATACAAATTAGGACTTATTATTTTCAGAAAATAAGGCGAAATTAGCATTATTATCTCAATTATTTGTATTTTAATGTAAGAGTGGAAATTTTAGTTATTTTTTTAAATGCAAAGTCCCAATTCTTATTAATTGAATGTATGTATCATACTTAAGTGCCGATATTTTATAAAAATTTATAAAATAACTTTAGCTTTACCTTAAAAAGTTTTGTTTGTTTCTACCAAATCTTAAAAACAATTCATTTTTATCTTCTTTTCCCGATCTAGTCGGTCTAGCCAAATCATCATAATCTTCATATTCTTGATCAAGTCTGTTTTCCCCACGTCCGAATCTATAAAAAATTAAAAAAATATATAAAAAACCTAACATTTAACGAAATGGGAAACGGCAAAAAATCGATTGTTATAAAAGAACGTCGATTGAAATATGAATATTCTAAGAGAGTGGACGCGTAACGCCTACTGTTGTGTATTAAAGTGAAGAGTTAAAAACCTGAACCGAACATAACCTCGAAGTTGGTTTTGTGCGTTCTTGGTAAAATACAATGGTGGTTTGTTCTGCGTTGGGTTTTAGAAGTTATATATTTTATAATGACGAGAATAACGAGACTTAAATAACGGATTCACATGTAAAAATCGATATTGTTGAAATATTGGTAAAATCTATTTATTTTATTCAACATCTGTTAAAAATATACACATTTTAAAAAAGTAGCAAAGATCTTAAAATTATTTTAATTAAAAAAATTATCCTTTATTACCTAAATTGTATTGAATTGAATTAAATTGATTTAAGAAAATAGACAAAAAGAAGTCCATTAAAAATATTCAATTACAAAATAATGAATTAAATTACGTCGAAGTGTCAAATAAAACGAAAGTTTTGTTAATACAGCACCGAATATGTTTTTTTTTTGAGGCCCGGTAGAAAAATAAATAGAATATACTAAAATACTGAATTAAAATAATAATATTTATTTTTTTAATATTAGTGTACATATTTTTTTGCATTACCTTTTGAATAACATGAAAAAAATGCGAAAATTTCCCAAATTATTCCGTTTTTTATCGGATTTAGGGGACAATTTTACATAAGAATTGGGTGTTAAATTTTGGGATACCATGGCATTCCATGGTAAACCATGGCACAATTTAAAAAGCAGCCACTAATAACTATTAAATTAGTTATTTTTGACTAATTCATTTTTAGAGAGTAGGTTAGATAGCGTCAGAGTTGTCAAAGGTATCGAGTTTTTTATTGGATTTTTTACAGACTAGGATATAAAAAACTTTACCTGATTGGTCTAAATTATTTTTATGGCCTAGAAGATTATCCAATACTGTGGTAGTGATTATGACAATAATAAAGCTGAATCGGACCATAATAATATGCGATTTTGAATAAATTATAAATATAAAATAATGCATTTTATAGTTCTTTTAAAAACAATATCAAAAATTTGTTAAAACTCGCAAATTTCGACATTTGTTGTTATAAATTCGTCTTTTAGATTCCCGAAAAAAATATTTGATAAAATTTATAATTTTGTTATAGTCAAAGAATGGATTAATCCTTGTTTGACACATTTGTTTCTTTAGAAACATTATAAACCAAAAAAGGATTAATTGGATTTTCACGAACTAAAAATATTTACCTTAGAAAATTATTATTACTATTTCTTCGTTGCAAAGGGTGTAGCACGTCATTGTCTAATGAATCTTCATTATATACATAGCTATCTGGTGTGTCCATGGGATAATAGGCATCCTCCAAAAACCCCCATGATGATTGTACCAGAAAAACAACAATTGGAAATATTATCATCGTTGGATAGCTAAAAAAAGTTTTACTAATTGTTACAATAATTTTGTTAAAATATTTAATAAATCTATTTAAGTTTAGGAGTTATTGGAAAACTTTTTATTTCAGGCATTCCCCTTTTACTTTATCCTTATCGCATTATTTTAAAACTTTTACATATAAACAAATTTAAACTTATTTTAATTGCATTTGTTTAGACAATTTTACAATGTTATATTTTTGTTCTTTTTTGGTATTTAAACTATTAATTAATCGTGTAATCTGGCAACACTGTTTAGAAAAAGTTCGGGATTAAATTTTATAATCGATTTTACAAGAAAAATCAAAAAACATTTTTATTTACAATTTTAATAATCAAATTTTACTCGTTAAAAGCAGTTTTATCGAAACTTATTTTATTATAAAAATGTAGAAAAAAATAAAAGCAAATAACAAAATGAAAAAACTCTCCAGGAATTTAAGAAAATATAATAGGTACGTTTTTTATCATTTAACACCACCTGTAGAGTCAATATATTGACATACAAGCACGAATTCGACAAGGGCTTAATTGGATTTAGATGCGGTGAACAAAAAGGCGACTTTAAAGTAGTCACACATTTAATTTCTAAACCAATTATTAAATTTAAAAAAACGTACTATTTTTTCTTAAATTCTTATTACCGATTTTCAAAAAATTTACATTTTATATTTTTTTATATTAAATTTGTTTTATTATTTTTTTTCTACGACCACAATGTAAAAGTCACATTTCGTAATGGCATCGTTGCTTAGAAAATGAATCTTTTCATTGGCAAGGCTAAACACGAATGTAAAGTGACATTTCTATGCGAAAAGTGACAGGTCTGTGTGAAAAGAAATTGACAGCATCGTTTAACATTCGTTTCAAATTTTGTATATGCATGTGTAAAGATCATTTAGAACACAATTAATTGTGTTTGTATAATAAATTCTAATTTTAGTGCCTTTATTTAAATTGGAAAGGTAAGTTTATTGATTTTAAGTAAATTATATCTTGAAAATTAAAAAAAAAACAAGATGAAAGTAAATTTAACAGCTGTCAAACACGGTTTTAGGTTATTTTGTTTTGTATTTTGAAATAATAAAAAATAAAAGAGTCGTAGAAAAAACATTTTGTTACACTTGTGAGAAAAGCTTTCTTCAAGCTGGTGTTAATGCACACTTGGCCTGACGGCCTCATGAGAAACTTAAACACTCGCATGAAAAAGTCGGTTTTCAACACTTGTAAAACAAATAACTATTCTTTAATTTGTAATAAAATTGGTACGGATACATTGTTTTTTATTTTAAAATTACTTTTTCCATGTAAGTTTATAAAAACAGTAACAATTACACCAAAATTATTAAAAAAAAGACAATAGCTTTTGATATTTTACCGGTACATTTTAATAAAATTGTTTAAAAATGTATTAATCCCGGCGCATTCGCCATTTTTACAATTTTTTGTAAATGTTATACGAGCCCTAACCACATAATGTTCGGACACTTCATAATTTATACAGAAATTTTTTTCGTGAATACTATCTCAAAATTATTAGAAGTTATGAAAAATTCAGCTTATTTTGGCATATACCCCTCGAAGCGATTTTTATTTTTAAAAAGTTTACCTTTTATTTTTAGCTTTTAAAAAAAGGCTAACTTTTTAACTTTTTTTTGCATGAGTAAAAAAAGTTATAAATGGGCCCATTAAAAAGAGCATAAAATATTATACAAACCCTGAAAATTTGGTAAAAAATAAATAAGTTATAAAAAAGTATAAGTAATTTAAAAATGCTATTTTTAAAGAGTTTTTGCAATTTTCTTAGGAAACGGGAGATTTTGCAGATATATATATCGCTATAACTTTCTTATTATTTATACAATTTTTACCAAATTTTCAGGGTTTGTATAATATTTTATGTTCTTTTTAATGGGCCCATTTATAACTTTTTTTACTCATGCAAAAAAAAGTTAAAAAGTTAGCCTTTTTTTAAAAGCTAAAAATAAAAGGTAAACTTTTTAAAAATAAAAATCGCTTCGAGGGGTATATGCCAAAATAAGCTGAATTTTTCATAACTTCTAATAATTTTGAGATAGTATTCACGAAAAAAATTTCTGTATAAATTATGAAGTGTCCGAACATTATGTGGTTAGGGCTCGTATTATTATATAAAGTGCCAAAGTGTTACTTTTTGTGTCCAGTCTGTAGGGCTAAAATATTTTTTTTTAAAACGTCAAATACATACAGTGTGACCCATTTGCGATTCACCCCTGTAAAATCTTTATTTATTTTGTGGATTTTAACCGGATTTGTTTTAAAGTGTAGATCTTGATAAACTGTATTTTTGGATCAAAAAACGCCATATTTTTACAAAATATAGGGCAAGTAACATGATACTAGTACTATAAGTTTAATTTTATTTCAATACAGATTATTAAGATCTACACTTAAATAAATCCGGTTAAAATCGCACAATAAATAAAGATTTTACAGGGGTGAGTGGCAAACAAATGGGTCAACTGTATAAATTTTAATTTCCGTAAAAAACAATTTTTAAATTCTCTAGACCACAGATTTAAAATAAATAGGTGGAAATGTTTCCATACCATTTTTAAGTTTTTTTGTTGGGCTATCACCTAAAGTCAAATTATTTCATTATTTTATGACCCGCAGGATTTTATTAATTCTTATTTAAAAAAACTCGGATTTGACCTGGTGCAAAAAGTACGATTCTTCCCATACACAAACATTGAAATTTATGACGTTCATAAAGTAAAACTTATACAAACAATATTACCCTATTTTCCTGGCCAGCTTTTAACAATTGCATAAATCCTCCCTTGAATTATTAGGCCATTTGTCAATACTTTTATGAAACTTTATTCGTCTACCTATTATAATTTTTAACGTGTTTTTAAATAAAGGCTAAAAAAGAGTATTAAGTTTAGTTTTTGGTCTGAAGGAACGTAATTGAGGTCTCAAAGGGTCTGTCTCAATATTATTTCATTGTAACTTCAACATTTGAATAAGAATTATGACATTACACTGGGGGTAGTGAAAATACTATACCTATGTATCTCCACATTTTAAGTTATTTTAATTATGAAAGAACCTTAATATAGACAATAAACATTAAGTATATAAACTAAAGAATAAATTTTCATACAAATACCATTATTCAGATGAGGTTCAGTTTTGAAGGGTGTTGATTTGATGGTTTACAACCATGGATAATCTTATTTGTATGAAAAGATTTAAGCGAATGTTTACTTTAACATATTTAAAAAAAATGTGGAAAGATTTACTGTTTTTTTAAATCTTGTTCAGAACATTATAGACCCGATAAAAAGAAAAAAAATAGTCTACATTTCTTCCCAAAAAATTTATCCATAGACAATATAAATAGTGTGCCGGTATACCAAGAGTTCTGCCCACCATATCCCATTATAATTTTCCATGTATTTTGACCCAATAAACACGAAAATCACACTCATTTTTTTGTATGGAAGCGTTTTTGAAATATGAATATTCAATTGTTTTTTTTTTCAATTTTCGGAGGCGTTTTGATGTTTTTGAGTATGGCTTGAAGTATTTTGACGCTAGAGATTTTAATAACTTAAAAAATTCGTTTTTATGGCAAAAGTTGAGGTCGAAAATTTAAAAATCGTCCCGGGAAAGGTTTAAATCACACAGATATCTCCAGTTTACAACAAAAAACAAGCAAATGTTGATAAAAATACATGAAAAAATGGCGAGGTAATGAATTTTTTAGTGGAAGACCAAAATTCAGCTTTTTTACGATTTTTATTTTATTTTTTTATTTTATTTTGTAATATGTTTATTCTTTAATGAAAACCCAAGTAAAGTGCATCATTGGAATTTTTTTAGTTTTTTACGTACTTTTTTACCGAAAACATTATTCAAAATTTAAATTTAACATGACTCCGCAAACTTGAATTCTTTTGTTTCTCGTGTTGGCATAGGTATCATTCTACTACTATTTTTTGATATTTCTACAAGGTATTTTTATCATGGTTTTATTTAGTTAATAATAAGTGTAAAATGAGTAAAAGAAATAGAGACTTCGAGTGCATAAATAACCCGGACAATCTGGGCGACGTAAGTGATGAGCACGGAGAACATTTTCACCAGCAAATGAAGGCTATGGAGCGGCGGTATCACGGCTTCTGGGATGCAGCCATGATGGGTGATTACATTTGGTCCCTCATACGAGAAACGGAATACTAAAGCAACAAAAAACAAAGGAGACAGAATTTTTTTAAACCTATGCTTATTACAACAAAATAAATATTTCAATATCTTTAATAAGTATTGTTCAATAATCAATATATAATTTAATTTCAATATTAAATGTTTAAAATAAAAATCAATGTTCAATATTAAATTTTATATAATTCAATATAAAATGAAGAAAAAACTTAAAAATTCTCGAAAAATTGAATTTTTTTTCACTGAAAAATTTATAACTTCGCCATTTATCCATGGATTTTTATCAGCTTATTTTTTTCCTATAAGTATAATCTATACGTAAAATAAATCAAACTGGACTTATATTTTTGATTTCTAACTTTCCCAAAAAGATATGTAAATATTCGACCTTTATTTTTGTAAAAAAGGACTTTTTCAACTTCATAAAATAGCCAGTATCTAACTTCTGAGTCGATACCAAAACTATACAAGAGAAAGTTGTAGTGTGATTTTCGCGATTAGAATATCATAGTGAGACATGGTGGGCCCATTGGCTGTAAACTAGTGTAATATAATTTTCTGAGAAATGTAAAATATTTTTTCCCTCTTTGTAACCCCATTCGTGGACATACTATATCTTAATTTAATTTCAATTATAACATTTGTTCGTGTATTTTACCGACTTTTTCGTCCTAAGGCTAAAAGATGATTGAACAAGTACCTAACTAAGTTTAACAACATATGTCAATAAACTACACTTTCCTAAGGGCTTTTAGCAGATTAGTTTGGGTTAAAGTTATACT